CAATTGGGTTTAGGTCTGGACTNCACTTGAGCGGCTTCGTTAGCAGTTGTATCCATTTAATACGTTATTTTTTGAAATAATATTGTTTAAAGAGTATTCACGTACGTCCTTTTCAATGTTTAGGAAGTGAATGACCTGCATTTGACACTTTAAACTGATTTTTCTATAGCCAAAGAATATAAGATAAGATAGGAGTATATTTATACATTTTCCTAATGCACCGTATACTCCGAATATGATTATTGTTTATGAAATGAAACTACTATCGGATAAGAGGTCATTAACTGTACTTTCAATTTATATCTTTATTGTTTGGATTAAATGTTTTGGTTCGGGGAAATGCCCGTTTGAAACTTAATTTTAAAGATGTGCGATTTTTGTGACGCCAAGTGTATTTTATTCGTTATGTGAATAAAGTTCGATGAATTTAGTACATTATTATATACTTCGAACTTTTAACTTTGAACACAAATCGTGAAATTTTGGAAAAAATTCCAAAAATGTTCATTATTGTGGTCGCATTGGTGCAGTCTTCTGACGTGCACCCGTAAGTACATAATTTGTTTTTAGATTCTGAGCATATCGAGGTATATATTGGTTTTACTCTTGAATGTTTTTATTGTTATTATTTTCATTTTTAATGTGTGTTAACTTTTCTATACCAGAAATCTTGTCCCAGAAGATATTTTGTATCACGACTTTTTGTGGCGGTGACGGTGTTCGTAATAACATACGTTTTTACGACGTGATAAGAAGGGGACATTTTCATAATGCAAAGAAAATGTACCCGAGAATATTATATGTATGTTCATCTCTATTTTATGAGAAACGTCGTTTTAGGTGTCAGATATCTGCGCTATCATACTCGTAAGTATAGGAACGAAATGACGTTGCAAAGTAAAAAAAATTCTACTGGGTCGTCCGTAATAGTAGGCGATGCTAGTCTATCCGTGTGCTTCTCATTTATTTTTTTACCATTTTCCTCATCTGTAGTCAGTCCGATGAAATCATATGTTGTACATATGGTCTACACTTTTCGCACATCATCTACTATCATCAGTGCAATAGATAACGTGAATTCCGTATGACCGTGCAGTGCAATCTTTATCTATACGTGTGCAAAAAAAACGACAGCGTCGATTTTGACAATGTGACGGTGAATAGATTGTATTTGATAACCGTGTAATATGACTATAGGAGTAGGTAATTTCATTTGATTACTGTTAGCAAATTAACGATGTATTACGATAATACGACAATTAAACAATAATCACGGTCCACGTCATTATTGTTTTCAACTTTGCGAACATGTTAATTGCTTCATTACGATCAATTTCAACATCTTTTTCAGAGCTAATATAAGTAGACTTTTCAACTGATTCTACCAAATACTTGATCGAAGCGTAGATTAAACTAGTTTCATCTGAAATCATTGGTGAGAATTTGTATTTTTAGTAAAATTAGATTTAAAAAAAATAAAAAAAACAACAATACTGGGTTAATACAAATATAAAACAATACGGTTAATAATATTATTATAATCTAAATTTCACTATTTAAAAATGCTATTGGTCTTTTGTTAGTCGTTCATAATTATGAAACTAAATTATTACCCACCCGCCCAGTGACACATACCATCCGTTGAAAAAAATTAGAGATGGCCGACTTAGTCACGCCACAGATAATAGTTTTGGATGGATCGATACATAAATCGATGCTTTTTTTTTGTTTTAAAACTGATAATTGGCCAGATATTTTCAGAGAAAAATGTCTAGTTACTGGAATATGAAAAAAACATTTAAAAAAAAAATGATTTAAAAAAATCAGGATTCTAACCGATATTGGTTTTAATATGAACTTATGGTTTTTAAATTTCAAATATTGATTAATTATCGCAAACATATTATATCAAAGTATTGGATATTAATTAAAAAGTGGTATCAGTCCATTCCCGTTAATTGTCCCAGCCAGGACTTGATGAACATCGAGACAACGTGCTTAAAACAGAGGCCGTGTCTCTAAAATAAGCATAATATTACATATACAGGCTATTTCACGAAGATATACCTCTTGAATATCTCCGAAGTTAATAAAGATAATCAAATTCTGGTTTATTTATATATATATATATATATTACTCACAAGGATGAGGAATACAAATATTTATATTTGAACTGAATTGTTTTTTCATTAATTCATTAAAAAATTTAAAAAATAACTTTATTTTATTATCTAGGGAATAACCGAACTGTGTTACGCGATAATATCGGTTTTCACACGGATTAGTAGAATTTAGAACGGTTGTTACTTAGAAACTATGACTAGTTACTATTAGTTACTAACTAGGTTAGATTAGGTTAGGTTAGGCTAACTCGACTGGCTAATGCAGTCCCGAGTCACGCATAGTACTGATTCGATAAAAACGAAATCATTTTGATCTTACGACACTATTTTAGATGTTCAGATAGGACGATTTCGCCGAGTAATTTGATCAAAATTCGGAAAATATGCATAGAATATAAAATTGTTGTTTTTTTTTTAAAAAAATTTTTATTTTTCTGGTTTTTAAATTGTTGATTTTCACGAAATTTTGTTCTAAAATCTAAATACAATATGTTTTCTTTGATTTTTGCGACTTATGTTCGAGGGTTCACTATAGCATTGTAAACGGATCGTAACAAGGCACTTAGCGGTGTAAGCATCTTAAATATTATATTCTCATCATGGCCATTACGTATACCACTCAATATAACGACCATTTATATTTTTTATAACATGTCGCCAATTATTAATCAGACGTAATATTTGAATTGCACAAATTTATTTGTCTCGTACATATTTACCAGACGAATGGTCTTGCTCTGCAGACGTATCTAGTACCCGAGTGTGAGATTTACGACAGTCGTAACGCTATACTCATATGCATTGTATATTATACGATGTTTATTAATAACGTAGGTATCGAAAAAAATACGACTTAACCTAAAAGCACGTGCCTTCCATTAGTCGGGTTAGGACATTATAATTATTAACAGACCCGTGAAAATTGACGAACATTAAATAATTAAATAGAGTGAGAAAAATTCGCAAGTTTTGATGAGGTTATGGGTTAGGTTATGTTCAAGACGAGACGAGATAGTTTGGCGCCACTTTTTGACTAAAAAGTTGCAAAAGTCAACAATTGTTTTATTGAAATAGAGTTTGTTTTAGTCGTGTCATTGCACTCGAAAATGACTGTTGCGCGATAATTGCATCAATATGACATTGTAATAACAAATCGATATAACTATCAGCCGAGCAGTCAATTTGCGGTGTATTTTTCTGGGGCGCCGCTGTTTACAATTGCACGTTATGATACACGGAAATCATTACGAATAACATTGAAAATTATTAGTTTTATAAATAATTGCCTTTTTCTATAAGTGGTCTGTTAATTGAGCTTAATGTTCTAACTGCGCATAACTAGTACACTGCAGTAATCGGGTGTGATTTTTAGTTAAAATTCGAGTAGATTACTACGTACATCGAATCACACTCGGCGGTGTACAGTTAGTGGGGATGTTAGTAACCTTCAACTCGTCCTAGTTAAAAACCTAACCGAAGGATTCTAGAAAAAAATTGAACAAAAATTCAAGTGGGATTCAATTAGGACGTCCATGAGGGCGAAAAGTGAAAGTGACCAGAAAGGATTTGGCTTTATTTGAATACTACGAGGTTAGGTTGTTCAATTTTAATAATAATAAACGAATAAAATTAGGTCCCAATTCGTTAGTGTGGTGTGGAAAAAACGATTTGTATCGAGCAAGCAGGTACTGGACATACTAGACAATCATTAAGACAAATCTGATAAAATTAATGGTAGACGGGTGTAAACGATTCGTAAGTTTTAAATTTTATTAAAGAAATGATAGTTTTCGATACGATAAATGGAAAATAAGTAAAATGATATTTATATTAGTAATGTTAAATAGTCTCTTGTGTCTCCGGGGACTTTATTTTCGATAATAAGATAAGTTTCGAAACGACCTAATGAAATCTTTAAGTAATTTTGAATATTATCTAAGATATTTTCAATGTAGTTAATATAAATGACGAGACATTTAGGCATGGTTTAAATATATGAAATCCTTTAAAGCTCGATATAATAAAAAAGGTTTCGAAAATAATAGTCAAATATATTGTAGTACTCGATATCTGTCAATTCTTTAATCGTATCTGTGGGGTTAGGTTATGTTTAGATTTTAATTTTTTAGCCGAGTTTTTAACAAAAATAATCGAGAAAAACAATGTTTTTTTTTTTTCAAATTTGTCCTTACACTTTCCTACTACATAATTAGCACCATAGGCGTTCTCATGGAGGGGGAATATGAGGATGGATCCCTCATGGCTTGTTTGTTTTTCTTTTTTTTTTTTACAAAAAAATGGATGTTTATGTTTAACTGATATTTAGTGATAATCAAATAAATAAATATAATCTATAAATATTTGTTCAACTTGTTATCCTTTTCCACACGATTGGTATACTACTTGTTTTATAATCGGCATTCAGCCTAGTTCATATTATGTTGCATAGAGAAGAAGTACTTGATGTACTGGCTCGAAAATCAAGAAAAATTAACACAATTTTGCGACTTGAATATTTTAGGTAAACATAATAATATGTTGTAATTTAATATAATATTTAGTATTTATTTAAGAAAAAGGGTAAGGGAGCTTAATCCCCACGACTAACTTTTTAATAAATTGTCATATCCCCCTCCCTCCTTAACAACGAATCCTGAGAACCCCTCTGATTAGCACACGTATTTCATTATAACCCTAATAATACAGTAGGTATTGTTTACCTATAGACGAGTACCTATTATATATTCATTAAAATGGTTGATCCAATATTAACTTTTCCCATTATTATTTTAATACAATAACAAGTATTTGTTAACAAATAATTTTACAATAATTCAAAATCAATTATATGATTTATATCTATAATATTATATTCTACCCGACATATAAAACGAATAAAACGATGATTACGTTTAAACAATAATACAAATTAATCAAGTATTTACTTTATATAATATATTATATGGTATTATATATACTTTAAAAATATCATGAATAATAATACGCACGGGTTTTTATAAACAAATTTAAATTTGCAAAAAAAATTAGGAATTCTGCACCTAATATTCCTATATATTACATAATAATAAATGTGATTCTCACTCCAAAAAAAAAAAACAAAAACAAAAATAGTAGATAAACTTAAAATAATACATCTCAAGTTCTATATAATATGTATACATATTAAAATTTAAAAAATATAAGAAGTACTTATATAATAATATATATTTTTATAGTTTTTATATGAATTTAGTAAATAATAAAATAATAATATAGTAATCACATACAGTTTATTTTAATTTTTCAACACAAACTAAAATTGGTACTTTATAATACCTAACAATTAGTAATAACAATAGTAATATTATATAGGTAATCGCAATAACTATAACACAGATAAATGAAAAATTGCATTTATAACGTAAATTTAAGACATTTTCGTTTTGTTTTGATAAACCCGACACTATATTATAAACGTGTCAGGGATCATTGTGATTGAACCGTGGGTCTTTTTATTCGTTTCTGTTGTAAACTAGGTAAGAAAATGAAAATAAAAAATTTTTTTTTTTTTTTATGAAAACTTGTAATGAGTTCAACGATTTTGGAACCGTAATGACGGGGTTAGGTTAGATTGCAGTTTTCACGAAATTTAACGGTATATCGAAACGAAATAATATGTTTTTCGTATTTCAGGACACATAGACGTGTGGAGATGAAAATTAGAAAATCCACGAAATTGTTTAATTTAAAAATATTATAGTGTCAAGTTATTTTAGCGAACGACTTAAACACCGTATACTGACTTCAGGTCTAATATATGTTTAGAGCGTAAGGGATTAGGGAAATATATCTCACCCAGAAACTATTTTTCAACTATACAATACGACACAAATTTCAAATTTTACAACATCTTATCCCATAATCGACAAATAAGCTACTACAAAGAAGTTATAAAATATGAATTTTATGGTTTTGTATAATAACACTAGGTAATCCAATACTCTGCTCTCGGCTGGTGTGCTCGAATAGGAGCGAACGTGTTTGTTTTAGCGCCCACCAAAAAAAAAAAAAGATCGAAACTAGCTGCATTTCTGCGGTATCTAAAACGCACTGATTATTTATACATGCCACAGCAATAGGTGGTTGGTAGAGTCCTCGCGGCCGGCTACTTCAGACGCAGCCGTCGAACGGAAGTCCTCGTACCCGTCGCCGCCAGATATCAACAACAGTTTGCCGGACGTGCTCATCTTCCGCTGGTTCAACGATTGTCGTCGCTGCTTGGAGAAGTTCTGCGGCAAATGGCCGACCAGCGTTAAAAATCGTACGTGACCCGTGTGACCGTGTGGTACACCTAAACCAAAACAAAAAAATCGTTATAAATTCAAATACTGTGTTCGTTTTCATCGTCGTATTATCTCTGTACGCGTGCAGTTGATTAGCCACAGTCGCCACGTGAAGTTTATTTTTTTCAAAAAATGTTTCAGTAAACTAGTGAAAATCCTCATAAAAAACTGAAAATCAGAAGATTCAGAAGCCCTAACTATGTAAGGCTACTTAAAAGATGTCACTGTACTTCATAATTTTAGTCAACATATAACCAATGATTAAGTGACATACACACCAACCTAATTTGGTCATGAAACAGCCGTTTTATTCATACTGCTAGTGTATTATAGACATTTAACCAAAGTACAACTTTTATTTTTTGAACTTAAATTATTGACACAGCTAACGACTGGGTAGTTTCTGCGTTTAATTTGTTAAAATTCTTAATTTTAGTAGTATACCAATCGAATTACCTAATGCTAATTTTTATTTTTAAATAGTATACAATACTTAATAAATTAAATAGTAAAAATTTATTCGCGTTTTAAATTAAACTAGACTTTTTTTGTCCGCCTTAGAATCTAAAATTATACAAATAAACTGAAATTCCAAATAACTTTTCCTACTATTACACTACAGTTCTCTCTTAAAAATTCTTTGTCCCTAGTGGTGCAACTTCGAAAATCGATCCTCTGTGATATTTAACTCCTCTCCCCGGCACAATGCCACTAGAGAAATTTGACCCCCTTCGTAAACTATCATGGGGTAACATTTTATTAATAATTAAGTAATTATTGACCCCATTTATATTGTCCCTTTAATCAAATATCACGGAGGTCAATGTTTACTGAAACAGCGGCACTGAGAGAGATAATATTACATTGCTACGTATAATATCGGATAGAGACCAACCGATAGGAACGGGAAGTGTTCCGAGTTTGCCGGTGTTCGCGACTACGGCCGGAATGGTCATGGTCAAGACGACACCCGCACTGGTACCGATCCACAATAGGTCTTTGACCGCCAGCAACGACGTGACGCGAAGGCACGCGGCCTTGTGTTGCCTTATAATGTCGTCGCAGCCTGCATGGGGGACAAAAAAAAAAAAAAAAACGGAAACGGATTATTAGAGAGCGAGAGAGAAAAAGAGAGATGAAAAAAACCGTCAGACATCAGAAGAAGTCTGCCCAAGTAAGACACACTACTCACTCGACAGCATTTTAGTGACGGCCGGTGCGGTGTTGACTTCTGCCAGCACTTCGAACGAGACCGAGTGGACGAGACGGAGTACGGCCGAGTTTTGCAGAGACAGCCACACTCCCATTCCGGACACGACCATGTTGGTAATCGAGCGGTTCGAGTCACCGCCGATCACGAACGAATGCTGTAAAACCGATAATCACAATATTATATCGTTATAAACAATATGACAACTAAATATTACAGAAATTAAACGAAGTGTTTTGATTGTACTGCGAGAGTTTTCATATATTTTCTGTGTGTTATTTACAAACTTTAAGTAAAAAACGTCTATTTTTACAAAAAAAGGTGCGTGTTCAGTAAAAGTTATTAAGAGGACGTGAAATCGGCAAAATTAAAAAAACTCAGAATTAAAGTATTGTGGCTTTTAGGATGGAATTAGAATTCAAACGCAGATAAAAAAAATTAAAAAGAATAATATTCACGAGAGCTCATTGTTGCTGTGCCACGTAAGTGTTAAATATTTTGTTTGACAAGATATATTAGAAAAAAAACGTAGTTCTCTCGAACATAATATTTCATTGTTTAAATTGTGTTACTCGTGTTTAATCTTTAATTTCAACCCAAATGTCACAATTTTATAACTACTACTTTATTCTAAAATAGAATTTTAAATTTGCTATGTCATCCGTTAGTTGGACGTTACTTTATAGTAATACTGAATACATGTGCGGGTCACGTCCTCTTAAGTCATTTTCTTTGTAGTATCATTTCTATTACGATTTGAAAAAGAGCTTTAACATTGGAAATTTTTTTTTCGAGCGGGATATCCGGTTTATTTGCACACTTTGTAATATTTTCAAACTTTTTTGTCCGTAGGCATATACATTTTTTGACCATAAAAACTCAAGGATAAGATTACTTTTTTGTTGTATTTAATTTGCATACTCACTTCGAACTGCAATAAGTTCGTGTCAAATATCTTGACAGTGTTATGACACGAACACCAGAGCTTGTCGCCGACCGGCAACATTTTAGAAACCGGCACGGCAGCAGACCCGACGTTAATAGTCACCGGATCCGACGTATTCCAACTACCATCTGTGTAAAGGGTACGGGTTATTATTATTATTTTTTAAACGAATCAAACAGTTAAAATATAACTCGTGTGTCTAACTCACTTGTGTCCGGGTAGTAAATGCAAATGTCGCCGTTTGCTAACGAAACGTAAACGCGATTGTTCAGATAACTGTAACAAGAACGAAATCAAGTCAAAATTAAAATTTACTGCTAATAATTACTTTACTATTACTATATTACCATTAAAATACATAAATTACTTATAATAAGGGATCGGATGTTTATGCACTTAAAATAAGTGCAATATGTATGCATTTTTGCACTAAAAATCATAAATTCTAATTATTCTATCATAATTCTATTTGACAATCGATATTAATCTTAATAGCTATTGCACTTACATTATGCAATGCACTGCAGACCCGTGTTGAATTTTCACTTTGTTCCGTTTAATGCGAATGTTATCCATCGAGTTGTACACATGTATACAGCCGTCCTCAGTACCCAACCACATGGTGGGCTCACCCTCAAAGTCCACCGGGTCCGTAGGATACATCCCGTCAGGAACGCGATCATGACCCGCCTCTTTATTATTGTCATCGTCCTCTTCGCTCGACGAGCTGCTCAATTAAAATACAAAAATTATACAACCATTACAGTTTAATTAATATACACTTGATACTTAAGGGCTGTCAATTTGTAGCAAATATAAGTATTTAATTTTTTTAATTTATTGTACCTAAGTTAAAAAGGTTTTTTTTGTACAGCGGTCGAATTGTGTAACAATAATATGAACTCAGTTTTGAAACTATTTTATTCCTCAATCTTTTTTTAGGACACGTTTTCCTTATTTAATACATTTTATGCATATTTATTTTTTTAAATTTATGTTGGTACTCGGTAGAAATATTTAATTTTACCGATAAAATTCGGTGCTTTTTGAGGATTTGTTATTTTTTTCTAGGGCATTAAATGCACAGCCGTATTTTTTGTACTTATATATTTATAAGTTGTCGACAAATTAACCTGTCTAGTTTGATGTCGGGCCCCGTCTGATCGGCGTCTTCGATCGATATACTGATCTCGGGGTTGCTGCTCTGGTCATCTCTGTTGGCGCTATTATCTTGACTGAACGTAATAATTGTTGATAAAAAAAAAAAATAAATAAATAAAACTAAATGTGAAACTATTTTTTCGAAAGACTTACTCGGCGCGCTGTGGCGCTGGTATCGAAGTGACGCACAATATGCGAGCGTTGCAAACGCCGTTACACGAAGTCACCGTCGGCTCGGGGTACAGACTCAAGACGCACACCTGACCCACGTACCCGTCGCTGTTACACACCCAAACGTCTCGCTGGTTCAGGGCCGGTGCCGCACAAGTGAACTGAAGTCCGGCCCTGGTCTTGCGTATCGGCACCGGACCGACAAAGTCGGCGTTTGGTCTCCGATCCGTCGATAGCACTAAAAAAACAAAAACAAAAAATTATGAACATTTTCCAATCGTGTTACGTATGCGCGTATCAACTTACCTAGTTTCTGTTTAGCTTCGTTGAACGATTCCTCCCAGTTTGCACGTTTTTCCGGTTTTGAAAACATTATTGATACAGTCTCGGTACCGTTCCTGAAATCGACGGTCACAATATTTAGTATATAACTGTAGATATATCACTTACAATTCGAAAGAAGACGCATGGCGTGAATTACCTGGTGTGCAGATTAAGTTCAAGATAACACAGCTGAGTATCACTGGCTTGTCGTTCCGACAGCTGTTTGTTGAGCGCACTGAGCATGTCTTTGATCGAGTCCTCCAAGTGACTGTGCGGACAATGCAACATGGTTACCATATCCGTCATCTGCGTCAGCGTGGATACATCTTCCGACAAATACTCCATCTCGCGTAGCATACGACGTACATTTTCATCTTTTACTTTTAAAAAAAATGCGTGCGTTTTAGTTAGTTTTATAAAAATTAAAAAAAGTCACTATTTTGCAACAGAACTCCATCATTAGAGTTGAAGTTGTCCCCAACCGATTTATCGTCGTAAACAAAATGATCTTTAATAGTAATGATTGCTAGAGTTTTATTACATTTTAGTCTGTAGAGGTGTTAAAAGCCAAGTATTTATTGGGAAAACATGAAATTCGAGTATGAAAATGGCTATGGAGGGCATTGAAAATCGAAACTACGTATAGGTAAATCTTTAATACTTACAACATACCTACACAAAATTGCATCTATTGGTTTCATTTAAGTTGTCTGTGTAGGGATGTAAAAAAATATACCCTCCACCCGCAACAAAATACTGAAATTTAACTAGAATATTATCACTTCAATTCGTTAATAACATTACTTTAATTATTCTCGTGTTTCAAGCTCACTTAGTCCAAAGGGAGACGTTACAAGAAGGGAAAAATATATAAATACGTATCATATAACAGACGCAATAGTCTTTATTTTCTAGAAAATGTCTACCGTAATAAACCGGAGATGCTTAAGCACGATTTTATTAGCATGATTATTTATTTTTAAATTTATTTCCATTTAAAATCAAACATATTATGATAAATTATAATCCGTATTAAAAGTGTTTTTCTAGACGGGAAATATTGTTACATTATCAATACAATTTTCACGCGCTTAACTTTCAGAATTTAAAAATACGTTAATTTAAATTTTCACTCTACGTATTCGTTCAATAATATTATACAAAATATATACAATCAGAATCGTATCGAGTCGTAATAGTTATAACTATAATCGGTTTTTATACGCGTTCAATGTATTCATTTGTAACGGCTGGACTAGACTCAAAACGAATATTACTGTTCAAAACGTGTACTATGCCCATAAATGGCACGTCTACAAAATAATATTATGTTCGTAGATAGGTACCTTTGACTATTTCAACATCGTCCAACGGTATCTTCATGAGTAACTTGTATTTGTTCGCTTCTAAATTGCTCACGACGCTGTTTGGCGAAGTACTGTAAAATGTCCAATAATAATATTTTATAGAATTCGTTTCACAACATCTATTATAAACACTAACACTATGTTTTTCTTGGCTCATTTGTCGTATTGTAGTAATATTAAAATTTTACGAAATAACGTTTTTTTTATTATTATTTTACTGAGCCGTGACCAGGATTTTACTATAGGAACGCAACGAGTTTTTCCGCTAAATGCGAAAATTTCGCTCGGTCCCGAACGTATTCGTGGAACACAAAAGTTCACTGTTAATATTTAAACATTTTATTTATCGGTACGAGTCCCATTATGAGGAGTCAAAACCGATGAGATTTAGTACATTCGTGTGTATAGATTTACGCAATTATGGTCATTTCGTATCGTCCGATTTGCCCTAGTTATTCGATATTTATTTTCAAACAATTCAAACAATAACAGATTATATGTGTAAATTTACATATTCAATGCATAATATTATTTTAAATAGATTAAATTATAATATGATGTTATTGTCCGGGAAATAAACATTGCATTTGGTTTTGTTTTCATCGAATTCGCATTGATTCGTGATCGTTATTTAGTGTTTGATTTTATTTTTAAATTTGTATCAAAAAATGTATTCTTTCGAGATTCTAATTAGGTATCGAAATTTATAATTATTTTACTTGCAAACCGTTTTATATTATATGAAATGAATGTTAAACTAATTAGCAATTATAAAAGCAAAGTAATTTAGTTTATATCCTGAATGCGATGATAAATCATTGCAAAAAATATAAAGCCATTCTGAGTGGAATAGTAATATCTATTTATTGTGATTTGTCCTTGTTATCAAGGTAACTACTTGCTTACTATTTAGGGAAACGGAGAGAAAAAATTGGAGCATGTAGTCAAACAAAAAAATAAGAAGACAATTTTTCGGGAAAAGTATTGAAAATTTTAAAAAATTTTCATGTATAAAATACCATCGGGTGAAAAATCCGAATCTTTTAGCGTAGTACATATAAAAAAAATCAGAATATTTTTACTAACCGTGTGTTAACCGAGAATAAAACCAGATCTTTGTAAAACTAATCGATTTTTCGTTATACTCATAATCTAAAATGGTAAATTTTCACTTTAAATACGTTACGGTATGAAATAACTATGGAACATTGCAGATTTGTATAATTCATATGTACGAAAGGTACCGGAAGTAACAGGGATTTTGTTTTTATGCAAACGGATTAAGACCATATTATATTGTTTACTAGAAATGAACGTTGCTCTTATTTGATATATCGATACATTATTTATTCTAATTTAATTTTAATACGTTAACACCGGCAAGGGATACAACGAAAACAAAATATATAAAAATACAATACATATTCGCGTATTAACAGGCGAACGTCACGACCAATTATGTTAATTTATCATATTATACACATTCAATTTAGAAATTGGATCGTGATCCAAATAAAAATTCTTAAACTCTTTTATTCATTATAATACTCGGGCGAACGATATGTAGCTTATTGTTAACACAATTTTTAGAAGTGGAGGGAACATGGAAACAAACTATTTCTAGAGTTCACTATATAGGCTTATGATATCCAATTAGAGAAAACATTCAGGACAGTTTATGGTACCATTTAATGATTTATATACAAATACTGAATCGAAATAATTACGTCACTTAGGTAAAGTGACTTGGTCGATATTATCAGTATTGACATAATTAGACGTGTTTTTAATCTTTGTTTGAAACCCAAACACGTGAATAAAAAGCGTCTTGGGCGTTTTTCAACTTGGCTGCACTGAAAATAAAGGGTTCTTTGTCATTTACCCGAATTCTAGAATTCATCTAGCCAATTAACTACAAAGCGCGATAAGACAATTTGGATCTTTGAAATCAAACAGATCCTTTTTATGAAATCCAGTACTCTTAAAAACTAATTGTACATTAAGTTTAAAATCGATACATCGAGACTGGCAGATAAATGTTGAATTACCGGTATTCAAGACACTTGTGTCGAATAGTCTGAAAACAAAATAATTTTTGGTATTGAATCCGATAATTTATTTACGGGGATCTGAAAATAAAAATATCTGCTATCTTTATTCTATATATGAATAAACGAAAGCAGCTTTTAAACGCGATGTTAACTTACAAGAGCTTTATAGAAATGCTGTGATCACTATGAAGGAAAAATTATAATATTTACTTTAGGAAAAATGTTCGCTATCGCCCATCCCTAAATTATTCACTTAAATAGTTTTACAATTTATTGTAATATATGAATTTGAAAAAAAAACTCACGTCGATGGTTTGCGTATGGTTCCGCTCTTTCGCTTGATGCTAGTGACGATCAGCAGGTCGGAGAACAGGAACAGCGCTCGTTCCTTCCGGTTCATCGACTGCCCGGAAACGATGGTCACCAGGTCGTGCCTAAGGAATGTTCGGTCAGTGGCCGCCAAATGTATCAGCCCATCGATCAGCGACTCAATCTGCTCCAGCTCCAAGTTGTCTTTTTCGGAGCAATTGATTTTCACCGCCATCTCGTGCACCTGTTTTTGCGATTCGATCAATGACTCGTGATCCGGGTGCGTCGACTCAGTGTGTTTCAATAACGTCTATAAAAATAACAATGATAATGTATAAATTTCTATTACTTAGGCAGACTATGCCAGTATTATAGGTTATTGGAGACATAAAGGGACGGTTTGTAGTACATGATGAGATGGTGATGGATTTGTAAGCTAGGATACAATACAAGTAGCTTAAGAATTAAGAGGAAGACAAATACAATTTACGACACGAGATTGCAATGCAATGTTACCAAGGATCACAGTTACCTGTATGAGGAGTTCGTATCTAGGTATTCGTTGAACCGGCATGATGAGAAGTGAATCCAGTGCTAATTTCCCTTTGTGTTCTCGAGCGGTCGACTGTAAACACAAAACCAAAAAAAAAAAAATAGTTAGTATTATTATTATTTTTTTAATTTTATTTATTTATTTTTTTTTTTTGCAATATTTTATACATTCTCCGATCATAACAATATTGCATTATTTGGATTGAAATGATACAATTTTTTCACGCTTGCACACAATATGTACCTCTAAATATCTCGCGAACGCTGGTTTCGAATTGCACGTCGATTTGATCGCTTCTTTGGCCATTTTCCAGTGGTTTATAAACGACGTATACGAATCTATCACAGGCTTTTTGGAAAACTGTAAAACAAACACATAATACTATAATAAGACACTGCGAATCGCAACATATTTCCAGTGATTTTTACTATCGTTACCATTTCTAATAAGATGTCTCCGATTCTCTGGTGTGCGTCCCAAATTTCAAGACGCTTGTGCAGATCTTTTAGGAATTGTTCGTGCTCCATTAGGATTTCGGGTATCTAAAGGCGGGATTAATATATATTTTAAAACTGTAAAAACGAAATTTTCATAATAGGCGTGGTAAAATACCTGGTAAAATATGTCATCGACCACCGACGAGTCTATGTGAACAGAGCTTTCGGCGCTTTTCAAAGGTACAAGGTATTTCTAAAACAGAAAAAATGAAAATATTTAAACAAATTGCACGTACACATGATTATTAAAATACATCGGGAGGTCGGACTTTATAGCATTATAGTGAAAACAATATTATTAAAACGCGAAATCATTTCAGAGACCTGCAATTTTCACGGGGTAGGTATTTATATTATTAGCATTTAGTAGACGTTTATGGTATTCTTAAATATTTTGGAATTTTTTTTTTAGCTATTTGAACTATTCTGGCCTGTCGGTAAAATAAAAAACAAAATTGAGTGCTATGTTCGAAATTTCTTTATTTGGTTTTATGTTGATAAAATTGTTTTGATGAGGCGAAAAATGCCACGGGATTTATCATTCCGTCAAGTGAGTGATAAAAAAAAGTTAAGCATAATGAGTTTTTTTTTTTAATGCGACGGATTTACGAATAAAATCGTTTGTAAACAAATATCAAGGACGTCGTATATATAATACCACAATAATAATAGTATAACATTCGAAGTTTCGGGCCTTATTTGGACGCATCGACACCGGAAAAAAACCGAGAATATTATTATAAGTATCGATATATGATATTTTTATATAATTTCTATTATTCATATTACACATATGATGTGTAGTGTTCAAAAAGCCCAAGGCCGGTTTACGGTCAAATACTGATAGGGGATACTCTTAGCGAAACGCTTTTACTCAAAAAATGTTTCTTTATAACATTTAAATTTATACATTTTTTATGTTTCATCACATTATTATAACAGCCCAATACATACATTTTTTCGAGGTAAGAAAAAAAAAAAAGGACCGAAAAAAAGGGTGAATTTCTGAAAATATCGAAAATGTTTCAAATCAATTTCCATCGGCCGACGGAGACAAAAAAAAAAAAAAAGAAGATGATGCATATGTATAATGCGCAAAATATTTCCTGCCCCCTCCCTTCATGACTTGTTAAGAACCACCCTGGTATCAGATAAGTGTATCGTAATATTATTGTCGACAATTAAGAACGCGTGTATCGCGAAAATAGGAAAAAAATCTACGCTGATAGGAGCGCGATAAAAACAGGTCAAGTTCCACAACGGGATTCATTTGGCTCGGTACGATATGCATATATTATTTAACCACACTGTAATCGCGAAATGGTTGCCAAAATATATATATATATACAAGTCGAGATTTGGTCGGAAGGTTAAAGTCCTTACAAAAAAAAAAAGACTAAGACCCAATATGACCTTTGACTAACGCGTGTCAGATTGCTGCACATATTATGCTGTCGGAAATGTAATATTTTTTTCGCCGAGAATATACATTTTGATAATTCGATTATACAATGGTAATATATTTTCCGTCAAATTACAAAAATTTCAATACTCGTATAGGGGTTATATGAAAAAATTTCATTTCATTTTTGTATTTTTTTTTTTTTTTTTTTTTTAACGACCGTCGACCACCGGTTGAATGCTGTACAAACGATCAAACGGTTGCACGCCGCAGTGAGTATATTATTTTATCGAACAACAACGTTCTAAACAAACAAATTCTCTACTCCGCTAATATTACACAACCCATAATGTTATAGGTTAGGTAATTTATACTCGGCTGTATAATATGATGGGCATGTAGGTAAAATGGTCAGAGGAAAAATAAAAAAACAAAATACAAATTTACACCTACATATATAATATAATTTCATATCCCTATTGTAATTCCCAGTCACGCCAAGTCAACAGATAATCTCGCAAATTGATTCAGCAAACTATCTGGAAATGCACTTTACGACTTAACTGGAAACACCATGTACGCCAGAAAAAATTGCAAATCAAACAAAAAACGCACAAAGTGTACTGGCTAGTTGGACAATACTCCGAGCTGGATCAGCATCAATGTCTCTTATGTATATACCGATTGTTAAACCGATTTGGATGTATGGCATTCGACTGTGCCAGTAAGTCTAATATCGAAATAATACAACGATGCCAGAGCATCGCTCTTCGTATCATTGTCGCAGCATATCGGTATGATAAGAATGACATCATTCGCCGAGATTTGAAAATGACATCCGCGCAGGATGAAATTACCCGTGTTGCCCGCAAACACGCAAGAAGACTGCAGCTTTACACAAATACAGCTGCCATACAACTCTGCGACAACTCGCAAGACATCGGACGACTCAAACGACTGAAGCCATTTGACTTAGTCTAATTGTTAGATTAAGTACGGGAGCTGCTTCACTGGAAGCCTACATAAGTTTTGTTAATACATATATATATGTATTAACTCCTACTGATTTATATTTGTAAAGATTTATTTATCGTTTTCAATAAAAATGCCTCAAGGCAATTGAAAAAAAAATATATGTATATATATATACGCATATACTGTAACATATTTTGCACAATATGATTACACACATTAACGGGAAGAATATAATATCGAGAAGAAAATCGCAATCAATAATTTTACGTCCGGCTTGTAGAGTATCTATTTATAGATAGATAACGAAAACACTACAACGGGGGAACCGCGGGTCGCGAGGACATTTCCGTTCAATATTTTTATCGTATAATACAATATAATTTATTTCGATAATAATCGATTTTTTTTACGATTATTATTACCATGTCAAATATATTTAAATATATAATATTTTAAAATTATTCATATAAAATAGTACGTTTTAATTTTGTTTGTTTTCCGGACACTTTTACCTCGGACATTTTGATAGAACACCACTGCATATTATGATAAAGGTCTGTTTATCGCTTGAAAATATTTTCATTTTACCACGGTGAAAACTGCGCCCACGCCGTCGCTAAATCGAACTTGCTCGAAATTAATATATATATATACATGTTATAACAATGTTTTTCGTACACGTTTTATTGACGAGGCCGTCGATTGCCGCAGTTTAATAGGTTTACGGCGCGCGATGTTAACGTTCGTCGCGTGCAGAATGTAAATATATGACCGATTATCGTAAAACGGCTGTAATGAATTGCACGTATATAAATAATAAGACAAACATTTGAATAACGATTAAAAATTTAAATTGTTTACTTTCACACATATTCTATTCGGTATATTTTTATAACTAATGATTTTGAATTTTAAGGCAATTTGTTTAAATATAGGTACTGCAGAATACACTGGCAACGGCGAATCATAAAAAAAGAAAACAGTTCTCTGCGAGTGAAGCTGTTGATAAAACTGTGTAATTAAGTACGGCTTTCGTCCGTGTGGCATGAGAGAATCCAGCAAACCGACCAAAAACAAAAAGATTCGAAATTTAAAAATTTAGCTTCGGAAACCTCTAATTGCCGATCTTGTACGAATCGTGTCCAAAATGTGTGTACTGTTATCAGTTAGCACGTAGGTTCGTTTTTTAAAAAAATTTTCGATTAAAACATAAACTATCACCGGTCAAAAAATTCCCATTTTTTAAGGTATCTCTACTGCGGGAAAACCGTACAGCGTCACTGTGCGTGATGTTAAATTTCGCATAAATTTCGCTATATACTATATTTTAATCGTTTCCGAAATATTTTAATAAATCGTGTAACCGATCAAACGGGTGATGAATAATAATAATCGATGATTTAAAAATCCTCCGTCGTGAAAATAACCCACGAGCGCGTGTTAAACGAGATAAACGTGTTCGTGTTGTGCATATATTACGTAAATATTTAAATAATGGACGACGGAGGAAATGTGTATTTTTTTTTTCTCTGACCTGTGGCGTAAAATATAACATCGTGTAATCGTGTATAATGTAGATAAAAAAAAAAAAAACCTTCTGGAGTATGAAAAAATTGCGGTTTATTCGCTGGTTCGGTGTGTGCGCTTCGTTGGACGAGGAATAGAAGAGGACTAGTAAGTATACATACTATAAGAAGATAAAAAAAAAAAAAAAACGGCAAAATCCGATCACAACCTCCACGGTGAAATCAAATTTCGATTTTTCCCTATATTTACTTAAGTTGGGATGATATTAAAACTGCATATTTTATAATATTGGAACGTGATCATTTTTATACGAGAGTGCAAGCAACGGCTCGCGTATTTACAGACCCTATTCGAGTTCGTCTCAAGTAGCATGTCAATAAACAATCCGCCGTAGTCATTCTTAGACTAGAATTTCAGTTTTAGGTTTAGACTTAGGACACTAACTCCAATGAAGTACTAACTGATTTGGACCAACAGGTAGTCTTGCAGTGGTGGCTTTTTATTGATCAGGTATAGTAGGTATACGGTTTACGCTTTGATCACTTTAACTTTTTTAAAAACGATAGCAGGTTTGAAGCAACAAGTAGGTTATTTTTACAGCAATACGGGCCGTGGCCCAAAGTACAGATCAAAATGTACAACATTTCATATTCAACAGAAAAGTGCGTTTAGAGTTAATACAAAGAAGATGTATAAACTAAAGAATATTAAATCATGTTTTGTAAAACTCCTAAAACTTTCCGAAACCTCCAAAAACTATTAATATCAACTGTTTTACGTTTCAGCCTAGACCGAAATCGAATAGGATCTGTAAATACGTCAACGGGTCAGCATTCGTCCCGGTAATTATATAAGATAAAAAATATAAAAAAAATAAAAATATATTTCGCCACGTACGATTATCGATAGAACACGATTCGCTCAACAAGAACAACAATAATAATAATAACAACACTATAATTCGTAATGACGGGTGCCTAAAAAATAAAAATATAGGTAAATGTATAATATAAGGCCCTCCAAAAATCTATCGGATTACCGGCCGCGAGCAATGGTGTTGCGGAATTTTTTTTTTGTTTTTTTTAATTACACGTTGGCGTTACACGTGTATTCGATATAACCTACACGCATGTTTTTTTACTATAATATTCATAATATACGATACATCATAGTAATAATGGCCTCCAGGGACCCCGGAATTGAAAATCCACGCAAATGGTGAAAATTTCATTAACAATCGACGCCACGCAGCCGTCTTACGACTCGTCGACTCGAATCCTTCCCTGCTAGCTGTAGCCGACGTTTAAAAGAAGTTTAATCGCTTCACGGTATTCGAGTTGTTGAAGCGTATATTTTCAATACAAGATTAATATCCTGTATTTCTATTTTTCGTATAGTTGGCAGATTTTTGAAATATTGTTCACACAAACAACAAAAACGAAAATCTGATATAAGATTCTCCGTTACATTGTAAATAACTAATATGAAATCATAATACAGCGTTGGTGTATGAATAGACTTGTAATTTTGAAGTACAAATCATCAGTGACCTAAATTAAAATTCAAAAACGACGAAATATTAACAGCCGTCGTACGTTTTTGCGATGGGTGATTCATAGTTTTTTTTTAAATTTTTTTGGAGCTTATAAACTGTATCTATTTCGATACCCAAGTCGATACTCAATGATGTATGTGGTTTTACTTTAGACGCGAAATTTCAAAACTTCTACACAGAATATTTTTGAATTTTTATCGTATGTTAAAAAGCGATGATTTAATCTCGCTATTATTAATTGTATATTTATAATTCGAGTACAAATTCAAGTAATTCTTCGATTACGATATACGTACGCTATACAGATAGACCGTACGTCTTTTAGTACAAACCGAATATGAAATCGATCGGCCTCATAAGCGAATGTTAGGCGAACTTCAGGGGGCTTAAGCCCGCCAGAACGTTTTCAAGTCCTCCTAAAATGCTCTTTAGACACGGTAAATCTTAGTCCACCTATTCATTTTTGAAAAATTAATTTGTATCGAAATTTCAGAAAATATATTCTAGATTTGGTTTTTTTGTTTTTTTTTTTTAAATTAACTATCAGCAGTAATAATAAATCAATATAACTATTTACTGTCGGTATGGAACACACTCGCCATAACTAAGCACATATTCGGTGCCTGTGACTGGACAAACGTAAGCATATAAAACACGAATAGTATTAATTTTCCAACGGGCACTTTCGGTTAACGTCGGTCGAAACGCCAAGTCGCCGCGCAGACGTGATCGAAAATCCACCCATGTTCGGCGTAATACGGTCTATAGGTTTTTAGACTTAAACGCACCCGAGCGATGTGTGCGAACCGCCGGCAAATGAAAAAAAAAAAAAAAAACACATTATACGTATTAACGCGAAACTGGGCCAACGCGATCGCCGCTCTTCAGTATTATAATATTGTAGTCGGCGGTCGCCTCTATCGGCCAATTGTCCGAAATAAACGTGTCCGACAAGCGTTTATCGTCCATAAAACACAAACGACCACCGCATCCCGTTTACGTATGCGCACGCGCGCGTTTAAATATATTTCTTACGTGTATATAAATATAATATAATATGTGTGTGTTTTATGTGTACGCACACACGCATACGCTATTAAGGGACCGCAACGGTCTCGTTCGTATGCCAAAATCGTACGACGGAAACGGTCGTCGTCGTCGTCAGTGTTCGGAATTTCATAACACCGGTGAGTGTTTCTCTGTTTGTAGAGATGAGGCACGCGATTCTGTACAGCTATAAAGGGTTCTATAGCTTTTAATCGCAAGGCTGTTCACGATGACTAGAATAATATGTAGTCATAAAGGTAGAACGGGCGTTTTGCGAATTTTTTTTTTTTTGTTATTGATAAAAAATTCAGTAAAATACGCGAATTACGCTTGACAAGTTCCTTTTTTTTTTTTTTTTTTCAATAATTTAATTTAAGCGTATCGATTATGGTAACACAAACGATTCTCAAATAATTTTTATACGATAAAAGCAACGGCCAAGTTGTTGTACAAACGTTGTTATCAATCAATGTAACAATGATGTGCCGGACTGACAGTGTGTACTATAGAGTAATACCTATAATAGGAATAATAAAATTAAAATTAAAAATAATACTGCAATAGTAACCATAGTAGCATAATCTGAATAAGGGGAGGTCGGTTGAATTTAAAAAAAAAAAAAAAAAACGTTTTGTAAAATACATAATAATATGTAGTACAGTTATTTGTTATTACCTGAATAAGATTAATGTAAATGTGTAATTGATATTATTACATTAAATGTTCAATGTTAAATAGTATACATTTTAAATTATGAGTGGAGCGAGGAATATATTGATTTTATAATGATGTTTATTTTTTTTTCTGTAAACAACGTTTCTACTATAAATTTTGCCCCGATTTTCAAGTGTAGCACCTTTTCTGAAAAGAAATTGAACCGGAGTGGTGCTTTAGGGATGTAATTTTTTGATTTTCTTAGGGGTTAACGTTTAAACGTACGAAACATTTTTTTTTTTTTTAAATGCCCTGGGGCTTTATTATTTAAACGAACTGATGGTCTTTATAAATATGTTTAACAGGATATATCTTACATAAGTAAGTACATAGTATGTAAGACGTACGAAAAATGGAGAAATTATTTTATTATTACCTAGTTATTTGTTTTTATTTTACAGGGTAATCCATTTAAGTGGATACACTCATTATCTCGAAAAGTATTAACTTTTTTCCGGTTTGTTTTTAGAATATTTAAGAAACAAGCGGTTCTATAATTTTATATGTATGTTATTTTTGTCATCCTTATTTCTAGGAGTAAAACCACAACCTACTTTTGATTTTCAAATGGCAATCTATATTAAAAAGTCAATACAATTTATGGAGTATTAATTAAAATAAATTTGTGTGTTAAAATTCTTGATTTCCGTCAACTCGTTGACGAGATATTCCACTTTTAAGTTTTGGTTGAAGGGAGTACTAGTGGTGCATTATTAACACACCTCGCGTCACACCGCCACACAAATCATACTCTCCACTACTCTTCTCCAGTCTAAACTTAAAAGTGGAATATGTCGTCAATGGCTTGACAGAAATCAAAAATATCAACACTCAAATTTATTTTAACAATTACTCCATCATATTTTAATATAGATTGCCTTTTGAAAATCAAAAGTAGGTAGTGGTTTTACCCCCAAAAATAAGGATGACGAAAAATTACATAATATACAATTTTAGAGCAACTTGTTTTTTTATGTTCTAGAAAACAAATTCTGGACAAAATTAATACTTTCCAAGATTATGAGTGTACCCACTTAAATGGATCATCTAGTACTTAGTATTATTTTTGAATCGTAAATATTTCGGCCTTTCAAAAGATCTATAAGCATAAGTGAACTCCGCTAATAATAGTTTTTTGTTAGCAATGATTAATCGTTGCGTACAGATATACATTAATATACAATTTCCCCTCAACCATTTTAACTTTTTACCTACAACAGAATGGCCCACCCATCGTGTGAAGTATGTCCGTTTGTTTGTATTTGTTGTATTTAAAAACGTTCAATGGGAAAGGGGGGGGGAGGGTACACGATACGACAAGACAATAGTTTGTCGAAAATATACGTACTAGATATTATAGACTTATTTACCTGTGTATACTCTCCCTACCATGAAACTTATTGTCTTGCGAGTAAAAATTTATGTCGGGTCAGAAAGACTGAAATGTTCGCCGTGCAAATCTTTTCATAGAATGCATCTATACCTATCGAATCGATTTTATAATATTGAAAGACGATATTATTTTGGTAATAATTGAAAGACGATATTTTAACCGCATTGCTCGCACAGTGACTATATTATACACAACTAGATTTTCGGGAATGTTTTTCAGACAAAATCAAGGACCAGTGGGATGTACCCTCGACTGAACACGACGTGTTACAAAAAATATTCATCGCCGTGATTACGTTTTATAAAAAAATGTCAGCATATGGTAATATTTGACAATAAAATGTATTATTTAAACCGTTTTATTACGATGCACTAAACGGATAAACAGTTATTTTGACAACATTAATTTTTCTATCAGAGCCGGATACACTTCGCTTCACTCCCCTCCTACCGTATTGTTAAGTCTCAATTTCAAAAAAAAAAAATGTTATCTTATTTAATATTTTAATATTTCGTCTCCCCTCTTTACCCGTGGAACTGATCTGAAAACCACACTGTAGCACAAAGTCTTAGTTTGTATATTGCATGTCAACAAATAAATATTCTTATTGGAGTCCGAAATGTGAGTTTAGACAAATTATATGATTTTAAAACTGACCCGCAAATCAATCGTAGTTTTTTCTTTTGTATCCGTGTAATATTTTATTCAAAGAAAATCTAAAATCAATAAAAAGAACAATCCATATTTTAACTAAAATACTCCTGATCTTCGGAAATGCTTTTTTTTTTATTCTGCGGAACGTGAAAATTCTCCTCGATTTTCTCTTTATAAATTCGAATAAAATATTCTCATTTGACGTGATGTACGCGCAGGCAGACGAATCAACAGACATTGGATTGGCAAACACTTCGTAGTGTTAATCAAATATACAAATCATATTATTACTGTACAAATACGATTCGATCAAAAAGTATGCGGTAAATTATTTGCTTAACAAGGCAAACGAAATAATTTGATTTTATTTTTAATTTCCGAGAACGCGTTAAAATTAGCATTTCCGGAATATTATTGTACATTTATCTAATACTGTCTCATCGCGTTATTAGATTCATCGTAACGCGCTCGAAAGTCAGACAAAACAACAACACTGCTATCTATACAGTCACGAATTATTTTTAAACGAATCACGAATCCGCAGAGGAAGTGCGCGATTTTTACCCAAAGCACCGACACCCCACGTGATTTTTTCAAATAAATAAACATCCGATTTTCGCGAAATGACCGAGTGCACAGTAATAATAATAAACAAGCTACGCCAAATGCCGGATTTCGAGAGCATGATCTAGTGTTTGTTTTCCGTCTTCCGATTTGCATGCATGTGCGTATTTACAAATTCCTGAGAACGGAACTATAACTTAAATTATATCAAAAACGGTTGAACGTAAACATGTTTAGAGAAACGTGTGTAAATTTATAAACAGATTGAAAAAAAAAAAAACTGTACAAAATAAATCAGCAGATCTCACTGGTTTATACCGGTGTACGAGAAAAGAAAAATAGAGAGAGGGCAGTTCATATATATTATTATGATAATAATTTACGTACTTACGCAGATATAATCGGGTTTAAAGGAGAAATTATTGCTAAGATTTATTTTTTCTCGGAAACAAGTTTTCGATTAGTAAAAATAAAAAATCCGAGTTGTTCATATCGTATAACAAAAGATCCAGATTTTTCGTCCGGCAGTGAATATTTTTAAAAAAATATTCCAGTTTCCCAAATTTTCTAATGAATTTAAAAAAAAAAAAAAGCGCGATTCAACGACAATACAACAGTTTTATTTTTTTTTATTTCTTTATTGCGAGTGTAACGGAGATTTGAATGCTTAGGAAGACGGGTGGAGTGACGAGTAAAGATAGGATATGTAACGAATACCCTAAGAGGTGGCATTGGTGCAGTGACTTCGATAGTGGACAAAATGAGAGCAAATAGACTAAAATAATTCGGAAACGTCATGAGAAGAGACAAATCAGATAATATAACAATGTCAATGGAAATTAACGGAGGAAGAAAGAAGGGAAGATGTCCGAGACGACCGAAAAGGCGATGTTTTGGATGTTATTGAGAATGGTATGCGTGTATGTGAGGATGATGTAGCAGATCGGATCAAGTGGTAGTTTAGGACTAGGGCGACCGTTCCCGATTATATGAGACGAAGGAGAAGAAAAAGTCCATAAAAAAAAAAAAAAAAGTAGTCGGCTACCTATATAGTATATATATATATATAAATGTATTGTATATTATTATAATCGCCGGTTCACACGACAAAAGAACCGCTCTGTATACACAGGTGAAAGGGCTGGGGAGGGGGGGAGACACGACTTTGTCACAGGAATGTGCGCGGTAGCACCTATATTTTACTGCGCTGTCGGTGGGAGCGTGTGCGTCTGAAAAATCGACCGCAACTGAGGAGACGTTTATTGGACGTTTGACAAAATCCAAGATACGCAAACGAATTAATTACCGGCGATATTATTATATTATTACATCAATACACTCGCAGGGATAATCGACGACGCGACCTAATAATAATAATGATGATAATGATAATACGGACGTGTGGTCAAGCCGTGTAGCGGCTGTGTGGCGGCGGGATATCAAATGCAAAATAATATACGAGTATATTTAAACGCCGTCACGTGTTATTTATTTTAAATCGAAAGAATTCTAGTCGGCGCGATAAAAAGCCGGCAGGCAGGCCGGCACGCGTCTGGTTACTGTTATTCTTATATATTTTTTTCGCGACCGTAAAATAATAACAGTAATAATAATATACGAATGAAAAAAAAATAAAAAAATAACGTTATTTACGAGCGAGAGAGCGAGAAGACGCGATCTCGCACATACGGGTTTTAAAATTCTTTCGGCGGGTATAGGTATACGTCAAAACAATAACAACTGTATATTCGTATCGAAAACAAAAACACCCGTGTGCAGGGGATCCACTCACTTCTCCCAGGGCGATTGAAAAGAAACAATTAAACGATCGGAAAATCCGGTTGTATTAACTTCGAACAGTGAAAATCTCGTCTTAACACCACACCTGGGACTGCTCCGAGGAATTATGGTTATTAATGTTCTACTAAGCTTGTGCCTAAAACCTTTAATGGGCGAAAAAACACGTTGGGTATAAATAAAAGTAAATGGCAAAATCCACGTCGAAAAGTAACGAAAAGTCGATAATATTGTTAATCATAACTTAAGGTTGTCAATTCGTTACCGTTAAATTCGCATAAACACTAAATTCAAATTTGAATAGTTGGTAGTTTTTTTTTTGAGATTATATTTAATATTTGATGTTCATATTGAAATATTCTTTGCAAAGCAATATATAACATTAAATACTTAAATAATACAATACTCTATTATTATTATACACTTAAAGTATAATATTTTATAAGGTTACTTATGAAATAAAAAAACGAAAAAAATAGTGAAATTTGAACATGGTTTAAAAACAAATTTAAAAATGGTAGAAGGGGGGGGGTTGAAAATTGTAACCTCAAAAGGTACATTCTTGCGATACGATGCACACGTATCGCTCCCCGCTCCGTTTAGGGGGTCTGTAGGGGTGTACAAAGTTAAAAAAAAAAAAAATAGTCCTACAACCCTCTCTAAACGCGATATTTTTTATCGATTGATTTTCGAACATATTTTAGTCGTTGGTTTAAATATAAAGGATAGTTAAATTACGCGCAAATCACGCAGCATATCATAATCAGATACTGGTGTTCGACAAACAAACGACACGTAATTAAAACGCAAACCATATAATTTACAACGGTGACGCAAAATACATAAACCTCACGCCAATAATATTGTGTTTTCGACCGGGCGGCACGTGCCCGATCCGCCGACCGCTCACGTAATCAATCGAATTAATTGTCGTTATGTAATGCAATATGTTTGTGACTTGCTGTCGTCGGAATTTTTGTTTTGTTTTGTTTAATGTAAAAGCGTACGATTAATAATACGAATAAGTTGAGGTACGTTGAGAGAAAATCTTCGATAAATCAATATTCGACGGTTTCATATTATGATTAGGTACCAGAAACATAGTGCTGTATACTAATAGTTATTATTATCTGAAACTTGATCCCCGAGGAAACAAACGAATGCAAAAATGGTCGATAGTTGAAGGAAGAATATTACGAAAGATCTTTAGACCAGTGGGGAATGACATAGCTGTTAGGTACAAAGGAAATACCGTGGGTTTCAAATAACGTTCGCGGAGATAAGAATATTTGAGAGATCATAAAAAAAAGGAGCACGTGCATAGAGAAGCCAAAACCCTCTAGGACAGACAGTGCTGAACAGAACTCGATAAAAGACTTTTTATATATTGGCTTCTGAAAATTGAGAAGGCCATGGACGAGATGGGAAGACGTAGTTAAAAGGGATGGATGTGGAAGCAGGTGGAACAAATTGTGAAATTTCGACGATTGATAGAGATAGCTTATGGATCAGTTATGACACAGAATAGTCTTGAGGCTGAAAAAATCCAAATAATAATATATTACGAGATGTCCTCATTCGTCGTTTTTATTATGAAATATTAGTTGTTTAAAAAAAAAAAAAATTGTGTAAAATAAGATTTTTAATAGCTTCCTATCAGTAAATTGAATATATTTATAAATATTTATGAATACATTGTAAAATGCCGCGACGGGGTTGTCTCCGAAATGTCATCATTTTCTACATATTCGTATTATAACAATATTTAGGTGTTGCGTAAAAGAGCTGATATATTTTCACCTTTTTTTTTTTTTTCGAAAATTCGTTAAGATTATCTATATACAACTCCCTGAAATACTGGAAATGCGATATATGTGAGTCGAAACGCGTAATAATAATATTATATTTTATATAGAGAAACCGAAAAACAACAATTATTATATTCCGTCGTCGTCGTCGGTCCGGGAAAGGCGGAAATGTATTTTGTCCGGAAAAGTATTGCATATATTCTCATCGAAGCTTAAACGTATTTCTAGAATACAATAGTGTAACGATAGTGTGCAATTCGCTCCTGACACGATATTAATATAGAATTTTCTAAAATTTGTGCGACGGATATGTTTCCAATGCCATGACACGACAACTGAACCGTCTATGTTTTAGAAATAATGTTTGTATCGTATGTATTTATTTTTTTGCTAAGGCTATTGAACAATAATATTTTTAGGATCTTTAGCAATGGAATTACGAAAGGGACAATCTTACTTATCAAAATAAAAATCAGTTATTAACCACGAACGGTACTAGACGCTAAGGAACCATTTTTGAAGATAAACACGTGTAACGTTGTACGAATGAGAACTGAATACAGTTGAGATGAGAAAACTAGAAGCATTCGAAATGTGAATGTATACAAAAGATAAGAAGCTAATAATATTGATAAAATCATATTTACAAAGCAAAAATGTCATCAGTACGATTTAGTCATGTATTATCGTGTTATTTAGATTTAAACTCTTCCGAGATAGCAAAAAAAAAAAAAAAAATTATTTATAGAAATCCTACCTACTACCTATAGTTTGTATTTTTTTTTTTCAACACTTCACTAGTTTATTATTTTTCGTGTGTGCACTTGAAAATAATATTATGTTTTGGACTAGATATCTATATTTAAAAAGTTCAAAATATTATTGTATAAAATTGATTCCGATTAAAAAAAATGTATTTCTTCGGACGAAACGGTACGAACGAAATATTGTACGTTTCAAAGAGAGAAAATGTTGTTTTGTATCCAATAAACTGCAGTCGTAGGCACCTACGATGTAATAATATTATATTCCGTTTAATCGTCATATACTGTACTGTGTGTGCCTTGACCCTGTTTCATATTATAATAAATGGTATTTAGATGTCGTCCACATGTTAAAGCTTTCGGTTTTTTTTATTATTATTATTATATCTGATCGGACAATATTCCGTTTGTAAGTCATGGACACTAATATTCCGGCGGCGGCGACGGTGGAGAACCCGTTGGCGCGCACAAAGCGTCGTGTCGTGGGTTATTCACTCTTGATACTGCTGCAAGTCGGTGCCAGAAATCGGACTGAATCATCCGAAAAACATTTGGCACCTCTACGCCACGAGGAAATGTAATGCGGTGCGTGTAGATCGTTTTGCTGGCACCGGAATCGATTCCATTCATCGACGACGGGAGTAAAAAAAAAAAAAAAATTCGTATAATATTATATAATTAATATTATTATAAACGAACAGACAATAAATAGATGAAACTCAAATTTTTGATTTCCGTATCGTTTTTGTAAATTATGTAATCGTAACGACTACAATTACTCGTACAGGTAAATTCACTCTATAATTATTATAACGTCCAAAGTTTTTGTCAGTATTTAATTAGATAGTTCTGGAAAGTTTCCATTTTATATTGACACACCTCCATAAACTGTCCCAAATATTTTACATGGATACTTTTAACACTTACGAGTACCTACTCGATCGATCGATTTTTAATTTTACGAACGACAACTTCCGAAAATAATTGCAAATTGTACTCGCCTGGAAATCAACGATTGATTTTAAAAAATAATAATATAACAATATTGTATTTTAGAAATTCTCATTTCGAGTATGGATTAAGATGATTTTAATGTTGGGAATGTTTTTTTTTTTCTAGGGATGGGGGGGGTGTATGTCTGTATATCTTTTCTACCAGAAATCTTGCTGTAATCAAAAACTTTTTTGGAGCATTTTTTTGTCTAGTTGCGGCGCATTAAGGAGTTTATTTTCTGGACCGAAAGAGTTCAAACTCGGGAGTAATAGTTTTTTTTTATTATTTGTATAAGTGTATTGAATTGATAACATTTTGGTTGTATTTCAATTTAAAATTCACCATGTTATTATGGGAAAATACTGTTTTTTACATTTGCACACCCCTTCAGATTAAACGAGTACAGGGAGATGAAATTTTGAATATAGGTATTAAGAATGTGCCTCTTGGCGCTTTCAACTTTCAATCCCCTCCTCAACCATTTTCATGCACAGATGTCATATTTTACCAGGAAATAGCGAGTTCTGAATACCCTTACAGGCTTTTGGAAGTATTTAACTTGGTTAAATTGATAGATTTAAATGTTCAACTCTTAACCCCACCATCTGTTTGTATGTTAGCATATATCTAGAGAACTATTTTACCAATTTCGATAAAAAAAATTTTGTTCAATTATTTTTATTAAAAAAAAAAAATATATGAAATATTGTTACGGTAACAAGTTAGCCGGGGAAAAATTTATCTTATGACGAAGTTCTGCTATTCATGCGGTTTTTTTTAAATATTTATTTATACGAGTGATAAATTTAAAAAAATTATAATAACCTATTGCAACTAAATGTGCCAAATGACAAACGCGAATGTGTAAAAGCATTGAATTTTAGACTTGCAGGTACTGTGTTAATATTACACGCGCACTATAACAATTATTATATTAATACTAGTAAATTTACCTACTTTTAACATTGTACAAACAAATATTTCAATCTGTTTAGAACACAAAAACACGAGTTTTGTGTTAATCGTGATTTTTAATTCATCAGCAGTCAAATGAATGTTTAATGCCATAGTTAAAGGCGGAGAACAATTGTAAAAATTGATGTTTGCAAATTTCAAGGGGGAAATAATGTAAAATTAATTTGCACGAAAACACAGATTGTCAAAAAGAGTTTAAACACATTTTAAATTACTTTTAAAACAGCTCTAAAATAAACGAGTGTATATTTTTAAACTTAAATTTTATTTTTGGAACGCGAAGAAGACATTATACTGAGGTATATTATAAATGATAATTTTTAAACTGATATGTTTTTAACTTTTATATTTAACTTATAGTGTAGTACTTGCAGTGTTCTTTTATAATTTTAGAAAATGACTCAAAATTGCGTACAATAATTATCAACAGTTTAACGAGACGATACAGTTTATATTATTTTTCATCTCGTTTGTATACGCGTGTTACAATATCGGTGTCTAAACGTCGTGATTTATAACAATAAAATACTTTATAACGTTAGAATACACAAATATTATTACGCGATTATACATAGTGTTACATTGAGTATTATAGAGATGATAACTAAACTGATTAAATTACCATTTCCAAATTTATACGGACAATTAGTCAAAAAATATAAAATTAATTAATACTGATTAAATAAATATTCTAAGGTGATTACTTTACCACAAACTGGTGAAACTGTTGAAACTGGTGACAACGAAGATTTTGAGTAAATTTTCGTTTGGTTAGTGATAAATGAAAAAACTATACTATATTATGATTATGTTGAATAAACGGGGTGATTTTTTTTATTATTCTTACAATCCAGCGATTATCTACAAAGATTTTGAGTATAATTAATTTTGATTTTTTTTCCTCGATACAATCCGTTTAATAATCGTATTTACATTTTTTTTTAATTTTACGAGAAAATAATTCCATAAGTCATACACACATCAACTTTTAAATTTTAAATAACTACGCCCAACCTTTTTCAACCAGATTCTAAAAGAGATTATTTTTCAACAGATTCCGATAAAACACCGGTATTGGAATCGCCGTTTATGAATCGCAATAACAGTTTGAAATTTAAACAGAAAGATTTGGGAAGTGTTATCGTTTAAAATCTATACTCAATTAACTATAGTTTTCTCTACTCCTCTGGTCTAAATTTTAAACTATTATAATTTATAACGGCCGTATATCCAACATCGTGCAAATCGAAATTTGTGAGAAAAATATTTATTTTTTTTGCGAATCTGCGTGGAAATGGAGGGATCGAGCAATTTGAAAATCAAAAGTTATTTCTCGTTTAATGGTATAAAAATACTGAAAATATTGTTAGGAACATCAGGAATTGAATTCACACGTAAAAGTTAAAATCCTCAGAGGAAAACGTTGGATCGTAATAAAAAAAAAAAAAAAAAAATAGTAATAATCACTCTATTGTATAATACAATAATACTTTGGACGTTAGAAATGTATTCAAAATATCAGTCTATGCATTGAGCACGATTATACTATAGTCCGGTGTGGACATTTAAATTTAATAAAAACAATTTACGAATGCGCATTACAATTTTACGCGGAGACATTTTTAATACGTTGTAACGAATGAAAAAAAAATGTCACCGTCGAAGGGCATCGTCATATTATTATTATTATCTGACTTTAAAATAACGGATGATTACAATAATATACTATAAAGACTTGCAGGCCGAGCGCAGACGCTTTTATGTCGGTTTCTTTTGTTAAAAAAAACCGATATCGCGCATTCAACGGACGCTTGCGCATATACGAATAACGTATTTTATCGAGGTTAAAAAATTAGGGTAAATTAAGATTAAAAGAAGAATCGTTTTAAATAACTATTATTGTTTTTTATCGTCACGACTCACGTGACCTACTATTCACATCATTAACGTAATAATATATAATTTGTTTTAAATAATATAACAATAATTGTTAATTTTTGAATAAAAAACAACTATTTAATCGTTGCATCAATTACGTATATTTTATAATATAAATTTAACGTATAATAATACGTTAAAAAACATGTCGTATCAGTTTTAAAGATTCGTTTTTTGTTGTATCACATCGCGTTGTAATATATTATGTACGAGTTGTGCAACATGCATTTATATTGTTTCGTTTTACACGATTTAATTATTTTAATTTTTATAATTATATCGGCTTTATTAAGTATAAATACTTGAATTTAATATAATAAGGAATGCAAATTATGTTTACACAATTAGTCGGGATTTTTTTTCACGAATTCTATCGATTATATTCTTTATAGTTATATTATATAATATCGTTTTTTTCACGCAAAGCGATTGTTATACGAACGAAATCAATAGGTATAGGTTTTTTTTCCATTATAAAACTGTTAAATTGTTCGTCTTCTTCCGCATAGTTTTGGCTCTTAAGACCATAATGTCTATCCTACTTGTTCTCTACGGCTATTCTCCCCACCGGGTTTCCAACTCAGTGGTGTGCTTAGGGGACAACTGTTATAATGTTTATTTAGTAATTGTATCTTGAAACTATATTTACTGCCAAGTTACACGGAAAAAAAATGTATTTATTCGATATAAATTAGCTTTTGTGAACATGGCTTTTAAATTTTCATTTTTTGGCTTGGTATTGTGGGGTCGTTAGCATAGAATTTTATTTGATCATCTTGATTTTAACTAAAAACGTTACACCTACACGTCAGACCCACATCAGTATTATCTTATGACGATCTCTATATAATTATATAAACATCGGGCTTTTGAAGTTGAATTTTAAGTTCATCGTTATAATTAATCAGCTCCGTTCGTTCATTTGGACATCAAAGATCGGGAAGTGTATTTGTCTGGTAACTTTTTTCTCGAAAACCGCTAATCTCAGTTTTTCGACTTTTCTCGGTGGTTGCGTTTCAGATCCACCATATATAAACCAATTAGTCGTAATCAGTGTTGGTTTCGTAAAAAAAAAAAAATCTCTCGAGTATACTCTCATTATTTAATTTGTAAACGTCATGCTGTGCATAAAACACTGGGAGATATACGTGCGTATTTGTACTGTATTTACAGAGTGTACGCTAATTCACCAAATGGTAAATAGGTATACGCCGTATATCCCCGTGTATCCTCCAAAACACCATTGGTCGTAATAATATCATGTACGTTCGTTATAAAACCGTTAACAATTCAATACAAAAATAAATCTAACATCAATTCAATTCAATCGATAATTAATACTCGGATATTATACTGTTGCGCCTGTGCTAGGTGTTATGCCTCTATATAATAGAAAGTTGAGAACTCTACTGAAAATTTGATCATGAAACCTTGATTTTCCTCGCTTTATAGTTTCGTAATAAACTAGACTTAAATAATCGAGTAACGACGACAATAAGAATGTTACGAATTATTTGTGTTGATGGTTTTAAATCATTTCAATATTATATATACGTTTACGATACGATAAAAGCAGTCAAGTCAACGTTTAATTTACATTTTGGAAATGACTCAACCGACAGTAAGTAAGTTTTTACTGTCGTTCGTCGTACGCACACAGCTAAGAAAATGTAATTATACCAGTCGTCGTAAAAAAAATACTACTACGGGCAAGTCGAGATATAATAATAATAAAATAGTATAAGACGTTCGAAACCGAGAAATGAGAATATTATTTATTTAAACGCGACGTGACGTACCTCCGCTGCAAATATAACGTCATCACGAGAAAAACGGCAAGGTTTTTTTTTTATGAAAACTGAATTATCGTAGATTATTGTTGTGTAACTAAATGCATTACAGATATTCATGTTTATCTCGATTTGAATTTAATTGATGATGGACAAGGTCGCAAATATCGAAAGTATGGAGTAGAGCTAAACTATCCCTAAATCGACGTTTAGACCCCACCATAAGAACTGACAAATTTCAAACACTAAATAAGATAAAATTGAATACTTATTGAATGCAAAAGGTTTTTTTTATCCAATTTTTTAATTGACTAATTTATAACGAAATATATAAATTTAAAATTCGGATTTTTATTCATATTTTTTTTTCTATTCTTGTTAAAAACAATATTCACGAATAAATTAATCTTAACCCAAGACAAACAAAAAAATATAATACTACAATACAAAACTGCGGTCTAAAACGGAACACCATGTAGGTACGTATGCGATTCAATTCGAATTCAAATTCAATTCAAATTGTCCGTTTCGTCAAGAGTCCGTAGTTTTTCTATAATTGCCACTGTTACCTTTATCAAGGAACTCCAACAGGACATTGGACACAAATACCAAAAGTGTAAGGATTTTTTGTGAAAACATAAATCTACGTAACTTGTTGTGAGTTATATATTTAGCTATAATCACTTTTCTTTTTTTATTATTTTATGAGATTATACTTAATAAATTACCTAAGGGCAATGGAAATACTTGTAGGCGGTTGAAACTTTATTTTAATTACTAACCATTTTTTATTTATTTAAATGTATCTAATGCGCATCGTGTCTAAATTTATATAGGTAGGCAGTATATAATGCACGTGTTTTTAGTGTTAAATTACCGATTATATATATTTTATAATATTATAAACCGAGTATTATTATTATTTTTAAATCGTTATCTCGAGGTTATTTTTTTTTTTTTTAATGAAATAAACGAAACGTGACGTCAACTGTGGCGGAAAACGACCCGGTGGAAAAACTCGAAAAGAATTCGCTTTTATATACATAAGGCAAGGAGAAGACGCTCGACTTGTTATCAATCGATATACGTATAGTGCAAATAAATTTTTACACGCACACATCAGCTAGATTAAATGGAAGATTTAACAGCAAGTAGTGAACTGGAATAATTGAGTTGGCGTGGTTTTGGATTCGCGTATATAATATCTTATTCCGGTGCGTTAGACCGTGAACACCGGGCAAGACCGCATTGGTCGAACTTATGGGTACTCGTGTTTTTAACAATATTCCTTAAGTAAGATCAAAACGGAATTTTCAATAGAAAATTAAGCGGAAACGAGTATTTATTATGCATCTTCCATACACGAAACGTTAATAGTATTGATTTTAGTTTCGACCGACGACATAAACTAGACAAAAATATTTATGCGAGTCGCTGATAGATTTTGAACCGATAATGTGTTTCGTTTTTTCTTTTTTTTTTCTTTTTTCGTGGGTCGATGAGACGATTTTCTCCAATCATCGATTCTGTAGGTAGAACTTTTGGTTGCATCGGTCAATTCGGAAAGTTATTTATTCTTCGTTTAATTCCTATACGTAGTACTTTTTTAATCGATAACGTGACATCTTTAGCATTAGCACCGAGAGATCTGACATTTCGAACACCGGACACGCGGCAAGTCCGACGACATCTATCTTAGATCGCGATCTACGAGTCTAAGAGTTTTATTTTATTTCCGTGACCAGCTTTTTTCCCCGCCCTTTAATAAACAATTTTAAGGGCCGGGAGTAACCTGTTGAACAACGATCTTCGCTGGACATTGCGCTTGACGGTGATGCGTTCGGTATTCGAACTGCACAATGCGTACTCGACTGTTTTTGAATTTTCAGCGGCCCGTCGGAGTTGTGGCGCGGTCGTTTTCGCAACTCCGTCGCGAATAATATTATTATAACATCGGGCAGCGAAACACGTTTTCTCGAACAAACACACGCACCGGCAGCGGCAGGGGAGATTGATCGCACCAGTCCGATTTTGAATATTTATATTTATACCGGGCCAGCGACGAGTCGTAATAGCTGCGGTGCGTATCGCGCAAAAGCAAGGTCGGCAAGTACGAGCAATATTATCGCAAGAGGATGACACGCGGCGATGGCAGAGCTCTAGAAATAGACGGGACCCGGCGGTGACGGTCAGCAGGCGCCATGCGATTATAATAATAATAATAATTATTATTATTATTATTATTACGGCGAGTGGCGACGACTACGATAATAATAATAATAATAATAATATCGTCGCGACCGTAGGTTTTACGAGAGTGCGTGGATATCAGAAAAAAAAAACCAAAAGAAATGTATTAAAAAAAAAAAAAAGACAGTTTCCTCGGTCGCTCTACTCGGAATCTGAAATACGTCCGGATGGTTTGTCGTCGGGTTGTTGTTGCACGCTTGGCGGCCGTTGACGATTTTATGGCCTCCAACGACGACGGTTTTCACATAACAGGAAAAAGAAGAAAAATTATTGTACACGGCAATAAAAAAAAAAAAAATAAATAAATAAAAAATATCGTCTTCCGCGTGATCGCGATTACGAGACGGACGGGGACGTCGGATATGAAATGGCGGAAAGGAAAAAAAACCAGCCGCCAGAATACGTGAACGTATAAACGAGAGTATCTTTGGGATGACAAAAAAAAATTCCCAATAACAATCAAAAGTAAACAAGGCAGTGGCGCGAAATCAAAATGTTCTATAAACGATATACGTTCGTAATAATATTACTTACGAGGATGACAGTAATAATAATTGATTGCAAAACGAGAAAATCGCATAAAATGGACGTTGTCGTCTTGTCCATAAATTGTATCGACGGAGACGAAAAAAAAAACTGCTCTCGTAGTTGTTTTTTAGTAGAAACTATAAAGGCGATATGTGTGTATGTGATGTAGGTGTAATACGAAACGTTGAACAGAAAAATCAACTCAGAATTTTCAATCGAATATTTATAGTCATAAATGTACACGAATTATATTACGTACATCATTATTTACAGAAAAGTCCAACTCTCAAAACTTACACCGCAGAGATCTCTTGACTCTTACCAAACGTCTAATCAATAAATTTGATCAAATATTTTTAAGCATTTATACTGAAATATCTTTTACTGTTGGCCTTCGTGTTAAGATCAGTTCACTCTTCTCCAATATAGAATAAATTATCGATTCGTTGTGAATAATACAATTTGTAAATCTTTGTGCTGCAATACTATCATAAAAAAAAAAAATTGTCTTTTTTTAACCTATATATCACACGAATGAGGGCAAACTCGTGTACCTATACATACTACGCTACGTTTTCATTCGGGGACCGGTCCAAGTCGACGACTCGGCCTTATCGTTTATATCTAATACCTATATAATATAATACAACGTCTTCGAATTATCGAATAACGATTTCGATATAGACGTCTAGACCGATCCTGCGATGGAATGAGCGCATACATACTGGCATTATTATCTGACGTAGCTGTGACTACGAAATGCATACAATCGTGCGAACGATTCATAAATCTTAAACATTAATTATTGACTAAATTTTAATTATTTAGCGTCAAATCCGTAGTATTGCGTCGAATATAACGTGAGTCCTAATACTCTGTCACGGAACCACCGTAAATGGTCGACTAATTGGACCGCTGCACACAATACTGTACGCGGATTATTAAACGATTCCATACAAGCCAAAATCAAATTCACTTGACATTTTCGTGAATCTGTCGATACAATAATATCACTTCTTGTATATTATGAGAATATATATTATTTTAGCATTTCATTATGATTGCTAGGTATAAAACCGAGATCGGTGCGATATAAGTTGACTTCTGGTATAAGTTTCCACTTTCTATATTATATATCCGTCGTTATTATAAGTGGGTCTTCCTTAAACAAAAAGAAAATAATAATAATAATAATAAATACGAAAAATGTGTTGTTGGAAAATTTTCCAGCGAGTTATTACTTATAATACACTTTTTAGTTAGAACGAGTTCGTAAACCGGAAGTAATATTCCATTAATATCCCAAGAGCTTTAACGTTGTTTTAAAACCATATTTTGTTAGGTAAAATTCGTAAAACAACTTCTTTACATTTTTTATTCTTAATGCGTGCAGCGATAAAAACCATAGAAATTAATGAACTTTTTTTTTTTTTTTATTATTATTATTACTCGATCAATTTAATTATATTCTAATTGTCCATAGGTGAGTCATACCGTAGACGCTATATAATATAATCAGTTAGAACTTATACAAACTAGAGATAAAGTAAAACCTAAATCCGGTTGATTTTTCATTTGGTGGCCGACCATTCGAGTTATCAATAATTCGATTTATAGTTCAATAAATTGCTATTTTAAACGCACGAGACTAATCTAAATGCTCGCTGACTTAGAATATTTATTCAGACGCATATACATAATGTGATTATTTTTTTCTTCCAAACCGTACGTGAAAATACAGCGAACGAGCATATTAGTTTTTTAGGCAAAACCCCTTGCTGAAAATCCGGAAATTTGACGAATTGCTTGTACGGTGAACTCTTAGGTATAGGTATTCTGAGAATATACGTGATTCCATTAAAATATTATATAAAAAACTATTATTATGAAAAATGTCTGTTCGAGAAAACGTTTCGAGTAAAAAAAAGAGACTATACTTCGGTTAAAATATTTGTACTTATGGTAAACAAACCAAGAAAGTTTTAATTACCTACACACGTATATATATACAGTGAAATAAAACGACGAAGTTTTTAATTATAGGTACGGTTTTTTTTTTTTTTTTTTTGTAACCAGAACAGGTTTATTTTAACCGTAGTCGAATGTGTATTTAATTTGCTTATACGAATATAATGTTATATAAATTGATTATTTAAATAATATACAAGTGTATGGATAACTTGCATGCATTATTTAGGATTAATTGAATATGTAATGAAACTTATCCACCTGCCTAACCTACCTAAACTAACCGCCAGTGTAATAAACTAAAACGGTCTGAAGACAGGAAAAAAATAATGATAATCACCTTTAAAACTATACCTAATATTCTGAGAGACGTGACCGCTGAGAAATGTACCTACTGAGACTAACGGTTTTTGAGATAGAAAAATATATGACCCGATCATTGATGTTCAAACCAATGAATAGGGGAGATTACAATGTGATGATGAACTTAAATTCAGTTTAGAAGGCCCGATATAGATGGTGAGTTCGCCTTAAGGAAGACTAATGCGGGCGAGCCACGTCTGGCGTAAATAATGATTTATTTAGTTGGGCAGTTGTTCGAATAAGAACCCATAGAAAAAATGCTCTTAAGGAGACACGGGTTAATGAAGGAGATTTACGGCGGTGGAGCTGCAAAACCAATGGAAACAAATTGCGGTGAAAACAATTTTAATTTAGTGGTTTTTTTGGCCCAGAGCCGAAAAAAAGAAGAATTATACAGGCTTACGAAAATTTTGAGTAAATTTGTTTTTCCTTTCAGACCTCATAGAATCGTTTAACAGAACATCACACTCGAGCACAATAGTTATTACGGTACATGAAATTTAAATCGTTTCATTCAAGATGAAATTGGGGAGAATATAATATATTTCTAAAGACACCGCCTGTTTTTTTTCCTTATAAAATATTGCCTAAACAATAAGTTACATGCATATATATTAGTTTTTGGCTGCAAAGTAACTTGGAAAGAATTTCTACTGAACTAATGTAGTCAAAACGAATAAAATAAAGGTAACATGAATCTTATATGTTATCGTTTGGTTATTAAATATCAATGAGGAGTGAAATATATGACATAGGTAATAGTTTAAATAGTATATTAGGTATTTTTAAAATCGGTGAAATGCAAAAAAATAGATGTAAACAATTTTTAAAATTTCACAATAGTTACAATCAATATAAATTATAGAAATTCAGATCATATTTTAGGTTAGGTGAAAAAAATTTGAAAAAATATTTAAATTGTACGCAATATAGGTATTATATTACTTTAAAATAATAATATTAAATATTTAATTTTTTTTTTTTTTTACATTATTTTATAAAATACGTATGATTACCTTATGATGAATGCAATGGCATTTGTAAAGTTTTAAATATTGCATTTTAACAATTACAAGAATGGATTATAGGAAAATAATATTTCGGTTTTTTCTGCTGACTTGGGGATCGTTCAAGCAATCTATCGAAACGCGCTCATAGTAAAAATTTCAAATATTACCTTTTTTTTTTAATATGTATAATTTTATTTTTTGTTTTAATACAAATAGCCAATAATATTTTACAGTTGGTAAAAAAAAAAAATACAATCCATACACGTTATATTCGTAAAAAAAGAAAAGAAACAAAAACTTATTTGGATTGCAGCTATATCTGTAAACATAAATTGAATTTTTCGTCGAACCGTAGTCGAATATATAATATTTTATAAAAAATCGATTATAGTGTGCCTATAATAAGTAAAAAAAAAAAACAATTTTCATTTTATAAAATACTAGCCGTTCCGCACAGCTTTGTCCAGGTACTGCAGTATCGAATTAAAAAAAAAAAAAAGTAATGAAACGTGTCTGTCGTGTGTTGCTGAAGATTAGCGGATATCGTATTACATCATAATAAATTTCCCTAATTTATTGTCTTTAATATTATCGTTAAAAATATTTTTTTTCTAAAACACTAACGAACAATAAGTTATCATTGTAATCATAAAGATGAAAATATAATCTGACTGGGCGAAACGATACCGCGGGCGTACTGTTCTTATTAAAAATACTCAACAGGGATAGCACAATTACTTAAAAAAAATACATAAAATACGTTACAATACATTTCGGTCACCAAGGAAATCCAAAAATCAACACAAATAACTATATTTTCGTTTCAAGAATACCGAAAACCCCGTTTTATTGACCTTTTGGGGGTTATATTTTTCTAGCCTGTCCTTTTCCGGAGTTCAAGGAGTGTAAGAAAAATAATAAATGATCAAATACAAAACGTCATAATAATTTACAAATTAACTATAGTCGATTGAATTAAAAAAAAAAAAAATCAATTATAACATAATATATATTATCAAATATTGTGTGGGTTATAAGAAGGATTTAAATTAAATTATCGCACATATATATAGCAAATTTGATTATATTTCTTATATTTGTTAACTATTATGCACTGAATGAAGGAACACATTTTTAATATCAGGTACATACAAGAAGTAGTAAAATTGAGAAAGTCTGTATATAATCGAGTTTCAATATAAAAATATATATACATACGTATATATATTTATTTACGGTAAATAATTATTGAAAACTAACTGTATACATATAATTATTGAACATTGAATTTAATTTAATCTCATATTTGTATATATTTTAAGAAAAATATAATACAATTAACCGTGAGAAAAATATCGGAAATTTATAATCATATTATGTAATTTTCTCGGTTTACGATTGAAATTTTATAAAATTCTATTTTTAAATATATATGTCTAAATGAATTTGCAAAGAGTCACGAGTCAATATTTCGGATGAAGATTTTTTCACAAAAAGATGTATACGTAAAAATGTATTTTTTATTACATGTCAGATACATGTCATTATGTTTTTTGAAGAAAAAATGTCTGAAATTTCATATGAGCTTAACGAGAAAAGGATGATTTACAAAAATGTCAATTTATATTTTTCGAACAACAGTAATGATAATATTATATTATCATATACGTTTATATTATACGCATATATGTTTATATTCGGACTGTTTGACGTCAAAAAGTAATATACAAACATAATATAAAGAATAACTGAACATTTATTTCAAGACTTTTTTAGAGTTGAAATCAATCGATGGTTCGAAAATTAGGAACATACTATTATTGTCATATATATTTGTATTTTGTTATTTTACTAGAATAGCGTTCAAAATTCACTACTTATATATTACCTACTGTAATAGCACCAAGACTCCAAGAGGACTTTAACAGAAGTCTAAAACAGGATTGTATTGACTCTCAAAAAATATAATTTGCACAAGCCTAAATGATGACCAGAAGCATTCCCATATGGTCCCAAACAGGAATTTATTCAGTGGCATTCCTTAGACATTCCCAATAAACACCCACGTATATTACCCACCATATTTTGAACAAGAGTCCCGTAGTAGTTCAATCGGACCTTTATGATGGGAGTGACTAAACACAAAAAATAAAAAACGAGAAAAATCGAGAAAGGTTTGTGGGAGTCGAACTCTAACATACCTAGGGAATAGCTATTCCCTGCCTCTTTGAGGCGTAACGTCCTGTAGATATACTGCACTACATAACGAAATACCTATGACGTGAGACGTTTTTCAAAACTTAAGTTGCATAAAATCGTACTAGTATCATTTTAATATGACGTAAAAATCGAGTAAGTAATAAATATAGAATATTCGTTTATAGTACAGATACAATAAATGTATACTGTGAAATAACTGCGCGCGTTTTTATTTTAAAATAGATATATGCAAAAATATGATCATAAATCCTAGCCCTATACACCGGTAATAACCATAAAACATACTTATTTTTTAATTTTTTTTTTTTACTAAAACGTATATATATTATAGTATTATATATATATACGTTTATATATATATATATATATATATATATATTACGAGCCGAACGGAAATTCGTTAACGACGACAATATACTACAATACCGCTAGACGTTCATCTTCATCGTGGATACTTATAGACGAATATCGCAGACATCACAAACTGTGGGTAGCTACGTTGTAAATTATTATAATATTATGTGCGCGTTTTGAATAATGTATGATAATAACGTAAAAGACGATAGTCGGAAATAAATTTCGGAATTAACGAAGCGAAAAGGAATTAGTTAATATAATTTACCGCGATTTCTCGCAATAGCGTGCCGAGGAGACGAAATCCCGACCAGTATTCAAACGACGATATCGCCGCCATTTGTTCGAAAGTTTTTAAAATTAACGATAAAAAGCACGAAACACTTACTGTGCAGCTCAGCGGCGTTTTGTAAAATATATTTTTCATAATATAGTCACTTTTGCAGTTCAAGCGATGATCACACATGTTGGAAAAACAAACTTCGACACGACGATAAAAACAAAGACGCTTTTGCATAATAATATTATAAACGCGGATTATCACGACCGTTTCCCGACAAAAACTGAATAGAGTACGTGTTTTTTATTTTTTTTAATGACTGTAAAAAAAAAAAAGGCCATCGCATTTTAATCTGGAATATAAGCCATCACGTCTCCGAGAAAATGTAAAACTAATAACAATACGTTTTACCCTATGGAGTCTATAGTACAGACAATAGGGTTGTTGTCGCAACAATTTGTATGACGAGCAAAAAGTCCAAAAACACATAGACACTTGTTCTATGTTAACTCGCAGTAAATTACTGCAAGATTTAATATAGCTGATTTGTTTTAATCCCCACACGGGTATACGCGTTCAATAATATATTTATATAGGTACGCTGGTCTATTATAACTTTATAAGCCCGCGAAAATAATTATGACCCAGTTTTCGTTTTTACACACTATGTTTAATATAAACTATAAATAAACTATTATACAAAAAGTGTATTATAGTATTATATACAGTTTTATTTTTTATTTTTTTTTTTTTTTTTTTTTTGTATTCAATAAATCGAGCGTTTTTCCTAGTAACTAACTTGGCTAAAATGTATAACTTTAAGATAAAATTACCAGATAAATACTCATGGTTGTTGTATTTTCAAGTCGATGTGAAGGCATACAACCGTTATTCCCACTAAATATTATGCTCAGTTTTCAGTTTGAGCTGTCTTGCCGGGGCGTTTTCCCAATTATAAAGAAAACTACAAGGCAAAAAAAAAGTATACCGCCTCAATGTATTATTTGAACAGAATGTGCTCCAAAATAGCTCGACGTTTTCGATCGGAACAACAATATTATTATCGGTAGAAAAGCGGTTATAGCGGACGGACAATAAAAAACACACGTTATTATCATAGAAAATGTCCGCGATAATTCCACCGGGGGACCTTTCTCTCTCGTCGCCGTCGTGCCGACAATCGCGACAACGTATAATTTATTCGACGCCATTTCCGTTCGTCATCGTCGCATAAACGAAATTCGTGTACTATACCGCCGAGTGTTTAACGACCGACGCCTTCGTATCCGAGCACCTATTTATACGACACGCGGTAGTCGTAAAAATGCATTGAAATAACATAACATTATATACCTATGCGAGTATAAAACGCGTTAACATAATAGATATATAGGTACTTACACGCATATACCTAAATAATTTATCGTTTTAAGAGGATTGAAAACGGCGGTGGCGGCGGTGTGCGTTTGTATCGCATCAGCGATTCGGTGGTCGTAAATCGCGTATATTTTATTTCGGGCTTATATTATAATCTATCACTGGCCGATCCGAGAATAATCAGAATCAACAAAAAAAAAAAAAAAATTTTAAAAAAAATAACAATTATAATAATTAATTAAATCGAAAAATGATTCTAAAATAGTATTATATTGTTGGACCTCCGTCTATCCGTCACTTATAATAATACAATCGGATGTCCGAAATTTCAGATACTTTGACGCTATACGCTACGCGGCTTTATCGAAAACCAATTGCGTGTCGATATTGGTATTGTTGCCCGGTTTTTCCATACATGTTACAAAAGTGCTATACATGATATTATTATGACAAAAATTATCGCATTTCATAGTAAAACCGATACATTCCTCCCTACGTTCAGTGTTTATAAATCCATACGTGGAGACTTTTTTAAATTCTTTACAAGAGCATAATACTGTTGACGCTATAATCCGCTGTCAACACACTAATCGTTGACTGAAACCGCGATATCGAATCCCAAAAATATTAATTATCGTTAATAAATTAATAACAAACCAAACAGACTATAAATCCGCATTTTAATCCACGGCGGCTTCGAGTTGTGTTCTTAATTTTTTGTCTTTTCAGGGCTCGGATTTTATAGCATTTGCTAATTATTATTATAGGATATAGATAAAAATAACAGAGTGAGCTATATAATTGTGTTGTGCACCAGGGACTCCAAATATGAAATTTAATAATGTTATTTTTTGGATATTTTAATTATTTTAGATTTTGAGTGCGATTTTTCATTTTTTGGTGCTATATTATATTGCTTATATTATGCTTAATATAATGATTTATTTTGTATTTTTCATAAATCTCGTTTACATTAAAATATGAAAAATAGCAGACGAAATTTGTCATTTATGTGAATCCATAAGAAAAATACTCACATTTTCGTTTCATATTATTAGATACAATATGATAGATTTTTTTTCAAAATATTATTTTTTACTTAAAAACATTATATTTAAGATTTTGGATGAAGCGAGCAATATATTGGTTTTACTACGATGTGTTTTTTTTCTTTTTGTTCAGTTAAAACTTTTATAGAAACATTCTTGTTGCATTTTTTTATATATTTGGTGCATTAAAGAAGCCGTTTTTTATTTTCCTTGTAATTTTCGAGTTTTCTCTGAAAATAGAAACTATATTGCGAATTCCATAAAAAAGTCAATACTATCAGAGATAATTAGCGCCTTGACGAGAAGGATAAATGTAAAAAAAAAATTAAAAGTACTTGGTACAGTAATATTGTAAGCTTTACATTACATTTTTGAATGTTAATTTTATTTCTTCAAAATTCAATTATAGTTTTATTATTTTAAAACTATATTTTTTAAATTTATCCATTTTTAGATTTATTTGATATGGATTCAATATTGAATATGAATTTTATTAGACGTGATTTAAAGTTTATGTTTTATTAATTTTTGTATGACACATGAAACCTTTTAGTAGCTTGATTGAGTTTGTACGACTGCATACGATTTATGTACCTCACCCTTAAAAACCTTACTGTTGCGTACGAAAATGATTGTGACGTTACCAACATGCACAACTTAGTTTATTTACTATGCGCACAACTTTTATGTGAACAAATAACATAGCAATATTTAGTGGCTATTTAATTATAGTAAATTAACTGTTAAGTAAAAATTGTGTGCAAATTAATGTGCGAATTAATGAAAAATTATTTTAATATATTATCAAGTACTATTGAAATAATATAATTAAAACAATATTGTATCATTAATAAATTATAATCTAAAACCTAAGTGTCGATAATTAGTCTCTGGTAAAAAAAAAGAAAATGTAATACATTACCATCTATTTTAAATTTGTTGTATAGTTGTACCACATGGTTTATACTTGGAATATCTTCAGTTTGAATAATAATAGTGAAAATAATAGAAAAATTTCATATCGAACTAATAAAAGGTTTTCCTAAAATAAGTTAGTTTACAATTTTTTCATAAATTTCATGTTTGTGAACAACGGCAACGTAGCACCAAATTTGGGTAGGTAGAACGTACATAATCGTAACCCACCCGTGAAAGTGGTATCGTTCAGTATATTTATCTAATAAAACATTTAAATATAAATGTAATGTATTCAATATATTATCAAGGGAATGTTTTGTTCTCTGATCCGAAAAACAAAAAGAATGTGGTTGGGGATCTCAAACGTTTATACAATAATATATACCGTATTATAATTTATTATAGGAACATAAATTTGGAAAAAAAATCCTATAAAATAAAATAATACTCCAAAATTGTGTACGAGTATGATAATATTTATTACGGTGTATCTCTCGTATATTTATTGTATAAAATGATTTTACACTAAACAAAAATCAGTATAGACGTACTTGTAAGTATAAGTTTACTCTATAAAAACTCTTCGCGAACTTTAAAGTCAATATACGTGAAAGAACTTTTATTAAATTATTTGCGTACATAATATAATATAAACCAAACGTTGAACTCTTTAAAAAGTTCTCTTGTCTCGGGGGAATTATAATGTAAAATTCCAGCAGTATGTCCTTTAAAAAAATAATAAGAAGCAATCGCGTGTCATAAAAACGAATGCCATCGGATACGTGGAAATAACAAAAAAATAAAACTGAAAAAGAATAGTCGTATTATATAACGGCTGCTGCAGAAGGAAAGGATTACAGTAAATATCATTTTAATATTTAAAACTCTTCTTGCAACAAGAATGAGGGTCGATGGAGCGCAATATTATTTTCAAAATTGTTTTAAATTATAATAAAAAACAAAATTGCGAGATAATATATTCAGCGACATTGAAATTAAAATCGAAATTTCTCGTTTAAACATTTGTTATCATCATAGCGAACAATTTATTTATATAATTCATATTCATATATATAACACCAATTTTATTCTAGTACATAATAAACTAACGAGACGATTTAAAAGTATAATTATTATTCAGCTCGTTTTTAAGTACAACGTTTAAGATTTGAATATATTTTTGAACTTAACATTTATCATTTATTTTTTTTTTTACTAACGGACATACCGACGCGAGACTCACGTCACAGATATATCTACTTGAATACAACGGATTAAAATGTATAAATGTAGAGTTAATGAAGATTGTGAAAACGAATGACTACGTGTTTTTGTATTAGAAATGTAATTTTACTACGACCGTAATTTTTCGTTATTAAATCATGTGGAAATTTATTTTATGGCCGTCAAATAAATGCAGTTGAATAGATTTAGGTTGGGTTAGGTTTCCAGACTTCAAGCGCAATTTTGGGGAAGTAATACCCACGTAGTCCCTTCCCCCTCCTGTCTACAATTCACGAAAAAAAATATAAAATGTGCAATACACAGATGTGATATTATTAAACAAATAATGTTACAGTAAATATACTTACGTTCACTAGCGTGTGAAGCGATTCTACGTACGAACGTTCTGTGTCGTAAAGCTCGACGACTACGTGCGTCCTGGTATCCTGAAACGATAAAAAAAAATCTAATTAGTTAAAAATAAAAAAAACACATTTTTCACCGAAAATATATAAAATTTTTGTTTCTCTGTGGTTATAATAAATCGTTAAGCATCGCAAAATGTTATTTTTAAAAAGAACCCCGTTTCGAAGTATCTACTATATCACACTTATATCACAATTTGCGAAAATGTATGACTTATGAAAATATAGTGTACAATATAAACAATAAATAAATAAAAGAAGGTAATAACAATATCAGAATTATTTAGTGAATATCCAAAATATTGATATTCCTGTTATAATTATAGTAATTTAGAAAAATTTGTCTTTTATAGTTGTTTTGATTTTATATGAATAAGAGGTTATCCTCCCCTCGTATCATTCGACATTTCTACCAAATTTCCATAGTTTGTAACGAGGATTACTGACCCCAAATTGCTGGGATGAAGACGAAAGCAATGGAAAAGAAGAAAAGCATAATTTTAACCTGTACTATATATCTAATAATAATAATCATAATACTTGTATCATAGGCGCACATCTAGAGGTCTAGAGCTTAGTCTCCTTAATACGCAACCAAGACCCCCCCCCGAATCAAGTCTGTAAATAAGTCTGTTTAGTAAATATTAAGTATAAATAATCAGTGTTATATAGACTTGAGCCCCCGTCCCTAAATAAAAATAAAAATATTCCGCATAGGAATTCCTTACAACAATATATTAATTATATTATATATAATTGTTCCGATTAATTCCGCTTTACACGAAGGAGACGTATACTTTTCCTTCCCGAAAATATTTCCGAATTCCCGTGTGGTCCCCAGTTAGGCCAACTACACCATAATATAATGTTATTATAATTTATATCATCCACGGCGTCAAGGCCATATAAAACGCGTGTCCGGCCGCACGTAAATCATATCTTTTTTAAAATAAATTTTTTTTTTAATTGACTATTACCGTTCTAATCGGCTGGGGGTGTACGTGAGTAGGAGGGTGGTGGGACGTTGGGGACGGCCGAGAAAATGTATTTTTTGGCCGACTTCCCGACAAATGACGTACGAAAATAATATGACGTTTGAAATAATAATATTGTCGTCACGTTTCCGCCACCGCCACTGATCCGGGACGGCGCAATAGGTGTGCGAGCGAAGGGACGCCGATACGCGCGATATCCAAAACCTAAAATAGGTACACTTCGGCGGTAAACGTCACGGCAACGTCGCAAACCGAAGTTTTCGCACAAATCGGTCGTCCGTGCACTCGAACGGATGGCGGTTATTAATTTCAGTTTATTACACTGTACTGTACAGTGACTATATACCGCACTATCGATACTCACGATTTGACGGAGAGAATACACATTATTTGCTATACAACGATTTTTAAACGAGTGAAAATAATTTTTGTTTTGTACATTTAATACTAATACACGAAATAATATATATTTATTTTATTAGTTGGGTTCATCAATGTGTAAAATAATCAAACAATAAAATCAAATAGCCACATTTTATGAACCAAACTAGTAGATTCACCCGAAACCGGTAAGAAGGTTCCCCGATTTGCGGGTCCGTACCCGATAATTCACCGACATCGCTGTTGAAAAAAAAACCGGTTATATTCGATTTTAAAGATGGTCTCGATTTTTCGACAATAAATAATTAGCGAAAATAAATACGATGATGATACAATAATAGTAATATTATTATTATGATAGCTCAAAATTTGACGTTCAAAAATCAACATGGTTTGGTTAGGTACGAAAACAAAGACGATAGGAATTATAATTAGTCCACTTCGTACCTATTGTAAAATATTTTAAAACTAAGTGCCTAACGCNATGTTCAAGTCGAGCTATACATACTATATCTCGTACTATATAGTCATTACATATTTAAGTTTATAGTGTAATTTTTTTCATTGCTCTTGCAGTTTTGCCGTTTTTTTTAATAATGAGAAAAACGGTGTAGGAAAAATGAAAAAATGTACGGCAATAATGGTTTCACTATTTTCGATTTTTCTATATTTTTGTTGTTAATCGGTTGAAAATAATCATGAATACTTGATATTTTCACAAACCCTTAAATTGAATTTGATAAAATTTTCAAATTATTCTGGCGATACATAAGCTATAATTTTATAGATATTTCGGATAATTTTTTAGTTTTTATTTAGATAAAACTGGTTTGGCCGAGAAAAAATACTTGAAAATTTAATACGAGATTTATCATAAGTTGTTGCTTGGTAGTGAAACACAATTTTTGCGTAATGTAGTTGTTTTTTTTTTACATATACGTGTTTAAAATCAAAATGACTACGAAAATAGTACAAATCATTGCGTTTTAAAACATGTAAAACATTAAATATTAAAACCTTATTCCTATAACCTCTTAGAAGTATAATATAGATATATAAGTTATACGAAGTTTCTGTAAGCATATGATACACTTTTTGTAATAATGCCAATACGAGTAAGTAATATATTATAGATTATTGTTTTGGTAATTGTTCAATCTATTTTGTAATTGTAAATTGTTTGAATGCTTAAAATTACGTAAAATGATACAACGTAACATTATTTAACCTATTATTAAATGGCTATATAATCCGATAAAAAATGTGTGTAATAAAATTACGACGTAACCTTACGCGTGGCCTTAATTCAAAAATTTATTTATGCGGCTACAAATGACACTGAATTCGTTTTGGTTTCGGTTTTATCGGTTAAATATTTATACGAGATTTATCGGTTATCCTTTCAAATAGAATACCCTTATACCAAAATCCAGTGAATAAAGTTCAGAGGCTCTGAGGCTGTAGTTTTTTTTTATTGGGTTATAACGAAAAACCAAAATGGATTTTGACAAAACCAGCTAGTGTTGAATAAAATATATTTATGTTTTTCCTACTGAAACGGAACACGAAATTTTAAAAAACGATGTCCTCGACGCGTAAACTAAATCCAAAATGCTACGAGAATATTTCTACGAAGTTTAGATCGAAGTTTTCCCGCCGAAAACTGGTTTACAGGCGGAAACAGTTCTAAAAAAGACGCCCTAGAATAATGGAAACTTGTTCAGCCCCAGTTTTAGGCAATTTAATGTACATCTGTAAGCAACAATAAAACATTGCTAACGAAAAACGATTCTGATCTTTGCGATGCTTTGACAACAATATATATGTCATATTATAGTAAAATAATTAAATAGGCATTATATATTTTCTTTAATAATATTTTTTTTAATATTTTACCAATTTTCCCGGTTTTTCACATTTGCTGGGAAAACTCGAAAATTAAAAAATGACCTAAAATATATCCCCAGTCAGATTTTCTTTCATTAAAAGTACTATAATTTTAAATCGGAAAGAAATTACTGGTAGAATAGTTTGCACAACAAATCGAGGGGTATTTAGCGATTAAAATAGTCCAAGCGAGCGATCTCTAAAAACATCAAAAATATATGTTTTTTCCTTGTTTAGGTTAAAGGGAAAAAAATGCAAACATTTTTTTAAGAAACACTGGATTGAACTTGAAATAGGCATAAATAACCATTAGATCACGACAAATATGCTTGAAAAGGTACAACTCTGACTTCGTCATCGTTTTTTAAATCGGCAATATACAAAAAAAAAAAAAAAAAAAAAAAATGATAAATTAGATTTATTACACAAAATTATTTAATATTAAAATTTTAATTAAAAAAAAATATTATATTAAACTCAATTCGTTTTTTTTACTACAAAGTTAGACTCCTATTGAACCTTCTGTTAGGTTTTCAAGCATTTCTGTTCAAGTCTAACAATTTTGCCACTGAGTATGTACCAAATACAAATTATGTACAAAACTCAAAAAATTAAAATGTTTATAAATAGCTCAAAAAATGGTTTAAATTTTTTGAAAATTTTACCGTATCTAGAAAAGAAAAATATAAGTTTTCTGTCTGAATTTCAAGTTTCTACAAATATATTTTACTGAATCACAACAAATAACAAAATTGTAAAATAATAAAAGCCTTATTTTCGTACATTTTCCGTTTTTCATACTTTTATCCTGGTTTTTCCCAGATATTATGAAAACCGCTTGAAAAATCAAAAAATGACCACCTAAAAATACCATCTGGACAACATTCTCTTTCGAAAATAGTGCCACGCGTATATATCTGAGCAAGATTTCTAGTTGAAATTTTGTACACAGCATAGAAAAATAATAATAATAATAATAAACATCTTAGTAAAACTGATACATTCTTCGCTACACTCAGAATCTAAAAAAAAAAAAACTTCAAATTCTTAGTAGCATACCCGACCGGGACAGCAGTAAGTCGATAACTGTTTTTTTTTTTTTGTGCATGACGAGTGTTTTTTTTCATAAACAACAATAAAATATATTGAAATATTCGTTTCCATAAAGGTATCTATTTAAAATGTCCACCTCCGGAAAAAAGTTTCCTGTAGATACGCCATTGAAACTTTGTATTTCTTTCTGAAATCGAATACGCGAGTCGAACCTAACCAAACCCCACCTGACGGTGCACGATATCACTGCCGCCCTTTCCCCAACCCCTTAGCCCCGTTTGTCTTACCGGCGTAGCGACTTTGACGGCGGCCACAAGTTGTTGCGTGAAGGTCGGGCTATCGTTTTTTTGCGACCGATCGTCTTCGGCGTTCGCGGTCATCGTTCATACGCAACGACGATGTGGCCAGTCGTCGGCGACGGCAGCGGCGATGCCATCGAAATTGCAGTTACCGGTTGGTGATTAGACGAATTGGTGGCCAAATCTGTGTAGGTATCGTCTACAGGCGAATAGACAAAACTCTACAGCCGCCTATAAACGGTTTTCGTACTCCTTCGCGTGTAGTGACTCTCCGGAGAGACGTGGTCGACGCAGCAGTGGCGGTGGTGCCGATCCGCGGGCCAGGGACGAAAAGCGCAGCATCGCAGGACCACAACAGCGACTGTGATACGTGTACCGCCGCGACGACCACCGCCGACGCCGCCACCGTCGTCGTCGCTACCGCCGACAACGCCGCGGGTTCGCATGCAATTTTAGCGAACAACACGCGGACCGACAGCGACGGGCCGACGACGTGGGCTGCCGCTCGATTTACGTCACGTCACGGCACAACAGCATAATAACATACGCGCACGTGACACGACGTGATATTCTAAATTATTATTTTACTCGCTCACGCATCGCTGCACACTGAAGTAGCGTCTCTGGGGGTAGTGGCGAGGGAGGGTGGGGGAGGGTGAGTAACAGGGGATGGTTTTTTTTTTTTTTAAGTATAGTTCATATTATTTATTTTCAACAATGCCTATTTTAAAATTTGTTCGCAGATTACATCCCGGGAATCGGCTATAGATGTACGGTGTCACTTATCAATCTACGTGTAAACGACGTATAACTTTCGTATAGACAATAAAGAAACGCCACTTCTACAACAGTATTGTATTATTACAGACTAGGTTCCCGGAGTTACTCAACTTTACGTTTTTGACGAACGTTGACATTGATATTATCAGCTTTCTCGATCGTTGGGCTGCTCTATGTCTGTAGACGTAGAACAATATTCAAGTTGATGAAGTAGGTAATTGACATGTTTGCCGACGGTAAAAAAAGAAATTTTAATTTCGCCATAATTAATTATTTTAGTATAATTTGAAAAACAGAAAAAAAAGTAAATGATAACATATAAAAAGTATGTATAGGTACAAAAACTATTACTATTTAGTACTACGTATACCTAATAAAAACATAAAACCACAACGAATTGTTCACTATTATAACATTGAATAATATTTCTGTCATTTGATTTTGGTTTTATTTTAGATTTTGGATTTTTCGGAGGTTCACCTCGCCCTATCAAACCATTTTTTTTTAAAAACTTTATCATAATCAATAATAATATTATTTGTTAATTCTATCCCACTAATCTCCGTAGTTTATCCATCAGTACGATTATTGACTTTTAGGAAAATGCTAGCTAAATCGGTTACAGAAAATAAAATAAAATCGGTAGAAAACCGTGCAAAATTTACGTGATAAAAACCTACTAGACTAGTACAATCTACTAATCCGTAGACAATTCAAATAAATACGGGACAACTGTAATCATTGAATACGGTAATCACACGTATAGCTTTCATTTAGGCAATGCACATTATATAAATGGTATTATGGCCTCACTTGTTCGGCAATGTACCGTAGTCATATACAGAAATGTTAACATATTATGAGTTCAGAAGAGCGAAAATATTATAGTGACAGTTGGTTCTCTATCGACTTCAGTCGATAATATCCCTTCTAGGTCTTTATTATTCTTATACATATTCGCCTTAATCAATTTAACTAATAAGTGGCTAATTAAATTTCTTCAAGTTTTGAATATTTTTCATTGACAATAATGAACGATTAATGTACCGATTACAAAATAAATAACAATTCAAAACACAAAAGAAATTTATAATTCTGTATACAAAATATTACATACATATTATCAACACTTTCATAATGGATCGACAGGAAGTGATTTTTGACCGTAACACACGTAAATTTTGAAGCGAACGGTCTTTCCGAGATTCACGCGGTATTATTATATTGTATGAGTATTTATACTTATACGTAGGTAGTTTTTGCGATTTCGTCACGGTCGCGTTACCATGGATACGTTCTCTCGAACCCCCCCCCCTTTCTCAACCAGAGAAAAGTCGGAAAAACACCAGATTCAAGGACCCGTGCGTTAAGTTAGGTTAGGTTAGGTTAGGTGGGGTTAGGCGGTCTTGGGTGGCTGTTATATAGGTTAGGTGTAACGGAGTAAATGTACGCGGGGGGGTTCTTTCCGACACACCTGTTGTGTGCGGTTGGAGGATCTGACCCCTCTCCCCCCCCCCGTTGACTTGTACCGTGTCCTTGGACACCGACTCGTATTATTACACGGGCCACGGAAAAATACGATTTCCCGACTACCCACCCTGCAGCCGATGTCGGCGGCTCCCAGTGCCGTATGGTTTATTGTCGTTATTATTACGTACCTACCTACCTAAATTGCTATATTATCGTTATTATGTCGCAATAAAAACTTTACAAAGTTTTTCAAAACATTTTCACTGTTTGCGAGTCACGGGAAATTTAATACGTTTGTACATCGAAATGCATTACCGAAACTGTTTGCGTCGCGTGCGAATTTTTAAAACAACCACCCGAACCAAACCCGCGGCGCGTTTGTCCACGATGAGGTAATAATTTATCTCGCACGCGCGATAGAAATAAATTATAAAGTAGGTAGACGGAATCCGGAATGTTTGAAAAACGGTTCCCCCCCCCCGAGAAAAACGCCGAGTTCAAAATATATTATCGGAAAAGACACGTGCCTCCGGACGATAAAGTAATAACACTGAAATCGATAAATTCATGACGTGAAAACACAATATCTGAAACCCAATAACTATAAATTAATTGTTCTGCTTGTGATATTTTAACGAATTGTTAACAATTATTAATATTGGCAATTATTCATTTCGTACGGCTTTATACGCGAATCAACAAATTTGACAAATAAATAACAAAAACTATAATGACTCTTAACAAAGCGTAGAATAATATATATCTAATATTGTACATTTTGAATAATTTAAATTGAATTATAATATAGTTAAGAAAACTGAAATGTTATGCGGAACTTAAATTGTCATTAACATATATCGAGGTCTATAATATTGTTTATAGATCATGGGGAGGATGATGGCATGTGGTTGTAATAGCTTGACCTCCCTATATGCGTCAGTGTGGCAGAACTCCACGTGATTTAGGAAATTAACTACCCGTATCAATACCGCTACTATATGCTGATACCCAGCAACTCAAGTCAAAGGCAAACAATGTTTATTAAATAAATCAACCGGTTTCAACTTTTAATTGGTATATAAATGAGAAGCTCACACTCGGTCAGTAAATTTCGGTTAAAACTCAAAATATGCATTAGGTACAAGACAAACTTTCAGGACTCATAGAATGATCCGATTTAGAACTTTTTTTTCCTGTTGAAAAATGATTACTGGGAGCATTGTACTTCGATTTTTGTTTGTACAAGCAAAAACCATTAAATAAACCAATAAATTAATTTTTAAAAAAAAATGTGTCACATTCAAATTCTAATTATATACAGATATTTCATAAACATAATTTTCAAAAACCAAATTAAATAAGCTCTATGAGAGTCTTTTTCTTCCTAACAAAAAAAAAAAAAAAAAAAAAAAATGGTTAAAATCGGTTCACTCTACGATGTATGAGAATTTTTCCTGTAACACATGTCTTTGAGCCGAAAAGCAGTTCGCACATAGTTCCCCATTAAAGACAAATCTTAATCGAGAAATTAAAATGTTATTTTTGGATTTAGATTTATGGTATTGGTTTTATTAATATATTTTGCTTTTATTTATCGTTAGCAGAAGTGACCATCAATCATATGATCCTCTCTTCGTGTTCGGATATTTTGATTAACGATTCCATGCCGTTTGGACATGATAATTTTGAACACGTCTGTATTTCTATAATTTATAAAGGCTATGGCGAATCAATTTACTTTTGACTTTATTAACTTTATTCGCTTAGTACGTCATTTTCGACATATAATATACTTTACACACGCATACACTATTCGGTATATCGATTTATTATATTGTTGTTGTGACGGGTTAATGTTTGAATAATATCAGAAACTTGAGTAAGTACCTCGACGAGTATCGTCTATGTGGTTCAGTGATTTAGTGCTAATATTGTAGCATAAAATATTATTTTTGAAACGCGATTAAAATTATGTTGTGTACATACAGGTTTCATGGTCACGGTAAGTTTTATCATGTTTCACCATTAGCACAATATAATAATACAAAGTCCATCGATTTGTTCGCAGTAGATTGGAGTTGCATATAAATTGTTGCCACAATAAGTTACAAGGCTGTACAAGTTAATGGACAGTAATTGATTAAAAGAAAATTAACTAATTAATAGTAATTTATTAAAAAATAATTAATTAATTTAAATAAATCGTTTTATAAATTGATTCATTTAAGTTGAGAGTTGATTGGAGAATTTAATCGACTAATTAACTTAAGTTTAATTTTGTTTCGATTTTTGTAAAATATTATTATGATCATAGTACAAAAGAATTAATCTCAGAGTTTATGATTTTTTTTTTTTAAATAAGAATTACGATTAATATTAAACACAGAGGGGTTATTCTAAGAATGTTAAATTATTTTTATTTTAAACTCAGAATTCTATACATATTCATTTATCCTTTATTAAATAATAATAAAACAAATTACGCTATATATATAATTTTTTTGTAATGCAATATTATAATGTTTCGTTATTCATTGTATATTGTAAATTTAATACTGTATTAAACTTAAAATTAGAAGAAATCGAAGGTAATACATAACGTGATATTATTCGAATTTGCATAGTATTATTTATTAAAATTAAATGTAAAATAAAAATAATCCAAGTTAATAAAAAAATGTCAAAGGTGTTGTATAAGCCAAGTTAAATTTTAATTTGATTTTTAACCAATATGGCCAATATGAATTTCTCGATTTTAAAAACAATTTGTCCGATAGTATTTACTGCAAGGAGTACATTTTCAATGTTATATAGTTTTAATACATTTAATTAAAATCAACCGTAGCTGTATTAATTATTGTATTTCGTTGTTCCCATACTTTAAATCAATTTTCAGTGAAACGTTAAACGTTAAATGTTAAACGTTTGCAATAAAACATGAATATTAATTAAATATTTTATATAATTTCTGTTATACAATAAAAAATATAATATACTGATAATTTCAAATGGCAATGCGTAATATACATATTGATATTTTGTTAATCAAATAGTATTTGCTTTGTGACATAAACTGTAAATACAAACTTAATAACCTAAAACTAACCGATTTGTTTTGGTTTTTGATTTTTTTTTTTTTTTACCCAGAACGTTTTTTATGTTGAGTTCTTTATATTTAGTAAGTAACTAATAAAATGTATTCGGAGACTATAAATAAATAAATACTGAGCATAATATATTATAACATCTATATAAACAAAAACTAAACTTTTTAAAACGGAAGTATTCCAACAATTTTAATAGCTTAATATTTTAATTATATTAAGCAAGCGTAAAACACCAGTTTTTTTTATAGTAGATATCATAAAAAAAAAAAATATTAATGTTTATTTTTTAAAACACGATTTGGTCAGCTATAAAACCAACTAAAAACCTTATAACCATCACACGGACTGCAAATTATTAACGAATAACTCGAATATTTCCGAATATTATTTTCGACCTCGTCATGATAATAATATATACTTATGCCCTATACTTAACAGTTTTTTTATTATGATTACTTTAATATCGGTATTTACAAACAATAATTTCCGTGCGTACGAAACGACAACAAAATAATAACGGTCGAGGATTACCACTGATACCACAGTAACGATGAAAAGAAAAATTGTACACGATATGGTGTAGTAAATACATTATTTTTCTTTTTCATTTCAAAATAGGTAACGGCCTTTAAAACCAACCCTCTGAGCAAATGCTCCTCCATCTATTTCTATCCCCCGTTATCTTCGTTATACTCCATAGGTTCCACCGCTCTCATATATATACTGACAACACAATCCTCCCGTTTCAAGCAAAATCTTCCTGTAGTAGTTGCTTCCTTGTTTTCGATTACAGTCCTTATTATTGATTCCTGCTCTCTCCGTGCATGTCCTGCCTAATAGCATTCGTGAACATATTTAGCATGAAAAAATTCGGAACAGAAGAAACCCAAAATAAAACAAAAAGTTGGAAAGGTATAGGATGTATAGGATAATTTAGTTTTTATAAATGATAAAATTGTAGGCAACGATAAATCATTACGAACAATAATTATTCTGAGCGTAGTGTTTGAAAAAACATTTTTTGATAAGTCTAAATCAAAATATTGTATTAAATTGAAATTGTAACTACAACATAAGTTGCATCATTTGTATACTCGTATCCGCATAAAATCAAAACAAACTCGACAATTCCAAATAGTATTATATCAAATTAAAAACAATCAGAAAAAAAAAATAAATAAAAGTTTGCAAATTGTCCCATGTCTAGAAAGTGCTAATACCAGGTGATTCTTTTAAGTGAGTACACTCATTATATCTGAAAGTATTAACTTTTTTTGAAATTTCTTTTTTAGAACATTTAAGAAACAACCAACTCTACAATTTTATACTTATGTTATTTGTCGTAACCCTTATTTTTGGGGGTAAAACCACTACCTATTTTTGATTTTCAAATGGCGACCTACATTAAAAATCCCATAAATAAATGGAATATTAGTTAAAAGAAATTTGAGTGCTGAATTTTTTTATTTCTGTCAAGCCGTTGATGAGATATTCCACTTCCATTTGAAAATCAAAAATAGGTAGTGGTTTTACCCCCAAAAGTAAGGGTTACGAAAAATAACATAAGTATAAAATTGTAGAGTTGGTTGTTTCTTAAATGTTTTAAAAAACAAATTCCGAAAAAAGTTAATATTTTTAGAAATAATGAGTGTACCCACTTAAATGAATCACCTAGTATACAAACAAGCAGCCATTTACGGAGGGGGAAGCAGAGTACATACTCGCGTGTCCATAATTAGCCCAGATGTTAATTAATACATAAGCCGTGGCGTTCAAGCTTAGCTGTTCAATTTTGTTCAATTCTCTACGACTGTATTTACAATAAAAAGCGTAATCATCAGAAACAGTTAATACGTAAATATTCCCGTTTTCCGCCGTTCGTCCCAGTTCTTCCCCGCTATTTAGAAAACTATAAAGAAAATTTTATAAAATGACCTAGTTTTTGCACCGAATAATCTAAATTCGCTACTAGAAACTGTCCCTGATGCTTGGAGCAAGAATTACGGCAGTCCGGACGTTGTTTACAGATAAAAGGAAACACAAATGTAGGTATTAAAAAAAAAAAAAAAAAAAAAGAAGCAAACTATTCGTATGGTATCGCTTAGACACTAAAATATCGTCGTATTGTTATCGCGATTACCTATTTCGATTCGCGCGCACAAACTCAAAAGCGACTCTATAACTTAGCGGGGCACGCGCTCGCCAATTATAATTTTATGACGAGAAAATCGTGTCGAAACGACCGCGTGCTCGTCTAAATCATAATAATATTATCGCGTCGGTACGGTCCGCTTTCGAGGATCGATTCCTCGTAAACACACGACCGTTTCGCTGTATCGCCGACGATTAATAATTTATACCGTGCATAATTTTTCCAGCACGAACATTACAAAAACGGCTGCGCGGGCACGCGTCGCAAAATTTATGCCAAAAAGCAAAAGATCCGTCGCCGCGTCGTCGCGTATCGTCGCGGGGTAAGAAGAAAAGGAAACGTTTCATGCACGTACATAATACGATATTGTATATTGTTATTAATGTTCGGATATACGCGCGACGTACACTTAAGCGATTTACGTACTGTACAAACTTATTAGTTTGCAATAGCGTCCCGCGCACAAACGCATTATACGCGGACTTTTCGTACCCGAGAGGAGGTTAACGCACGCTGGATTTGTATGCGCAACAACACGCGCGCTGCGGCGCGCGCCACGACGTAAATGTACTGTTAAAATATTAATAATTATCCGGAAAGCGATACGGTAACATTCGCGTCGACTGCAACAATCGGGCAAACACAATCGCGCCGTTAACGTTTCGCGACCTATTTATCGTTTTTAGATACGGAGTCGATATTGTCGCGGCTAAACAGTAGTTATAAAACGATCAATCCCCCGGCGTGCGCGGTACAGTATATGATATCGCCCACTCCGCCATTGGCTTCAAAACGCAAGAACTACGAGCGGTAGCGAAACGAACGCGGCGGTCTCTCGAGAAGCGACTGCTTCGTCAAAGATTTTTTTTCTATTTAGGAATGGGCGGGCGGTGCTCGACATGAAAATAACTAAATATCATTTACAGCTCGTGCAAATAGGTGAAAATAAAAAAAAATTATATTAGAAATGCATTGCGAGGAAATATTGGTGGTCGGATACAGGACAGATTATAGATCGCCTCTGGGCTATTTCAGGTTAGTTCCGTCATTGACCACGAGTGGCTATTTTTTGATAAATTAATCATAAAACGCGTTGCGTATACCTGTATTCCAGTTAAAATATACTAGTAAACGATGATTGATTTCTCGAATACAGATTGCAGGATTTTTTTGAATTCCCGTTGTCGAGTTAGGAAGTTATAGATTCTACGATTCATTCATCGTAATTGTTATTATTATTAACCTTCCCGTTAAAAGAGTACGTCACTGATAATTAGTGTCCTAAAAACTATTATGAAGCCCTATTAAAAAAAAGAAAAAAACACGAAAATGTATTAAGCAGTGATTAATGCATTACAAAATGTCACGCTTTTGAAAAATCTGTTACGCAAATCAAATTATTTATTAAGTTTTCAAAACGGCAATTTATTAAAGAACATGATAAAAAAACGGATAAACGCGTACTGACTTTACAACCAACGGATAATACATATTGTCTCTGAATAATTAATACATTTTATTATTTCGAACAATGCGATTTTTGTATATCGAAATTGTGGAAATGCATACTGAAAATGTCGAGTTTTGTTGATCAAAATAATATTTGAAAAATTCTGTAAAACGCAGAAAATTTGAAAAAATATCTGTATAATTACTAACAAGCTGAAACGACATACCCGCTTTTGATTTTTACATATTATTATACTGTACATCGTTTTTTGAAATAATATCCAAAATCTGTATATTCGCACGAGGCGGAGGATTGAACACCCAAAAACCCCTAATATAATACGCTCTCGCGTGTAATAATTATATCAGTGGATTATTACGAAACGAAGCTTTTCGGATAGGCATTGAGAAAATAATTATCGTACCTACTACCTGTATAGGATCTATTATTATAGGCTATGGCTATTTTGTCTGTATAAGGCGAAAGAAAAAAAAAATCGTTTCATGTCCGCCGGCAATTTGCGATTTTTGTCGGTACCTATACACGAGATATTGAATTATGATATTATTATATTATATACGTATATATAACCTTAATAAAAAGTATTACAACATCGATAATAAGTATATAGTTATCGTCGAACGTGAACGCATTATTAAATGTCTAATGTTATGTTCAGGAGTCTGCAGGTTATATACGTTCGGTCTGAAGATAATAATTATATTGTAAATTTAGTATCTACGCGTGCGCGTGTAAAAATAATATCTACAGGGGCAGATCTAAGTGCGTCATCTGTCGCGGTAAACGCGCCACCGAAAAAAAAATAAATACACCGTATAGTCTAAGTAAAATATCGTCAAGGCCAGATAAGTTTCTATATATATTATAATAATATTGTTGTTACAATATCGTAGAGAGAGAGAGAGAGAGAGAGCGCGGCTGAAAAATATTTGGCGGGCGGAAAGGAGGGAGGGGTGTTAAACACGTGTATTTTTATTTTTATAATAACTTCGTCACACGTATACAAAAAGCCACCTGGTGATTTACGCGATAAATTGAATTTTAAAGTTAAAAAAAAAAATAATAATAATAATAAACCGAGAAAGCTTACTACTCGTGAAAATCGAAGTCGTATGTACCGTTCCTCTGACGAATTTCCTGTGTCCTAACGCGAAACATGGTTTTTCATTAAAATAAATCAAAAGGCATTTTCAATAAACACGACGTAACACGGTTTTTCCCGGATATTAAATATCCTATTATTGTTCGATTATTATTATTATAATAAGATCCGAAATAAGATTGTAAATGTGATTAAGTAGCGGTTTACCGCGTAACCAAGGGGATATAGGTCACAAATGCCTCCCGATGAGTTGACCAATAACACTCTTTGAATGAATTTTCGGAACGCGAGTTTCGACGATATTTTTGTCGGAGAAATACGCTAAAGACACGTTTAAAAATTAACGACATTTACCTCCCCCCCCACACCTGCCTCCTGCTCATGAAAAAATGCCTGGCTACTCGTCCGTCCTAGGTTGGATGAGGTTAGGTTGATAGCCTAGTATAACTTACCGAGTATAATTATTATTATATTATTACATATTCGACGTAACACGGTGGCGGCGAAATCATCCAACGGAGACCCCACGACGAGCTTTCTATTTTTGATGTCGCCGGCGCGACTGCCGATAAACGGGGTCTGCTATATCTCGTTAGGACCGTATTATTAGTATAATAATAATGAGTAACATCTAAGTGCACGGAAATCTGTATTACGCCGGAGGAATTCGATCGACGCGCAACACGCGCGTGGATTCAACGTTAGTAATTATTTTAATATTGAATATCGGCCATTGGTTATCAACATAACGTAAGACACTCATTAGTTCGGACAATATTGACTTTTTTGGGATTTGCTTCGTTTTTTTTTTCAATTGTAAAAAAACAACCAGCTATTAATTTTTCGCCGCCCTTATTTACGCGGTGAAACCACTAGGTACCAATACTATATTTTGATTTTCGAATAACAACCTACAACGGAAATTCTATAAATAAATTTAGTTTTATCGTGTAAATAAATTTCAATGTTAAAATGTTTAATATCAGCTGGTATCCGTTTGACGAGTTTGTTCTACTTTTAAGTCTATCGTTTAGTTGGTAGATGTAGAGTAACGTGAAACATTATTTGTGCGACATGGACGCGGCCATTTTGAATGGGAATTAACACTTTCCGAGTTATTGAATTGTCTCACTCGTGTTAATCACCTTGTATATTATTAATAAGTTTTACCCATCGTATACACGATAAGCCACGGAGATTATTATAACAGTACTATATACTGGCATACGTATCTGTATAATCATCAATACATCATATAGACCAAACATCTGGGTGCAGAAACTTGAAATTTCCCGAAGAGCATCCTTATAATATTATATAAATAATTTAGTCGAAGAAATTGAGAGTTTTCAAAATTCAAACCCGATGTAATTAAAGGGGGATGTTAAAGTTTGTATTATGAAGACAAATTAAAAGCGCGTTTATCAACCCGAAACTTTGTATGAACAATCAATCAAATAAATACATAATTAAACATATTTTTGACCGATTAGGAAAATTCAACTCCTGAGGGGTTGAGAAGGTGCGTCAAAGTTAGCGTAGAAAAATAATTCCTAATTATATATAACTAATCGGAACGACAGAGTTACGGTAAGTAAACATTAGATGATTTTGATTTGTGTATATTATGACGGATGTAAAACTGAATGCCGTGTAAATAAATAACTTTATAGAAGAGCGTAGAAGTGTATTTTTGAGGGAAAATCGTACCGTATTTTTAAATTTGTGAAAAAGAATAATTTTAAATATTTACTATTTCTAGCTGTTTGCAGAGTACTCACGATTTGTCTATTACATCGACACAATCTATTCACCATTTATATATCCCGTGGAGAAGACATTATGAAATTCATAGTTCTACGTGGACGGTTTAACATCGAATATTATATAATAATATATACAGGGTGATTTTTTTTTATCATGAACCAACGATTTCGTTTGAGGATTATAAGTATAAATTTGATTTCTGATATTGTTTTTTTTTTTATATAATAATTATATAGTGTTTCATTTAAGTGGGTACACTCATTATCTCGGAAAGTATTAATTTTTTTCGGTATTTGTTTTATGTAATATTTAAAAAATGAGTATTGACTTTTGATTTTCAAACTTCGACCTTTTCCCACTACTTTTAAAGCGCACAGATGAGAAAAAAGAAAAAGTTTCAAAATACCTCAAAACATATAAAACGCTAACAGTTTAAAATTTAATCCGAAAGCGTGTAATAAGTTTCGTGTTCATTTTAAGAGGACCATAATTCTTTCATACTCCTTCGAACTAAATTTTAAACTATAGTTATATGACTCATGAACAACACCTTGTTTTCGAATCTGTGTTGAAAACGGAGATTATTGTCATTAGAAAATCAAAAATACAATGTGTTTATAGTATACAAGGTGTACGGGATAACGGTAACATTTTGAAAATATCGTAAATACGATCATTGATGTAAACAGTTCTACAATGACTGAAAAAAAAAAAACAGAAACAATTTTACAAACAGATCTTCGAATAGATAATCGCTGGACCATGATGGAAAGATAAATAATATATCACCCTGTAAATATTATACGGTACGGCGTGTATCGGTGTACGACGTCTGCGTAATACGCTCCGGTACGCGATATAATAATAATAATAATAATAACACCGTATACTGCGCTTCGAATTTTCGTTTTCAAGGGCGCCGACGCCGCGCCGCCGTATCGTAATTTGTTCGGACCGTTGTAAACAACACGAAACGCGTCATCGACCGCGGCTTTTCCTTATTGTATCGTTTTACCGTTTTCTCGTGTCCCGTGGGTACCTCTATCGTGCATACTATTATTATGTTTCCCGATTATGCGCGATGCTGCGGAAACGGGGACGCAAATATAATAAATCACCGAATTACTTACTACTACTGTCGCGGTATTTTAGTACGATTTTTGCGCGGAAATTCAAAAATCGGACGACTCGTCCGACTTGTCCGCCGTGAACTCCGCCATCACGTTCATTATAATGTAGCCTATACGCTGAGTATACAGTCATTAATTAATACGATGCCGTTTGACTTTATCGCGTTGATGCGCTCAAGACCAACAGCAGCTCTATACATTATACGCAGGTATTAACTATATTAATGCCTGTTGTAACGCCACATTATTAATAATGTCAATGTTTACTATTGTCAGGAAAAGTTCTCTGGGGAATCTCGTTAAAAATTATATTTTTATTAAATCGTTTACGCGTATTTTTTAATCTCCGAATTAAATCGACCTAATCTAACCTACATATTATAATATGATATCTACGCGTAGATTAACTTAAAGCGCAATGAGCTAAGTCGCATTAACAGCAGCACATAAACACGATGTACCTATAAATGTATACATATTACATTATATCTACTATGGATATGTATATTTTCGATAACGTTGGAACGATACTGAATCACAGTTTTTGGAAATTATTATCTTTATGTAAAATGAAGTCGTGATGTGTACATTTCTCTCACCAGTCAATAGTATTCGAAAGTTATTGACATATTCTGTATAAACTGCAAGTCCCCCATAAGACCTAAACTGTACACTACAAAGTATCTTGTATTGGTACCCTTGTCCATATTTGTTTTATACAGGTCTACGGTAAAAATTAAAAATGTCCGACCTACATTTTTATTATAAGTACAGCGATGAACAAAATAGTTTAATAATGTTTATAGTGTTTTATTATATGCGGTAAATAAAATTAATGTACAGTTTATATTAAAAATGCCACGTGTTTAAGGCATAATATCTCAATGTATATTTAAACATTTACGAATCTTATTGTGAAATTATACGATTTCAATGCAAAATTTAATAGACGCATTTGTACGCGCGACATTGTCTCCGGTTATTTTAAAAAAGTATGACTAATATTTAATAAAATTATATTTTTTCAAATTATTATTTCAAGTAGATATAATATAAACAATGTTCCATGCGGTACATATTATAATACTTACTTTAAAAAAAAAAAAACATTTAAGAAACTTTATTAACTTGTGACTTGGTCATTGTGAATGGTAACTTACGACGTTATAAATAGCAAGTTTACTTCACTTCTATGTAATATACAGCGGAAAAGATTTTATACTATACTTGTCAAAAATATTATTTGACATTGTTAAAAACATGCTTACGGAGCTGAATTTAATCAAATCTCGTATACCTAGGTAAACCTAACTTATATATAAGCCAGTACCTATATTATATTATTAAAAAAAAGTATGTACCTGCAGATACCTATGTTACAGAGACTTAGTATATATATGCGGATGTTTTAGTATAATATGATTTGATTAATAAATAAAACGTTTAGTCTATCTATTTAATTATATTTCTAGTTGGTTTTCTTTTCAAATAATTTGTATTATGATCTAAAGCTACGAAGATTGAAATATTATTAAATTTGTTTGGTGTTGAGAGGGACCAGAGGGACTCAAAATAAAAATAAATATTTCATAGTTCCAAACAATTATTATTATGATAACCATTTTTAGGTATTATATAGTGATTAGTAAAAACAATATTAATCACAATATTACACTAATTACAGTACATTGCAAGTTTTATCTTAAAATAAAATAAATTAATATTAGCCATTACTGGAGATAAACATGTGAAATAAATTAACATATATGCCTTTGTCTATTTCGAATTCCTTTTTTTTTTTTTTTTAATTAAAGTAATTTTTATTTGTTTGTCCAGTCTCAGACGACAAAAACTTATTAACTCTAAAAAAAAATTATAAATATTCAATATTGAACAAATATATTGCATTTATCTAATCATAATATTTTATCATTATACATTATAATGTGTATAACCATTGCCACAAATAAGGTGGCTTGAAGAGAATTAGTTGCTCGCTAGTTCAAACTTCTGCCAAGTTATCCCTGTTCAAAATTAGGTACTTATAATACTAGTCAGTACATGATCAATATTGTGGTGCCTAAGCTCCTACAAAATATTTAGACCATTTGCACCTATGTGAATAATGATTGGCGGGGGAAAGACAAGAGTAATTCTAAACCGGAATATCGCTATAATATTTATTATGATTTAATCGATACAAACTACGTCACAATATGTATTGTGTAAGTAGACATCTACTTAATAATTAATTATCTGCCAGATTTGACGAAAGGAATAAAATTCAATACGAAAACATTCAATACCTATTAAAGATTATATTAATAATGCTGTGGCATATTTGGAGATTAATCAAGGAGGGGGGGGGGTGTTCAAAAATGATAATACATCACAAAATATTGTAAAATATTATAATGAGTATATCTTCGTATTACATCTTGTATAAACATAAATATATATATCAAACAATTGTATACAAAATGTATAAAAAATATTTACAACAATTTTAAAGCAGTATAATCTTTTTTTCTCTGCAAACCGATCTAAGATTATTGCTTGGACATCCACATTAATATCGCCCAAGGAAGAGGTGATCCACCCCTTGAATCCATCCCTTAAATACACCACTGTAATAATGACAACTAAATAAATTATATAGTAAAAGTTAAGGGGAAAGGTTTGTCTACCTGATCGTAAAGCTTTTTAAGAGAAAGAGAAGTAGACACACGAAAACTTCCCTGGGACTCGGTGACCCCAGTCAAGCTCTGTTATAAAAATAATAGTTGTTCGTGAAAATGTTTAATTAATAAATTATGCTAAGATTTAAAATTACTATATAATAATTAGATTGTAATTATTGAAAATTATTTTTGCGAAATAATTTGACTATATAATATATTCGATCTTATCGTATTTATTTCGAATTTTTTTATTAGTTTATTGTAAATCGTTACACTGTACAATTTCTATAGATCATAAAACACTAATAATTGTAATATTATAATAATATATTGATGAATAGCCTTTTGAATTTTATATCTTATTATTATTATGTCGTATACCTTATTCTTGTCTGAGGTCGAATGTCTCAATATCAAAAAACTTACTCAGCACTTATTTTCTATAAAGTACCTACTTCATTACAATACTACTTGGTCTCGAAAATTTAAAACGTTGCAAATACTATAGGAGTTATAATAACAGCCTACACGTGAATATTTTATGTTCGTTGAAATGTAAAAAAAAAACATGAGTGATTTTGACGAACGTTTATTAAAAAAACCCCTTTAGATTACAACAATTATTTTATATGGATAAAATAATAACGAGAGTTGATTAAAATTATAAAACGATTTTATAGAAGTTGAAAGTATGCACGAAAAAAAAATAAAACTCAATATACAAAGCGCTCCATATTTTTAAATTTAAAACATAGTGAGATCAATCGTTCAAAGGGAGTGTATATAATTATAAGGTGGTTTTTTATATGTTTAAAATGTAAATATTAAACGAATTTTTCGGTTACGTAAATAAGGTTTATTGGCATTTGAATTTGAATTTTTGCATTAGCAATTCCTCCGAGTTACACTGATGAATGATAGGAAATCATTACAGTTTTACAATGTTTTCTTTTATAGATAAAATGTAGAAAACTTGTCATCTGGGTAATTAAACACCAACAATGTTTAAATAAACACCGCTAAAAATTTCAAAAATTCAAGTTTTAATTTGGAGCTTGATTCAAGACCAATTGATTGATTGATTGAGCTTGATTCAATTTAATGTTGATAATAAATCAAAAATTGTACTTACACATTGGCTTTTTTCCTATTGTACACTATCCAAAATAATGACCTTTCTAAGGTGCAATATAAGACGTACTTCCGCTTTTTGTTGTACGTTTTAATATGTACAATCAAAATCATTTAATTAAACAATATTTTGTTTTTAAAAACACTCGATTACTTCTAATGCATATAACTTTGGCCTAGTATAATGAAAAGAATTTGCTTTTCTATATACAAATTTGGCAGCAATAATAGAAAACTGAAGTGGACCGTCCTAGGAGCTACTATACGGTAACATTAATCTAGATAACTTATCTAAGTAGGTTACTGGTGACCAATTAAATGCACGTGTCGAACATTAAAAGCGAAAGTTTACATTGGTTTGATTTCAGTTGTTTTACAAAGTTTCGAGTATATCTTATAATATTCGCATTAAAGTGTTTCATAATAAAAATAAAATAAAATTGACACAGTGATACAAAATAATAAAAGTCAAGGTTAAGGAATATAATTTATATTTTAAATCATTGTAAATGGAATATTATTTCGATATTTCGGATATTTAATAATTTTTTTTTGATTTTTGGATATTTTGGTAAATGAGGTTAAGGAAATAAAATATTATTAAGTCAATCACGGTTCAATAATTATTATAGTGGTAGGAAATGCTGTAGTCAATTTTTGTTTACTTCGTTCGGAAAAAATTTAAAACAAGTAAAAAAAAACGAAGATACACCCAAAATGCCGGCCAAATTGAATTTATATAACATCAACTAAATATATTATTAAATAAATATGAATATTGTGTTTCAAATAAAATATAAGAAGACTTGTATATTTTAAATATGTTTAAGTGTTTTTTTTTCAGGGCTTTTTTGGCGTTTTTAAGCACTTTTTTTATGGATTTTAAGTGAATAATATAAACACGGTACGTAATCACAATATTTAAACAAAAATAAACAATATACTATGTAAAAACTAAACATACTAAATTATTTGTGTTAATTAAAAAATAAGTGTAACATATTTATTTTATACTATAATAGGTACGAAAAATAACAAATCTACGTTTATAGAACATATTGTGTCTAGACTAGTGAAGCAGTATTCCTAGAAATATTTATTTATACACTTTTGTTGTATACACGAATGTAGTTTTGAATTTGTTTTAGAAAAAAATACTCTTCAGCAAATAAAATTATTAACAAAACCACATCAAATAGCTGGTGTTTTGTAAAAATGTGTAAGTGTTATTTCGAAAAATGTTTTAAATTCCTCGACTACTCTGTGACTGATGTTTTTTTAAAATGTAAAAATTGTATTAAAACAGAAAACCACATAGTTTTAAAAAGACGTGAGTGTTCAACTATAAAACTTAAAATGCCAGAAAAAAATTATTACTTTAAATATTCTAAATATACTGCCTTTACACTGAATAACTATACTTACATTCCGAATAACGTTGGACAGTATTGTTCGATGTATATTTTACATTTCATAAATCTTAGTAAATTATGACACCCGAGACCTTTTATAAATATGCATAAAATGTTTCTTTGTCCGAGACATAGATACACAGAAGCGAACCCAACTGTTACATGTGATATTCTATAGATTACGTACAATTTATAAAGCAAAACTTAATAAAAAAAAAAATGATTAAAATGTGCCTACATAAATAACAATTACTAAAATTGAAATGTACTTTTATTTTTATTATTCCTCCATTAACAAACATACCAAACAACACAACTGAGAATTAAGCTGGACTAGGCCACGTCTAACATGTGTATAAAAAAGAAAAACTAATCCCTAATATTGGAAAGCACAAAGAAAGAGAACGTTATAGGTAGACCCAAACAACGATGATCTAGTAAATTCACAAAGGATCTAAAAATACTAAAGTTACAAGGAGCTTTCGTTGGGTGGAGGGAAGTGTGTGATATAGTATTGAGCCTAAATGGACTTTGAAGTTAAAGAAAAAAAAAATTAAGGATATTGTTCTACTTCTTTTAAATATACCAGAATATATTTATCTTTGAAAATCACTAGGCGATCGCGTTACGTTAAAAGCTGATGGCCGAAATAGTAATTGTATTAAGGTCCATTATAAAAAAATATATATATATATATTGTAAACCATTTTTTTTAACTGTCCCATTTTTAAAAATAGTTGATACCGGAACATTATGTTGAAATGTTAACATTTTAATATAACAAAACTGTGTTGTATAATATGTTTAAATATAATTTTTGAAATTTTTTTTTATTTTCTTCTGCTGACTTGTAAGAAATGTTAAATATCCATAGCTTTGATTTTCGATGATAAAACTCATCTCGGACAGTTAAATTATTTGAAAAAGCCAACGCGCAGACCATATTACGTTGAAATTACTTGACTTTTTAACTTATGTTTTACTTTATTATTATTTAAGGCTGTCTCTTTTATAATTTAGCTCGATAATTTGTTCATTCGATATATTGTATTGAATTTTAACTTACAGTTATGAGTTAATACCTAGGTTATTATAATGATGAATAGTATAGTGAGAAGTTATTTTTAAAGTTAAACGAATCAATTATAGACAAAAAACAAATATATTTATATTTTAAGGAACAGTGTTATATGGTAACTATATCACAATAAAACAATGATGACATTTCAACAACTGTACGGAAAAAATAAAAAAAACAAAACATTTTTTTTGTTTTCATTTTTTTTTGTATATGGCTATATTATAACCTTGTTCATTTGATTATAATATTATATCCGTCTATATGTAGTTAATTTTGTATAACATACATAATGTATAAATTCTTGCGATTCTATATCTTGTAAACTGCAGTGTTCTTGCGTGGTAAATATTAATATAAAACTAAAATTTAATAACGTCAGTCGCATTATATGTTGGACATGGTTTCGGTAAAATGACATTTACACGAAAACGAATAATACAATAAAATTAATATCGTTGTCAATTTTTACATTTCTTTACTGTTTAAATTCTTGAACTTTTTTATTTAAACCAGCAAAGAATACAAAAAAAAAAAAATACTAAATCGAAAATTAATTTGAATCAACCAACTGTTAAACGTCGAATTGCATACTATAATATATGTAAATATTACTTGAAAGTTTAATAATAATAATAAACCAAAATACCTTTTAAACCGGTAATACAGCAACAGAGCAGCGGACTAAAGAGGCATAAGCCTTCCGGAATATTTAAAAATTAAATTTTAGAGAGACACGAAAACACAAAATTATTAAAAACCCCTCTCAAAGTAATGATTTTTTGGTTTTAGAGGGAGGAGAGAATTATTTTTTAGTCACTGAAAGTGAACTTACAAGGAATTTGCTTACAGCGCTTTGGAAATTAAGTTTATGACACGTAACAATTAATCGTCAGGAAAAATAATTAGTTAAAGTTTAATGTTATATTATCGAATAGTTTGAGATTGTTGTCATAAAAAATAATTGATAACAGTGAAGTTAAATTTACAAAATGAGTTTATGTTACAGATTTAAAAAAAAAAAAAAATTGAACCAATTAATATTATATTTTACTGTTTATTTATAAAATTAATTTTCACGTTTCTAAAATTTTAATACAAATATTTGAGAATTTCGTTTAAATTTATCACACGAGAAAACTAAATATACTTTTCATGGTCAATTTATTTATATTAAAAAAGAGGAATAAAAAATTATTCATCAACTTTAGACAAATCACGTTTTTATTTTTAAAATAATAAAAAATATATGATATAATATAGTATTATAATACTCAAGGGAAATTCAATGTGTTCTGCAATGGATATTAAACAATTTCCCTCGTAAAAAAAAAAAAAAAAACTGTTCGCGTAAATATTTTTCAAAACTATACTATCACAGAGAACAATAATGTTATTGTATGAACCTCAAAATAAAATAAAAATTATATATTTATAGTAAAAAGGCGAGTTTCTATACGGATATCAATAATGATAAATAGAATTGTTTCTTTTTTTTATTATTTATAATTATTTATATTTATATTTTCGTTCTTTATTTTACACAATTATAATTGATTTAAATGGGCGTATAATGAACTAACAAACACTTATAAAGTTATAAATCAATAGTTATAATTTATGAATATTATATATTTATGCATACAAGTACCTATCTATATTTGTATATTATATTATTATGTTAACGCTGTTGTTGTAATACAAATATTTTTGTGTAGGTAGTGCATTAGTATCTTAATACCGTGTATGTTAGATTCTAACCTAATGTATCTTAATTTATTATCAACCAGTATAAGCAAATCTAACTATAATTATATGCATTGTGTAATAAAATTTACCTTTAACGGGTTTGTCAGAGGTCCTCCGTACACTTGTTCCGAACTTCCTTTCAATAATTGCGCCAGAAGTTGCGGGCTGGGTTCGGGTGTCTTTTTCACCCTCGCGCAGCCTTCCAATTGACTGGGACTGGACGTTGTTCTTTGATGATATACCATTGTTTCATTTACCCCATGTTTTTTGCCAGCCGTCACCGACAACGGAATATTCGCACTGGTTTTTCGTTTAGGTGACGTTCTAAGTCTTAATCTATCCGACGGCTGATCGGGTGAAGTATAACTTCTTTTCAATTGACAATCGTCGGCCGATCTAATTATTTGCTTAGGATATTCGTCTAGGAACTTCAAGTCATCTTGTTTTTTACCATTCACTTCCGGTTTTTTCTTTTCATTTACAATCATCTCCAAATAAGGACCACGCAGTGGTCTTTTTGAGTAAGGCACGGGTGGCCCAGAATTCTTTTCGGAATCAGAGTTATCATTGCACGGAGATGAAGTACACTCTCTCGTTGGCGATAATGTTTGACTGTGATTACCTTGATCGCTATCACCTTCAGAAAAAGAGTCTCCTTTCGATAGTAAATATTGACGGTAATTCACCTTTGGCGAGGAACATATTTTTTCTTCGTCTTTTTCTTCAGAACTTTGTGCTGATAACTTTGGTCGTATAAGGGGCAGTTCCGTGAGAGACGACCATTGAGGCATTTGTGGAAATTCTGGACTTTGTGGTTCTTCTTTAGGAGACTCGGCAGGTGTTGTAGTGGTACTCACTTCTGTGTTTTGAACTATTCCACTGTCAGTCTCAGATTTCCACTCGGATAAAAATGTCTTTTCAACTACTTCTTCGGGCGGCTCTTGGACGGATATTTCTAAAGCCTCTTCAATTATCGCTACGTCCGAATGATTTGTTGGATCTGACTTGGATTTATTTTTTCGTCTGGGAGGTGTAGGCACTTCTATACCATCATGGTCTTCAGAATATGCTCTTACTGGTTCGGAAGAATGAGCTTTTCGAGAAAGAGAAACAGGATTTGGCGTACTCCTTTTTCGCCCATCAGACCTAATATATTTACCATCAGATGGCGAATAATATACCTGTGAAAACGATGCACTTCTGAACGGTATGGACCGCTGGTAATAAGATCCGACTATAGTTCTAGCTTCAGGCTTTCTTATACCGTCATCAAACTTGTCTGACGATTCCTCACCACTTAGATTTGCTGTCGATGTAGCTTTACTACCCATCAGATTTTCATCCTTGGGTTCTGACGTTTGTACCTCACCGGCCGGCGGTTGCTTCAATTTGTCCGTCAACTTCCTTAGTCTATCGGATTTATCGGTGGTTCTCGGTGCTACGTTTTGTTTATTTTTTTTATTTTGGGTCCCACCTCGACTGTTGCGACCGCCGAAACGAAACTTTTGGAATCGGTCCAGAGTAGTGGTTTCTTGTTCTTGTAAAGGAAGACTTTTCGAATCTTCGCAGATTTTAGAAACTAACGGAACGCGATCGACAGATAATTTCCCGAAACAACCGGACGACGGTTTTTGAACGCGGTTAGACCAATCCAATGAGCTACGGTATACTGGCGCCTGTATTCGGGGCAGACAAGTAGCGCCAGTAGTGTGTCTATTATTAGAGCCGGTCGGAAGAGGGATTCGAGATGTTACTCCGCAGCAACATGACGATTCTTTAGCGTCAGCGTCTAGTTGTAAGTCACCATTAGATGGAGCCACGGAAACATCGTTTTTAGCCGAAATCGGACCAAATCGAACCCTGACTGAACCAATACTAAAATATTGAGGTTGCCTGAAAAACATTCCAACAATATTAATATAATTTCAGTAAAATACATAAATAAATAATATATTATAAATGTATATACGATAAAATCAAAATTATTTTATTTATTAATAATTAATAACTGTACCATAATGTTTTATTCATTAAAATTATTTAATTACTAATTTTTGTTAATACACATTTATTACACCTTTTTTAATATGTGTAGGTATTACTCATATTTGTACAAATAGTATAATAAATAATATATTGAATTGAAATAGCACTTTATATTGAATAAATACTAATGTATAATATTTATTGTAATTTATTTTAATTAGTACTAAAAATGAATTTATAATTAATTTACATCGTAATTATATCAAATAGGTATTGAAATGGATTAATTTATATCACCTAATGAAAAATACTTCAATTCAATTTCTATCCTACATAAACGGTATAATTAGAAAATATCTACATTATAAAAGATAATTTGTGAGGTATAAAACAAACACGCGCATAATCAAATTTTATAGCCATGACGGTTATAGGTTAATACTAATAATAAATATTGGTTATTTTTTCTTTCTTTTTTTTTTTGTGTCGGTTAGATTAACTGGGAACAATTTTGCTCTTTAAATAAAATCCATTAACCGTGCTAGTAATTTATATACGCATTTTTGTTGCGGCATAATATTTTTAAGCTTTTCGTATTATGTTCATTAATTTATTATCGTGTAAAATGTCCGTAAAGCGTCCATCGCACGATTTAGAAACAAAATAGATTACTAACATATGTGTTGAACGATTAAAATGGACAGATCAAGGACGAACATAATAAAATAAACAAAGTTAGCATATCAACTTATGGATTTGTGTTTAATAAGTATATATATATATATATATATATATATATCATCAAATTTCATAATAATCAACTTTTACTTATATTTCTGCTAAGAATTATTTGGGAATATCTACTTAAATATACTTCAAATTTCCATAAATCATTGTGATATTGAATAAAATAGGTAATAAATTATATATTTCAAAATAGTGTTATTAACAACTATATGTAGATAAACAAATTAATGTTTTATATACTTATACAAATAATAAAATCAAATATGTAAATGCGCAGAAATATTATAAATTCAAAAAGGAAATTATTCATAAACACGAGTTGTCCCACCTGACTTTAACCAGTGCAAAAAAAAAGTATATAAAATAAATAAAGTTACCTGATAGATAAATTATCATTATTATAGACATCCGCACAACATAGAGATTTCACAACACAAATTAATTACGATGTTTTTTTTTCTTCCATATTACTAATCGACCCACAAATCAATAAAAATAATTAGATTTTTGTACTAAAAATACCTAAAAGCCGAAATTTTGGGGAAGGGTATTCAATAAGGGATGGACTTCAATAGCTAAAAACTTTTTCCGGACAACGTGGAAAAACTTCCTAAAGTTTTATAACGATCGGATGAATGGTGTGTAATGCATAAAGGACAAACATATATACATTCGTTTTTACATAGATAGCAGATATATATATCAGTGTATCGTCGTTCAATCATTAAAACAAGATTAAACTAGATAATAATTTACGAATATATAAAGATATTTGATGCGGTCATAAATTGGTACTGTGAAAAATTACAAATATTAAATACAAATGTAATAAATAATACAATAAATACAAATAACCATTTTTTTTTCAACTTCAAAAGCAACGGTCGAATTCAAATTTATTCTCAAAGTTAATATATTATTATTTAATCTATGAAAAAATAAAAATTCAAAAAACCTCCTTAGAAAATGTGTTAACAGACAGAAAAACTCGCCTCGCTCAGAATCGAATGGAGATAAAATTCGACTGACCGATTAAATAAAATGTAAATGTCTTACATGTATGTGTCGAATGATTCTTTCAAAACATTCTGGAAATTAATAGTGACACGGGCTCTCATTCTAGTATAGAATATTGTCAAGCAAAATTATTAACCTTGTCATCACCACAGTTTCGGACAAGAACTAATGGCATTTAGTTTTATAAAAATTGTATATAAAACAAACAAAAAAAAGATTCAAAATCAAAATTCTTAGAATATCATACACTTGTTAAACCATGAATATCATAACATTCATAATTATACAATTATAAGTGTGTAACTCGATATCAATAGAAAATGTTGTCTTAAAATAACATTATTTTTTTTTTTTTTTACTTTTAATTATAAAATTAGATACCGTAAAGAGCGTAAAATCGTATTAAATGTAAAAGTTTAAAACACAATTTTTTCCACCGTAAAAGAAAGTAGGTATTTTAATTTATATGATTTAAATATCGAAATGGCATAAATATTTATTAGTTATCATTTGCAAACTGATAAAATATAATGACTAAACTACTTTCGGTCAATATTAAATTATTTTTATAAAGTGTTAAAATACAAAACAGTTGTTTAATTTGCGGTATTAAATTTCATAATTTTTAGGCAAATTATTTCCATACAAAATAATGAATTTCCGAATACTTCTGTCAATAACATTCAAACCAGCATAAAGTCCACTTTGTAATTATCTTATGTAATAAAACGCCCTAAAAAAAAAAAAACCCTTAAGTATCCAAAGTAAAAAAATTTATAAAAGTTAAATAAAAACAATTAAATATTTGGAAAATACCTAGCTGACACAAAAACTATTTTTTAAATTTAATGTGATCAAAATACGGAATTTTAGTTAATAATTTATTAATTAAACATTAATTAATAGTCGTCTACAATTTATTACCATACAAAATATCATAATGTATATTTGTAAAATTATTCATACTCTAACAGAATTATAATTACTTATTACAATAATTATGATTTACGAATTTTTGGATGTAAATAACATGGCTTGCTGAAAAACAAATTAAAGCGTATTCGTGCCGGTAAAAGTAGATTTTTTTTTTTTTTTTTTGCTTTTAAACACCTGTCAAAACTATTTATGGTATAAATTCTCGGGGGTTTAGTTAATACTTTGTGATTTTCCAAATTAAACAGGGATTACAATGTTAAACTATAGGGATAAAATAGAATAACATAATCGGGGTTTTGACCCTGGGTTTAATTTTAAACTGAGGTTAAGAGTCTAATCTTGACTTAATAATATTGTACAATGTTATAATATCCTCGTCATCGGTAAATAAATAAATTTGTGACATCTTAAATTCCCGCCCGGTATTTGTGTACGATAATATTATGATGATAGATGAGAACGTTTTGATCAGGGCTCACGTGACCCACATATTCGATATTATTATTATTATTATTATTCTGTTGAATGATCTATTATAATAATTTATAGAAGTTAAAGCTACACATCGTTACTATATTACCACAGAATATAATAATCCCCTACTATATGTGTACGTTTATGCTTGGCGTATAATAATTATGACGACGAGAAGCTCATTAACCGAAATTTATAATCGTGTTTTTGATGTACTTGATATTAAAGTTACATAATAATATAATATTATCTAAGTTTTTTTTTTTTTTATGTTCGTGGTAAATGAATCTTCTTCATTACATATTATACCGAATACTTATCTGAGTACGAAAATCGTCTGATTACGAATTCATTCATTGCGGAAAAATACAATATTATTTAGGTTAACATTATTACTACCTACGTAATGTTCGCTATCGTTGTTTGGTGCAATTATTTATATCAAGTATATAATATATAATTATTATTTCGTGTTCACTTTACGAAAATGAAGATCATCCCGGACGATAAAATAATATAAACGCATGAATCATCGAAATTACTCTTGCAGTATATTCACGCAATTTTAACATTATACAATTTCGTTACAATCATCATATCTCAGAAGCATAAAATCGTCGCAATATAACAATATCAATCACGCGAAAACAGTATCTAATATATTTCAACTTTATTTATAATATTATATGCGTCTAAGTCCCGTTCTTACAACGTCCGATTAAATCGACAAAATTCCGTGGGTTAACTTAGGGTTAGCGGTAGCACCGACACTCTACTGCAGGTGTGGCCAAAATTTTTTCTTTAGAGATCTACTAAGAATATATTTTTTCTATGATGATCGACTTCCTAATAAATATGTATAATTAGCCATAATACACATACACGTACAAAATAATAAAACTAAAATGTATAGTTAAATAATGTTTTTTACACTATTAACTAATATAATAATATTGTAAATACAATTGCCAGGATAAACGCTGTTGAGTTGTATTACTTGATAAATTTACAACAAAATAAAGATATTATATTAAGATAAAAAAGACCAGCAATTGTTATTTGTCTACTATTTTGAAATATTTATAATAAAAAAAGGCTTCCGACTGGTGTGCTATTATTTCATAAAAGGAGAGTTGGAAAAGAATATATAATACATACAGAAATATAGAATAATTAATCTAATTCATATCTGATCGCAACGATAAACCATTTTTAACGAAAAACTATTCTGAACCAAGTATTATAATAGTCACATTTTGTCCAAGGTTGCCAAGGTAACTCAGAAATCAACAAACATTATGCAAAAAAAGTTTTTTTCACTTATTAAAAAAACTATAAGGGAAATAAAAAAATAACTTCCACCAACTACAATACAAAATCTACATGAAAATATCTATAAAGTTTCTGATTGGAGCGAGATTTTCGGTACACAATTTGTTTCAAGACACACAAAAGGAGAACACATTGTAATAAAATCAATATTGCGCACAGTTTTTAAAAAAAATAAATCTGACGAGTTGGTCATATTTGTAATCAAAAATGAAAATTACAAATCAGTACGAAAAACAAGAACGTTTAACGTTTTCAATCCCTATAACAAAAGCATATTTTATGATTTGCTTTTCCAAATAAAAATGGTGAATATTCAAATAAAAAATTTCGCCACGTCTTATTAATAGTCTATACGTAAAATAAGCATATTGGTAAATTCATTTTTATTTGTTTATTGTTTAATAAATTAACTTAACGAGCAATAACGTTTGAGTCCACATTAAACATTTTTTATCATTCATATGGATGTCAATATTAAACAAAATTTAGAAATTTTTTTTTCTTATCAGTATTTTTCTTTGTGTAAGGAATAATATAAGGAATTAAAAAAAAACATACATTGCAGTGTTAAAAAATTCAATTATTTATGATTTCAACGGTTTTTTTTTAAATTTATAAAATCGTGTTTTAATAGCAAAGTTGCAATTAGTGGCAGTTGGAAGTCAAACAAATATTTATATGAGAACTAATATAATCTATATTTTGATACTGATTACGGCCCAGAGACCGGCGGAGCAAGGATGGTAGAATACATTTTTTTTCAAACTTTGAATAAAAAGAAAAAACTATATTTTAAAACTACTAATTGTCACTGTTTACTATAGTTACTAGTATAAAAACATTTCCCTGAAAATATACTTTCTCACGTAGTGTAAATATTTTCTCAAAAGAAAAACAACTCCAAAAATCGCGTCTCCACAAATACTGAAAACTGAAAAAAAAACTATAAAATCACCAAAAATGTTGAATAAAACTAATTAGTCAAGTCCGTAGCTTTATCCGCTTTATATGACTAATTTTACAACCCAACAAATGACACGGATTTAAAGAATAATGAATGTAGAATTCATTATAACAATTTTAAAAATCAGACCTTTTTTTTTTTTATTCTTTTGAAATCAAATTTCGAAACACTGTGCTACACTTTGTTTATGACATAATATTATACACTTCATTACATTAAATTTCAACTCGGATTTTGCTCGACAAGGAAATGGGTTTAAATAGTAATATGTAGCTGTCACACGCGAAACTCGGAACAAAAAATAACAATTAATTTAAAACGTTTTTCTATGAATAGGAATTAATCTTTGCGAGATAATTAATATTACTGCAGTACTCGTCACTCATATTTTATTTTTTATTATTTTTTTTTTTTATTTAAAACAAATTGTACACAGCACAAATATGCGTAGTGTACCTAAATAAAATATATTGGTATTTTCCAAAAATTATTTCAGTATGTGATATATATTACTTGCTGCTGTCATCGCCCGAAGTTGGCCACTTAATCAATAAAAAAAAAATAAAATAAATATTTAACCACGGATAGGTTACTAATTTAAGTTGGAATATTGAACATGTAATGTAGGGCAGTAATTTAGTTATAATACAAAACCATTCTGGGTGAAGCTCGATAAGCCGCATGATCGTAAAAGGTTAGAGTAGAAGATGCGGTTTTTCCCATTGTATAGCTAAGGTAACCAGAATCTGCAGAAATCGACAAAAATAAACCCGATAAATAATTTGTCGTAAGTTTTTAAAAATTATTTAGAAAAACTGCTGAAAATCCAAAATTCAAATAAAGCTCCTGAAAAGATCTGAGAGAAAAATCGACACACATCTTTGATGGTAAAATTTTGGAGCATTATAACTGATCGAAAAAATGTATTCGGACAAAAACAAAACTTATAAAATAGATCCGAAGAGTGAAATGTTGAAAATTTCGTAATGTGCCACAAATAAACTATTACAGGTCGAAAAATCCGGATATTAAAAAAGTGTTGCGAAAAAAACACATCTTATAGCAAAACCAATCACTGCTCTCTGAATCTATGCTCAAATTTCGTGCTTTCTCAGGGAATATCGTGTTTTAACACTACATACAGGTCCATACGTAATAAATCTCGAAAAACCATAACTAATTTAGATCATTAGTATAACAATTAATTGAAACGAAGTATTGTAACGGCGGCGAGATGTCGGAAAAAATTCGACTTTAGTGAAAGTGTTCTGCTGCTCGCTAGTGATTTTTCTTACAACTTGACAATTTAATCCAATAGGACCTCTGTAAACACGCCTTAATTCAAAATTTGAGTTTATTTTATCAATGTAAAGAAAAAAAAAACAGACAAGCAGTATTACAAATAATTAGTTGTATTATAAGTATATAAACCCATTAACGTTTAAAGTTATAATCTGTCCGGTTGTATTTATATTTTTATCGCGAATTAATGATATTACGCGCAGTACGACGATTCAAACAATTTTCGGTCGCGTAATTCATTTGGTTTAATTATAATTTTTCAGACTCCCTTGTCTCGTTTTTAGAACAGATGTGCTGTTAAAAAGATAATTTACAATGCGATAATTCATATTTCAGAGCGCAATTGTAGAAACGCTAAAATTGCAACGTTTACACAAACATAGTAATATTATAACATATCTACTGTAGTGAAATAATTAAGTACGAAGAATAAAAAAAAAAAACAGTTGTATTTTTAGATATGAAATAAAAACTATGAAGTGAAATTCGCAATGTATTCTATAAAAATTAGTCTGCCGTTAAAAAAATATATATATATATATATTATGCGGAGCCTAATAATAATATTATTGTAATGTTTATAACGTAATTCCATTTTTTTTTTTTTTTTTTTTTTTTTTTTTTTATTAATAAGTTTTTTAAATCGACAAACCGGCGATTTATTAGCGAATGTACTTATTCGAAAATACACTTGATCATAAAATCAAACCTCCCACGCGTTACGATTATCGTTACCAGCGGCGAATCCTTTAGAGGGCGACTAAGAAGGCCTCGGCTTCTCCAACCCCCGAACCGTTAGCCACGTTAAAATACAACCGATTCATGAAAACTGTTCGGAATTGTGAACTTATTTAAAATAACGAAAATTTCGCAGTGTCTACAAACTCGACTTAGTTCAAACCAAAAATATCCACTACACACGATGTACAAATTATGTCGATCGTATAATCGCATCATCGAGAAGAAGGCGACTTTTTTTTAAATATAAATTCGGATATATTTTGTTGCCGTTATATAATTGTCATTTACTGTTGTCACTTCTACGGGAAAATCCCGTGGGTACGCCACTGGTTGGGTTAAAAAAACAATGATATTAATTCGGCCGCCGCGACGGGAAAAACAAAACCGGGGGTGGCGTCTGTCGCTATAACTATACCGAAAAACGTCTTCACGCTACGTACGATAACAATAACGACACATTATGACAACGACGACGACGATGATAATAATAATAAAAAACAATGATAACGGGACGGACACTCACCTGATCCATGTGGTAGGTCGGGCGACGTGAGGTGCGCCGTATGCGACGGTCGTTCCACCTCCGCCGCCGCAGCCGCCGCCGCCGTAGTCGGCGTTGTTGAGCAGCGAAGTCTTGCTGTTGTGCGTCATGGCGGTTTTTTCTGCGCGCGGCAGGCAGGTGGCAGGCAGCAGCGCGGTAGCGGGCAGCAGGTTTCACGGCGACGACGGCGTTGTGGTGCCGGTCGCCGGCGCGACGACGACGGTGTGACGGGTCGCAGTCATGTCGCCGACGACGAAAGCGTGTGCGCGCGAGCTATGGTGATAACGGCACGGCGCGGCGGTGATAACGATAATAACAATATTGTTGTTGCACCGATGGGCTCCCGCGGGGAGGGGGGGGGGGTCGGAACAGGAACCGCGCGGCCTGCGGAGCTCTGTCTGCCTGTGCAACACTATAACAAAAACATACAGAGGGCACCGCGACGAAAAAAACGGCGAATTTTCTTCTCTTCCTTCTTAAATAACGAACGGAAAATTGTCTACGCGACGAGAATGCCTTGTCTCTCGTGCGCGCGTTCCGCGTCGTCGTCGCGACTCAATGTCTCCGGCGGAGCGGTTTAAAATTTACACTCGGCGCACAACAGCTGCTTCTGCCACCGCCGTCGCCGCTGTTTGCGTCCCACCACCGCGATCGCCACCACGTCTTCGCTCCGCTGTCCGTTGGTGATTTTATATTTAGAACGTGGTTTTCAAAATGCATCCCGTCACCACTGCCGCCGCCGCCGCCATCGCCGCTGGATCGACCGAAGCTGCCGGCCGCACCGACCGATACATTCCGAGCGAAGGGCAAATTCCTCTGGAAAAAAAAAAAAAAGAAAACAAAATTAAATTCGTTTCTATATTACACTGTTTTCGGAACGAGGCGAACGGTTTGCGGGGGAGGGGAAAGTTTCATTTTTAAACGCGTCGCCTCGATTCTGACAAACGAAATTGGTTCTATTACACTGTAATATTTGAGAATTGAATACAGTCGATTACGATGTCTGTAATTTGGTTACAAAAATAACAATCGTTGCCGAGAATACTGAAACGATCGAAATCGTCAGAAAAAAAAAAAATAAATAAATATGTTGATAACCTAGAGTCTAGACAAAGGATGCTGAAGACCCGTTGAAGACTATTAATGATTTTAAAACAAACATATTTTCTAATCCTAAATTTTATATAAACAACAAAAACTAACAATATGAATGAACATCATCCACATCACGTATGACACTTTTCAGTACTGTTTTAAAGAAGCCACGGGAACGAGCAATCAATATATTTGATAAGAAACACTAAATGTATTATATCTTTGATCTCAGGAAAAAAGGGCGCGAGGGAATGTATTATAGCGTTTATTTGTGTAATTTGTGTCCGTTTGTTTTTCGGTCTAAATGGCACATGTGTATGCATGCTCTAGCTAATTTTATACCGAAAATTAAAGTATCTCAAGTCACTACAGGCGTACTTTCTGTTTAGCAAAAAGACATGGCGTAGAATTATACACCATTTTTGGTTTGGCCGTTTAGAAAATGATAACATCATACCTATGTCCATAAACAATATTTAAAATTTAATTTGCTTTTATTGAAAACTTTACAGAATTGACTAAAGCCCTTTATCCCTGAGACCAAATAAAATATATTATTGTAAATTATTTGTATATTGAAAAACTAGTGTACCTATATTTACACAAATTGATAAAAATAATAGAATTTCACGAATAGCAATAAATACTTTAGTCAAACTCGACACGTATTTTATAGAATTAGACTAATATAAAAATGTCGTTAAAAATTATTATTGTAATTCATTTTTGTTACTGGACTTTGAAATGGTTTAACGTAATAATATTTTCAAGAGTTTTTAATTTTTTTTTTTTTTATGATTTACAGTTTATTCAAATATTGAAAAATTGAGAAAACAGTAAAAAAAAAAAAGAAATTTAAAATACTACACGTGCCCGAAATTATTAGAAAATGAATAGGTATAGTGTACAGCAAAAAAAAAAACACTAATCCAAATTCCAAAAATGAATAATTTAAAAATTTCCCATCACAAAATACTCATACATCACCACTTTCAAAATAATATTACACTGTTTGATAACGGGAAACAGAATGAATAAATAATTAAAAACTAAAGTATTTATACAACCAAAAGTTTCTTCCCTATACTCAAAGTATAAAATTATCTATAGGTACACGTTTAAAAATGATTTTAATTTTAAAAGTTTGCTGATTAATTCAAAAAAATTACCTGTACTCGTATGTTTAATACTGATAGATAACAATGTATGACGAATGCTGGTATAAAAAAAATGTTATCTTAAATCTTTTGACCAAACTTGTAGTTTTAAATCAGTTTTACATTTTTAAATAAGTACATGTTATACGAGTGTACTTTTAAATACTATGACGAGTTAAATCTGTATTTTTCACGTTATAATAAAAGGTATTCATTATATCGTCTATATCTATACACTATAATATGTATCTGTTACTAAAAATGTGTAAATTCTCGTTGTACGTTCTAATAGAAGAGTCTCACGACACGGTGAAAATAGTAAAATATTGTATCTCGTCGCGCAGATACATAGGCTCTAGTTAACGTGACCTACCTTGATTATGCGATAGCAATTATAATGAACGTTTCTTTGTGAAATTCTTTTTCCTTTTAATCTATATATGAAAAGCTATTAGAAAACTATTAAAAAGATAATTACAACCTATATAATATAGGATATACCAAGTTAAAAAAAAAAATTTTAATTATTTACAGTAATTAATAATATTGTAATATCCATTTAATAGCATTCATAAAAGAAGTGGGAAAAACTTCGCACCCGGGTGCGGGTCATCACTGTTGTAGGTGGAAAATTTGAATTATATTTCATTATGTAGAATATGTATAGGGTAATTTAGCTTATATACCCACTAAAATCCACGATAAAGCATTGCAATAATCGGAAAACGTTTCTGAGCGGAGTTCGGTAGAGTTTTATTGCATTACTATCATGTTTTCTCCCTTATCATAATCAAGCCGACCCACAGAAATCAATAAAAATAATCCGATGTATCGTCAAACCCTTGATTATTTTAACATCTGTTAGGAATCTACAAAAATGTTTCGAATGAAGTACTACAGCGCAAGAAATCCACATTTTTTTTTATTTACGGTATGAAAAATTGGTTTTTTGGTAACAGAAAAAGTATTTTCCTAGAAAAATACATATTCTATACACTCAGTCTAATAATCTTCTCGGTTAATATTTGCAATAACCAATCGCTGATCGATACCAAGAATAAACGTCCATGAATAAGTGACGGTGAACATCTTCGTTACATTTCAGTTCCAAGTTTATTTCACGAAATTTAGACTACCCCGAAATATCGTGTAAAACTTCTGATAAAATTGTTTTAAAATTTGAGAAACAAGTTTGTTTTTCCATGATTAAAACGGTGTGACGGTGCCTCGGTGGAGCGATTGAATCCTTCTCAAATTATTTATAGTCCAATGTACTGTGTTTCTTTACATTTTTGGACAAAAAAATTTTCAGAAGTTAGATTAAGTTTTACATAGCAAATCTAGGGTTATTTTGGACGTGAGCTCGGGAAGCGAATGAATGCAGGTGGCCGTAGATACGCCGACGGAGCTATAATTTGGAAAATTTTTTACCAATTTCGCATTTGGATTTATATAATAATATTAGAAGACATTGTAACTTTTAGAATAAATGGCCCAATTGGGAGTATCAAACGTTGGGTCAAAAAAAAAATTGAGAGAGTTATTGCCTAATAGCGTTTCGTTTTATAGCCAGTCATAATAATTAAGGCAAATACTTATATGCTTTTGCATAATTTATTGGTTCTTCAGAAAAATATCTAGCTTATAATAAAATGGGTTATAGCCTAATAATTTTATTTAAATATTTTGGTATTTTTGCATTTTTAAAGCATACTTTAAGATTTTGTAAAGTTTTAAATCACGTTTAAAGATTTTATACATGTTTAAGACATTTTCAACTCTACAAACCGAAAATAGTTAAAGATTTATAAATATCAGCTTGCGAGTATTGCTAACTTTAATTCCAATGTTTTAAATAAAATATTTTTTAGTTCATTTTATTTTTTATCGTATTTTTTTTGTAAAACAATAAAACATATTTAAAAAATTTAAAAATTATAATTTTATTTATTCAATATTTTTTTAACGGGTAATTGTAGTGTTAGTTTAGAAATGTTCGGTAATTTTTACAGGAAAGCAGCATAGTTTTAGCATACATTTTTAGGGCATATAAATATCTGACCTAGTCATATGAAATAATAATATCAATAATATTTTATTACGCATTTTTAAAATAAATAATGTGTACATAACGTCATAATCTATTTACACTAGATAATATTATTATCATAGTTTACCGGCGATAAATCGCGTATTAGGCAGGATACCATAATTGTGTCGGGTAGGTCACGTATTGACCCGGGTGGATTACAATAGGTACTCTCCCAATGCTAAAACGGTTGGGCATTTAGTATTACAGTCGAACGAAACATTTTCACCTAATAATTTACAAATATAAAACAATAATTAAAATATCATTATAATCCGAACTTATCGAATAAACGCAGATTTTATTTATACGTTTTTATGTCGGTCATTCGGGCATTAGACGGATGATGTATTTATTTGTTGATTTATTTTATTTGAAACAAAAACAAAAAACTATACCCGTAACATAACAGTTGAAAAAAAGGTTTAGAACGAATGATTAGATTATAATGCAGTCGACGATAGTATTATACGTATACGTTGTATAGTCTACGAAAAAGACAAACACGGTGGCGCTCGCAACGGATAGGAGTTAAATCCCCATTGGATTAAAAAATACAAGCACTGCTAATGTTTTTATTTGGACATTTTATCTTGAAATTGTGTATTTTAATCAAATTACATGGGGAGAAAAAAAGCCTAATTTATTGAATAAAAATTGTTATATCTGGGGTTTGGCTTTTAAATTCCCATGATTGTCGGATTAACAACGGAAGAATATTCTACGATTTATTCATGAATGATGATTATTGTTTACTAAATTTCCTCTCCTCCCCCCTTCCGGTAGTAAATACTTGTTCACGTCACTGTAGGTTCGTTATAAAAACTAGATACCCAATGTATAAACACATTCGTGATCCGTCGGCTAGGAAATATCAACTCGTTGCTATTTCTACCCACTGAACGAATGCACGCGAATAAAATATGTTCGAAATGTAAAAATAAAATGTTTGCGTATAATACGAATGTGTTAAAAATGCACGTTTATTTATAAAACCATATTATGATTTATGAGCACTTATAATTTCTTACGGTGTAGAAAATATCGAATAGAATAATAATAATTGTATACAAACGGCGAGGCAATATTGGTATTGAATAAATCCGTAGCATATATCCATTAAAGAGTAACCGTCAGATTACACGGGTCGTAAAATATAAATTGTGAATTTATTTACTGGGTATAGAAAATCGTTAATTTTTTACACGGTTGGAAGAACATTAATGGAAGTCCAATCTGTTTAAACAATATACAACACCGTTTCGTGGTATATATTATCGGTAAACACTGCGAGGTAAGTAATCAATTATTATTCACTTACTCAATTTTACAAACTCAATTATCACACATATTTCATTCGTATTAACTTTAAAGGATATTTTGGTTACAAACTCATTTTTCTTATCGGAAATCCGGCGATTTCCGTCAGAAAATCTACAAAGAGTTCGGGGGAAATATATCTACACATTGTGATTACTTTTTCGGTCCAATAAACTGCTGCCAAACGTGATCAGTAGAAATGTATTGCATAATATATTCAAATATTAAATTTAAATTACGTACCTATATTATATAGTATTTATAAGAAACTTCTAATGAAATTTATAATAAAGATACGAAAAAAATAATAATAATAAAATAAAACCGCCGACGACCATGGTTCCGCAGAAAAACAGTATAATCATTCGATAGTTATTATTAAAAAAAAAAATGCCGGCGAATCGCATGGCATATGCCAAAAGGATGTTCTTAAATATAGGTATCTCCTATGGTGTTTTATAGAAGCAAAATGCCTTAACCTTGGCATTTAAATATCGTTTTATGGCGAAAGTGCGCATTTTTACGACGGTGTAATATACGTAATAATATTTATTAATCGTTTACTGCGTAAAGGATTCGATGATGTAAATGTATATTTAAGTATATCGAGTTTAAAATACTCTATTATTTATAGGCTAGACAAAACGGGTGTACGCGCGCGTGACATTATACGGCGGTGACTAACGCAACACGCACGGCTAGCGCCTCGACGTGGACAAGAGTTGAATACCAAACGAGACACAGTTTTATAATGTTATTATAATGTACACTTTTGGAAAATTATAAAAAAAAAAAATATTCAATATTTTCAATATTAAATATAATATAATATATTATCGAGACGAGATTTTTAAGTGTAATTACGCTTAGTTAAAACATCTAATTAGATGTTTCAACTGCGGAGGTTGTGCAGCTATAATCGGGCGAGCTTTCATATCGGGGGTTCATTGGTCAACGAACTAATATACGAAACTTTGTACCGCTTACAAAAAAAATTAATATTTCACGATTACGGAATAATTCGGATACTACGGTGGTATTTTTTAAGCACACGTATTTAGATTTTAGTAAATTCTGTAAAACACGAATTGTTACAAACAATAGAAAAAAATGCTCAACTCCGTCGGGTTTCAAATTTTCGATCCCCGCGCTTTGTAGGAAAAAGCATACCATTCGACCACAACGACAATAGTTGTACGCCCACGTTATATAGTCTATGCTGTAAACTCATCGGTACATAATGCATACCAACAAACAAGAATACATACAAATTTAGGCATTAAAACGTTTTATTCCTTAATTTATTAATATTCTATATGGGTATAATTTCGATTGTTTTTATTTGTTTTTCTTTTAAGTTTGTTATTTTTATTTCAAGTACACTCGATAGAGTTGCACATATTTACTATATAGACACACACTACACACAAAGTATAAAATATTATAAATGCATATACGAATGTAGTATATTTATAAATGAAAATGTCGATAAAAATATAGAAAACATTTTATTCTCAGCATTTTAAACTGCATGAAATCCGGTCTCTAATCGTAATATTTCGCTTTTCGAGATTAAATTAAATCTGTTTCATACAATGTGAACAGTTATCGGAAGTATAAGAAGTGTCTTAACGAAAGACTGAGCAAGAAGTTACGTGAGAAATAACGCATTCGAATGCAGAATAAGATACAAGTTATTTATAAATAATATAAAAGATACAAGTAACAAAACGTAACTCAGTAATTGCTCGACAAACTCGTACGAGAATACTGTACCACATCACGCGTGTCGACCAAGAGGCCATATAACTTGCCGAAACTCTCGTCGAGAGAGTATATATAAGCACCTACTTATACCACTATACCCACGTATAAAAAATATTGTATACACAGGTGTGCTGTTTTTTTTTTTTTCAAGGACTATGCAATGGATACCTGACTGTGTGTGATGGATACCTATATAAAAATACACTGTCGTTTACTGAATGATGCTTTTCACTCGGACATACCTATCCACCTATATAGTATGTGTGCTTGTTAACTAGGAACGACCAGTCGCGCGAATAATCGTTTTCTATTATTTTTTATAGAGAAACTCCTAGTTTTCTATGTAAGGCAACAGATTAGCCATTTAGTGTGACTTATAATTATTATTTCTGTTTATACGAAACGAAGAAAGCTGTATAACACTATCGTCTAAAATGTATTAAACTATGCTTCCATCAATAATATAACTCAATTGTATAAATTGTATAAAACTAATGCCTGCAAATAATTATTGTTTCAAACTTTTATTGAAAATCGAGTCATCTTATTGAGTACATCGTTTAGTATAGGTACATAAATACAGCCACATTACTTTTCTCATCTCGTATAGAAATTATAAGTCTTTAAACTACCGTTACGTATACAGAAAACCTCAAATTTCTCCAATACACAAAATTATAACCATTAATTATATTATACGTGGATGGGGTGAAAAATTGATCCATATGTCGACGAAGACGTGGTGGAGTTTATCTGTATTTTTTACGAATACTTAACATAACGATGAAAAGCACTTAATATCGTATTATTATATTTTAATGTCTTCAAAATAAATAATAAATAAAAAACACACACGCCCTAGTAAAACTAATATCTAAAATGAACATCCCTCTTTACGCTCAAAGTCTAAAATAATAATAATGATAATGATAATGGAATATACCTGTTGATGTGATTGCATTACGTTTTACAAAGTTTATTAAAAGTACATAGCTTAACACAATTTAACTACTACTCAAAATACGACCTACACAAAACTAAAAGACCCCTGCAGGTTTCCGAAATCAGTTTAGTTTTCGAATGTTTGAGCTTTGAGCTCTGGTTTAAGCCATCGCGCAAAACGTCATAGACATAAAATATTATACATTTGACAAATATGGCACGTTTTGCTGTTATGTTAGCATCATTGTGATTTATTGGGAAAAAAAAGTCAAGTCTAGAAATCAACGGATATAATGTAAGCAAATAAATAAATAAATTGAATAATGTTAAAAAAAAAATATATATGTATATATAAATCTAGATAGTAAATGAATAACCGAATAAATTAATAAGCTATAAAACAAATTATATTTATTTATTGTTTTATTGTTTTATTGTTTATTGTTTGTAATTAGGTACGTTTCAAATTTCTGACCTTATACTGTTTCGAAAACAGACGCACGACGAACGGGCTCCGGGAATCGAATTCGATGACCCCGTGCACCACCCCCCCCTGCGCTTGAACAGGTTACTGTATATTAACGGTACCGTTTGCTACACTATCAATTTGAGCCCTCATATTTGTTTTTTATAATATTTCAATTATAGCGCGAGACCATAATAAATAATTATAAAAATAAAATTAATATCGAACAAAACAAAACTTGTTGCATTCGTCAAATCGAACTTGAACTTTGTACTGAAATCCTGTAATTTGTCACGTTTTTAGATGTTCAAACTACAACAGTAGTGTTATACACAAACTATTTTTATCTGATGGTAATTTATAATGCCGGTCAGAATAAATCTAGAGAAAATATATTTACTAAATTTTCGCTTATACTCATGATTATTGTTAATACCTACTTGTTGTTGCTGTACTCGTATGTGATAATATAGTAACTGTCAACACTTTTCATAAATACCCCCAACATTTTAATGTTCAAATAGCGTTCATCACACATTATAACAATAATTATTATTATTTTTTTTTTTTTAATTTGATACTGTTGATTGTTGACTACAGTGCGAACTAGTATTTAGTGTTTAAATTCGCATTATAGAAAGCAGAGCCTTGTAGAGTTTTCTTGTGGGTTTCGGATTACACGACAGATATTACGAGTATTATATACCTTGTCCGAAATATTAAAAATAATATTTATATAGTCCGAATTCGTATAAATCATGCGGTTTTATGTATTATTTTATATATTAAGATTTTAATACAACGCAGAACATATACAGTGATAATACAAAGTATAAAATAGGTGAAAGTATGACACGGTCTGTAACAATACTCGTGTAGGAGAATAAATAAAAAAAAAAACTTATACTAGTGTTGTACGTATAGTACGGGATGATGAATATATAGGTACGAAATTAAATTAATTTAACTATTTTAGAAAACACGAGTTATTTAGTAATATTTATAAATTAATAATATCCGCAGACTGTTATAAAATATAATGATCGTATACGTACAGTAAACTTGTTTGTTGAATTTGTTTTGTCTTTTGAAAAAGTGCCAACAAAACGAGACGAGCACAAATTTTACAGCAAATCACACTTTATACGAACAATAAAAATAATTAAATGATATTCATTAATCGCCCCACGAGATACTATTTTTGTACTCGGAATATTAACATATTAACAAATAGACATGAAATAATTTTGGTGACCAAAATATCACCATAGTAATACAGAATATAAAACTTTAGAAGTGAAAATAGTAACCTTTACTTCTAAGCCCTATATAAATCTAAACTCTACTCTTTACTCTTAATAGAAAAAAATTGAAAAATTAATAACTATTAAAAAACATCGCGCAATACATTAGAATGTAAAATATTATTATAAAGCAACGAATTGCTAATTTAAATTTAAAAATAGATATATTCTGAAATCAAACATATTAATTGTTACTTTAATGATATTTAAATTTTCGGATTACGTATTCGTAAAAATGAGTTGAAGAGTATTCAAAATTCGAATACTATTCTAATTTTTTTTTTTGAGTCTATAAACAACTTTTCTAACAATAATATTTACTAGTAATGTTGTTCTTATCAAAAACTTAATAGGAATTTGTATGTACTGTTTTTTATGTGGTTAGTGCATTGAGGTCATTTTTTATATTTCCTTATAGTTTTCTTAATAATTTGGAAAACCTAGCAATTATTTGAATAATTAATTTTTTTATTTATGGTTTACCTACTTAATTGGCTACAAGGAAAAAAAGATACGGAGATGTTTTGCATAATAGATAGGCCACTGTTGTAACTTGTGAGTGAAAAGTTAAGAAGATATGATATCATAGAGAGGAATTTAATGTATATCTGTACACAACGATTAATCTTTGCTAACGAAACACGATTCTGAGCGGAGTTCTTTTAAAAGGCTGTAATATTTACGATATTATAATTATACGATTTCGTATATTTTCCGGTTTTTCACATGTTTTTCTTGGGATTTCCAATTTATTATGAAAAGAGCTGCACAAATTAAAAAATTACCTCCTTAAAGTATCACCCCAGTCAAATTTCCTTTTAGAAAAGATAGTACTACACTTGAAAATCGGAGTAAGATTTCTAGTAGAATTATTGTTTACAGATAAAACAAAATTAACATCATACAATGATACTCGCTTCGCTCAGAATCTAAAAGTAACTATAGTATAAATACTATTTACACATATTTTATATTTGGTGAATATATTGCATTCTTTCTTAACTTAGGAAGATTCAAAGATTTATACTGTTGAATTATCTGGAAAGGCAAAATGATATCTTTGATCCCCACAAAAGTGTCAGGGGGCAAGTTACCCCCTTGCCAGCCACACATATGCCACTGCATCCAAGAATCGAAACATTTATAATTTTGTATTTTTAACAAAAACCGTATTTTGTATTATAGGTTATATCTATGTAATTTCTATAATAACAGTATCCATATATATAATATATATCAGTAATCTATATTACAGTTTAGCTGTAATCGATAGTAATTTATTTGATTATATTCAATAATTTGTATAATACAATGAATTATCAACGGATTTTATCCCAACCACTAGAAGGAAAATATCTGCGAAAAGCAGTTGTACATTTGGTTTTTGCCATGCCACACAAGCATCATGGTGTGGCAAACACTAAAATCGCCAAAGTCAAGCGACTTTATTCAATAGCCAATCAACTATTTTATAAATACTGATATTTCTACCAAATGGTATGGTAAACTTTGGTCGTTTCTCATTGTATTGCTCCGTTGGCCCGGTCACGGCCCGGTGACAATACAATATATGCTATATGCTATCAAAAATCGATTTTGAGTGGCGAAATATTAGTAATATTTTTCCCTAGTAGTCAAGGTAGCTCCCAAAAATCAACAAATCTAAAACCTATGTATCGACATTTGTTTTTTTTTAAATTGCATTTAAATCTGTTGGGAATATAGAAATTGTTTTCAAATAAAGTATACCTTCGGACAAAAAATCCTCATCTTTTAATCTTTTGAGGTACGATACGATTAATCGAACGTATTATTTTTAATAACTAATAATATATTTTCCAAGAAAAAAATGAAAAAAAAAGAAACTAGGGAGTGAATTGTTGAAAATTTAAAAAAGTATTTCAAATAAAGTATCACTGAGACAAAAATCTACATCTTTTAAGGTACTGCGTGAACAAACGGAAATATTCACTCGTCAAAAAATGTTTAAAAAATACAAATAAGTGCAATTTTTTGGAATTTGGAAAAACTGCCATTTAAAACCAGACGAAAAATCTATAAGTATAGTACAAAATCATTTTTACCACGATTTTTACTCACCCAATAAGTGCTTTCCATAAAAAAAAGACATCTCAGGTAATAGCTTCTTCGTTTTTACACTTAAAATTGAAAACATGGATCTGTGTATGAAAAGTATGGAAGGGTGCTTATACGAAGTCGACTTAACAAATTATCCATCCCTCACCTCCACAGAACAAAATCATAACTACACCACTGTACGACCAATTACCTATAATTTTAATATCTATACTAAATAAATTCGTTTTTTTCTTTTCTTGTTAATAAGAAAGTTACATAAAAAGCTGCAGGCAATGCATACCAACAATTCTTTGTTTTACTTCTATTTACGTTACTATAGATTCGTGCATGAACTATAGTCTATAGGTTAACTATTATTGGTAGTTCAAATAACCAAAATTAATAATAAAAATGTGTGTGTGTGTGTGTTAGGGGGGAATTTGGAAGGGAGGATATAGAGAGTAATTTAATTTATATTTGTACGGAACGATAAACCATTACCAACGAAAAACTATTCTGAGCAGAGTTTCCACTGTTACCAAAATAACCCAGAAATCGACAAAAATTTTAAATAAAATTGCCAGTTTTTCTTAACTATTGAAAAAAAATGCGAAGAAAATCTAAAAAAAAATCTAAAAATGCACCAACTAGATCAGAAATACTATAAGAAAATGCCTATAAAGTTTTTGATTAGAACAAGATTTCTGTTGTAAAAGTTGTACACAAAAAAAAAAAAAAACACATACACCTAGTAAAAACCAACCACTTAGCTCTCGGGTCTAAAAAGGATTTCAATAATTAAATATACCTAATCGTATCGCGATGTCGGTGTAGCACACGAAAAGATAATATTATAACTTTACTAGTCGCCCGTGTGTTCGGCGGGAAAAAAAACAAATAGATAAACAAAAACACAAATCGCGTAGACGTAGGTACACTTACCGCGTCATATCGACCACGATTTGCTGGTTCCGTTGCGATGGAAACGGGCGCGAAAACGGTAAACGAGCGCGATTAAAAATACGAATTATTCGAAAATATCGCGACAAAAAAACCGTTCAAAAAATACACCCTTAGTTGACAAAAAAATAACGACGTCGGTACCGAGCGATTTCGCGGATTGGTGTAGGCGACACCTACCTCCTATACGACACCGTTGTTGGCGTACTCTGCAGCATAGCAATAACAAAATGCGGCGTACCCCGGGTACCGCGGCGGGTATTATTGTTATCGTCGTTGTTCGATACAACGTGACGACGGGAAAAAAAAAAATTTTTAAAAAATAGACGCGCGTCCGCGAACGGAATATGGGTGCAAACGGAAAACTCAGCGCGCGAAATCGGAACTTTTATAATGTCGCTGTTGCGGCACCTACGTACGAATAAATATTATAGGACGCGCGCGAACCGGCGAACTCGTAAGACGCGACTGTCTGTGTCGTGTATATAGAAAAAAAAAAACACTATAATAATATTATTGTGTGCGTGCGTGCGTGTGTGTGTGTGCGACCGCGAAAGAACAGACGAGAGAGACGGGTCGTAAGAAAGAGTGAGAGAGAGTGGGCGAGAAAGAGTGAGAGAGAGAGGAAAATACACCTTCCAATGTTGCGTACAACAGACACGGTCCGGCTAAGACGTCGTCGTCGTTTTTTCCTCCACCGGTTATAATACGCCGCCGTCGCCGCCATAGACCCGTTTTTTTTTTTTTTTTTTCCTTTCCAGACGTTCTCAACGTCGTCGCGGACCGCGGTTACCGCGGGGAGCGAAACGCGCGCGCGACGACGACGACGTCTTGTACGTACCACAGTTGAAACGGACTTACCGTACCGCGCCACCGTGCGCACACAGAACATTCGACATAATATTATTATGTATTATATTATTAATAACGACAGTAACGACAATGGTTTAGAGGACTCGGATTTAAATGTGCGCCGACAAACCGCGAAATACGTTCTTGAAAATATTATCGTTAAACATTAGCTGAAAATCGCTATGTACGCCCGAGAAATACAACGAAATACCTATGCGAAAATATGCGCTAAAAACGTTTCTGGTCACGTGCGTGTTTCGCGTTATACGTGGCGCGTAATGTTAGAAACAAAATCAAACAAATCCGAACCCTAATAGTAAAAGTTCCCCGCCATTTTCCCCGTTTTCTATAAGCCAATCGCGTCCGCCACATTATGGGACGACCCCGTTGTTTCGCATAGCGCACAAATAGAATTCACAACATGCTCCGACAGCTGGTGCTGGTTTAGCCTACACGCTGTATGGGTATACCCAGGTACCAAAGTAAATCAGTAAAAGTTTCTTGGGGAATTTTTAAACAATAAAAATAATGACAGGACTTCGTAACTATATTTGTCCACTTACCTACACGGGTGGAGAAAACTATACACGACTCACGATGTCTATTTTATTGAATTATCCGGGTCCTTTTGGACATATACAACATTAGAGATAACAAAATAACATACAATCATAATACTTATAATATGGAAATTGCACGTAGTTAAATTTGATGGCAGATCGTTAAAGATTGGCAGTTGACATAAGGACGTTTTAATGGCTCATCGGCCGTATAGTTAGTGACGGCGTGTGGCGCATATAGAACGGAGTAATGGATCGAAAAGAACGAGGCGGTACTTTGAAACGTATTCGGGAAATCGGGAAAGGTGAATCGATGTTATTGTTTAATAATCCTGCAAAGATAGTAGGGAAGCACCGGGCAAAACCGATTTTATTTATCTCCCACGTTATGCCACGGATTACAATACTTAAACACAACAATTATTAATTGTACTTTGTTTCGTAAGTTCCTATCAATGGAAAAAATTTAATATTCATTTTTTTTTCCTCTCTCGTAATTATTTTAGCATATCGTGCATCGATCATTCCCAATTACAAATCGATATTGCTCCGGTATTGGAACAAACCGATAAAATATAAAAAATAATTATGGCTTGTTAGAAAATGAAAAATAAATTTTTTAACGAGCTAAAAATATAAATATAAATATTTAATACTAACGATATTTACTGTAGTATAAATAAATAATGAACAGCCAAAGAATGTGCCAATCATTAGGTATGTGTCTACCAGGTACCCAATATCCGTTTTTTACAAAATACGTATATTTTAAGGTTTTAATTTTGTTCAATCGGTTTTGCCCCGTGTCTCCTTTCCTATACGTATACCGTACGTATAACTACTAATATTATTATTAAAATATTCAACGCGTTCCGTTTTATTAGTATTATGTTTAGTGGATGTACTCAAATGTGAAATTATTCTTAGTATTACGCCCTAACACAAGTGAAACCATACATTGTAATACATGTAATACATTGTATACTTTTAAAGTTTGTAACTATTTTCTCATTACCCTGCAGGTATAAATTATGATAATATTTATTCGAAAAATATTATATTTTATATTAGATCAGAAGTTTCAAAATCCTAAATAGGATTGAATCTATTTATTTTACTATAGTGTGTGTGTGTTTTTTTTTTTTATTAATTTTTTAAACATTTTTTTACCAGAAATCTTGCTATAGTAAAAAAAATAACAAAAGGCTTTTTTTGTTGAATTTTTGATCTAGTTTTTGTACTGACAATATCAAAATTGCCTCTTTTTAATTTTTATGTAGTTTCTTAATAATTGGAAAAAATTGAGAAAAACGGGAAAATATACGTTTTCATTGTTTTCGAGTTTCTATTTATTTCGTAATTCGGTTAACAAAATAAAAATAACTGTAGAGATCTGAAATTTTCACAAAATAAATTCAAAATACTCAAGACATTGAAAATTATTTAATTATAGCATTTTGCGTAAAGTGAACACGGCGCGATAAAGTAGTAACGGCGGTTCCGGTGATGGTGCAGAGGGAGTAATTTGGGCGGCCATGTACAGCACCGGCAGTGGCACGGTGAGTACGTACCTGAATGCGGTAGCAGTGGCTACATAAAAGTGGTAATTCAGATGGCACTGCTTTTTATACTATACAAGTCACAGTTAATTGAATATGTTTTTTAGTAATTTTTTTAAAAAATGTCTTAACCGAATTTCCTCTTTCCTCCTACAACAGTGCATCCATCAGCAGTATCAGCTCCTTTTTCCTACTAAATCTAAATCTAAAATACTTGTTCTAAACTTTCGGTTAGTAAAATGCTGCGATTTTTTCATACAGTTCTTTGAAAGATGCAGATTTTTCACCCATTAGTACCTATTGTTACTGTACTGACTATTGGTACTTATTAAGTCAATAGATCAGTACCTACCGCGATTTTCAATCATCAATAATTTTGTTCATACAAAACAGTATTCGACTTAACTCGAGTTTTTTAACTCGATAATTTATTATTATGAAAATACTCGATTCGTCCAATAATGTTCGTAAATTAACTACAAATATAACATACTAATCATAAATTTACATCCATTTACACGAAAACAGACTATACACAATTAGAGAGCGGACAGACGTGACCGATTCTACAATGAAAAATTTGTGGACCTAAGGCAAAATATTTCTCCCACGCGTAATGCATGTACAGCAGGTTATTAAAAATATTTAGCTGACACATGGGTACTGGATACTAGGTAGGTATGCAAAAATATGAAAAAATGAATAACCTACGTCGCAATATAATTATGTTGATGATGAGATATTAAAATAAAATTTGTTCATACAGTAATTCGATATTACCTCGTAAAAATCAACAATATTGTACATATTATGTAGTTGTAGTAAGTTTACCTGAGTATAGTTTTAGCGCGAAAAAATCACGGTGTGGAAATTAACGAACCGCTAGCGCAGTCAGTAATTGTATTTTCGTTGGGGAAGGGGGAGGGAGTGTTATGAATTAAAATATTTAATTTTTGTTGATCAAATCGGCTACGAAGGTTCTAAATTTTTATAATAATTCATTCGGGTTTCGATGCTTTCAGTCATTGATGCCAACAAAAACCAACAACGGCTTCAAAGCGAATACTGTACACGCACAAAGCCCACGCGAAACATTATATTACATACGTATATAGGTACCCCACACGTTTTCGCAGAGCCGAACAGACCGAGATGAGAAGACGGGGTAACAATAATAACGATAATAATACAATAATATTATAATAATAATAATTTATACAATACGGCAACATGTCCACGCCGCAGTAGTTTGTAGCCCGAGGATGCAGCGATCGTCTCCCACTCACAATCGATTTTTATACGGTATTGTCTTGTCTCTCCTCGATCCGCTGCCGTAGTTACATAGTATTATTATCATTATTATTGTTTTTCTTTTTGTCGTGGCTATAATATATCGGAGGTTTTTTTTTTTTTTTTTTTTTTACAAATATACCTAGGTATAATATATTATTACACGTCTCCAGTTGTCTATACCTACATCTATTTCTTTGGAAATGTCGCACGAATATTGTGTACACAATATTTACTTACGCGTGCCATGATACTAAACAAATTCAATACTGGAAAGTCGGTCTCAACATACACGCCAATAACTTACAGTATACGTAGGTACATTTTTCAATAACTACTCGTTTTTTATTGACCCGTAGGTACCCAGTCATCTGACATCTGAATAATTTCTTGTATAGGTACAGTATACATGTTTGAAATCTGTTCGTTTCCTTCCTGCTATTAATATTATTGTTGCATGACGATCATTATTTTCATCAAAAAAATAAAATAAAACGAATGCGCGGATTACCGTACACTGCGTAGAAACTACAAATAAACATAAACAATTGTTTGCAGCAGTTCTCAATGTAGCGAAGAATGTATTGGTTTTACAAAAATGTTTATTTTTTTTTTTTTTATGCGTACACTTTTTCTACCAGAAAGCTTACTTCGATGTATACGATGTAGACTCTTTTCTGAAGGGAAATTTTCTTGGGACGGTACTTTAAGCAGTTCATTTTTCGATTTTCCCAAGAGTTTTCCAGCAAATGTCAAAAACCGGGAAAATCGGTACAATTTTAAACTAAATATTATTAAAAAAAAATATATAACGCCTATTTAATTATTTTACCATAATATGACATATATATTGTTAACAATACATCACTATTAACTAAACTCTGCTCAGAATCATTTTTTCGTTAACAATGGTTTATCATTGCTTACAGATATTTATACACATTCAATTCTCTTCTATATCCTACCTTGACAACTTCTCACCTACAACAGTGGTGGCAAACGTCCCCATTATCCTAGGATAGTTATGTATATATTACGGTAACAATTTTATCAGGACACTTCAGAAAATCGAATTCCGGAAAATTGTACTAACGATATAAATTAATCTGAATTTAATTAATAGAAATACACACATACACACACACACAAACACACAAATACATAAAAACGGAATATTATAGTCAGATCATAATC